TTCATGAAATCTCTCCTGCCCCTAAATGCCCCCCCTTTAAGCTGCAAAACCATCCATTCAGCTGCTCAGGTGTGAGTCTTCCTGGGCAATTCCCTCTCCTTTGACACCTCTGCAGTCTATACCCCAAGACCTTTCCATTTTACCTCCCAAATACCTTTCTGGCCTGGGAATTCTCTTCTTGTCCACCATGCTCACAGACACTGCAAGAGATTCTTATGTGCTCCAGCCCAGGGTAGAGTTGGATTTCCCAAGGCCAGAGGGGTGAAGGGGTGGTGAGTGCTGTCAGGGAAGACCAGCATCTATTCCCTGGCAACACCCTTGTTGGGATGGTCCCCAAGCCTACAGAACACTGATTTACATGGAGGGAGAGCATGCTGGGGTTTGAGTATGGGTCTCTGGCAGAGGTGCATCAGGAGCAAAAAAAAAAAAAAAAAAGAAATTTAAATTAGAAAAACTCTTTCATCTTTAGCCTCATGTTTATCGGTTCTGACACTCTTCATTCTCTGTGGATCTGAATTTCCTTCTGATGCTATTTGCTTCTGTCAAAGGAATTTCCTTTAATGTTTCTTGCAGCACAGATTTATAGATGGTAGATCTCTCAGCTGTAGTTTGTTGGGAAAAGTCTTTATTTACTTTAATTATTATTATTTGTAGTCYTGGGGATTGAACCCAGGGCCTTGTGCATGCAAGGCAAGCACTCTACCAACTGAGCTATATCCCCAACCCTTTACTTTAATTATTGCACAATATCTTTAGTATGTAAAGAATGCTTGTTTGACAGTTTCTTTTGGCATTTTGAAGATCTTGCTCCATTGTCCCCTGACTTCTATTGTTAATCAAGAGAAGTCTTGTGTTATTCTCACGTTTGTTCCTCTGAACAAAGTTCATTGTTGTTTTATTCTGACTACTTTTATAATTTTCTCTTTATCAGTGTTTTTCAGCAAATTTATTATGATATGCCTTGGTGTTTTTCCATGTCTCACTTGATGTACTCAGTCTTTCATCTGTCTTCTTAAATATATGAAATATATTTATATATGATGAATATTTTAAGGTCTTGGTCTGCATGCTAAGCATATAYGTTGTCACGGAGCTATATACTCTCAGACCCCTTGTCTGCTGATTCTATCATATGGTCATTTCTGGGTTCGTTATTATTACTATATTTTTATCCTGGTTATTAGCCTTATTTTTCTGCTTTGTAGGCCTGCCAATTTTTGATTGGATACTGGCTATGATGAATCTTACACTGTTCAAGAAAGTGTTCATTTAAAGTATGTCACACTTCCTTCTGACACACTTGCTAGACTATCGTGGAAATCTGGTCCTTTTAAACCTGACTTTTTAGCTTTGTTAGGGTGAGTTCAGAACAGCTTTTAGTCTAGGATTATTTTAGATCCACTGATAAAGTGAGAAACTTCTGAGGATGCTACCTGGTACTCCATGTATCACAAAGTCTTTTCATCCTGGCTGGTGGAAATGAGAACTACTTCCAGCACATGTGAGTTCCAAGAATTGTTTGGCCTGTGACTTTCCAGTGGATCATTCCCTGCACATTCACAGAGCAGTATTTAGCTAGAGATCATTTGCAGTCTTCCAGCACACCGTCTCTGTGAAATTCTATTTTCTCTAATAACTTCTCATAAATCTAGACATCGCAGCCTACTTGAACTTCAATCTCCATCTCTTCAATTCAGTGAGACTGACAGCCTGCACACTCCATGCAGGCAAGAAGCTGTAGAAGTCATAGGTGTCTCAAAACTTTTCCCCATTCTCCCTGGGATCACAGTCCTGCACATCTGCTAGCCAATGCCCCAAACACCTTTTCCCTATATTTTCCCCTGGTTTTCTAGATGTTCGTGATGAGAGAACAATTTCCATAATAGTAATCCTTTGTGGGTAGACACACAAGTCTCCTGTAATGTAGTTTTACATTTGCTTCTCTGGGGCACCAGCCATTGACTATTTTTGTGGGAATTATTGGCTTGAGCTTTATATACCATGTGGTGCTATAAATGTGGACCCCACATRCACGCAGTACTTTTTCTCCCCAAAACAACCTCCATGTGGGTGGCAAATTCCATACAGCTTCTCTATGTCAGTTGTTTTGACAAAGTCATTTTTGTTTTGACAAAGTCATCCTTTGCACATATCAGCTTTATGCAGGGATTTTTGGAACGGGCTCACCACCTTGGGCTCCCCACTTGTGAGTCTATGTCTTTCATTCAGGTATCAGTATTAAAATTTCAGCCCCCAGTCCTAGTGACCATATCTAGGTAAAATCAATATTATTTCATTATGGAGTCTGTGTATATTTGATTTTTATATATTTAAAATGTTATAGATAATTTAGCCTAGTAACAGCTCAGCTTTGTGATTCTAACTTAAAATACTTGATTGTGATTTTATGTTGGTCTAGGTTTATATATAACATGAGAACATTTAAGATAACACTGAATTTTCCATATTTAAATATGTAGGTAATTAAAGTTATTTAAGTTCTTGGGAAGTTTTTGTTTAAGTCAGACAGTAGTAGTGATTAAAATGGAAAGGAAATACATTAACTAATGTAAATATAGCTTAACAAACTAAAGGGATTTTAGCTATATAATAAAAAGCAGCCCTAAAATTAATTTTTTTCATTGATTAGATTTTTAGATAGAAAAAATAAAATTATAAAGCTGAACTTCAAGGAATTAGGAAAGTTGCAAAATTTATCATTTGACTATATTATATCTTAGTTTTATAAGAATAAAGCTAAATCGTCTTTTTTGCATTCCAATATGCCCCTTGGCAAACTAGTAGCTCACATTTAGCAAGTTACAAATTTATCAATTTGGGTTAGAAAGTACTTGAGCATCATTAAATTTCAGGTATATTTTCCTGTTTAGAAATTGCAGCTTTTTACCTAAACCACCAAATCATGATGTAGCTGATTTAGTTTGGTCATCATAATGGCTGAAATGATTCTTAGAACCATTTTATTGGGAAATCTCAGTATAGAGCTCTGAACATGAGCATCATTTCTCTCCTTGATATCACCTCTCATGAAGACACTGTGGATGGCACACTTCATATGTTTTCATACAATTTCAGAATTTAGGACACACTGTTTTAAATTTTGTCTTCATATGACTAAAAATCCTTCTTCCTTTTCCCCCAGTCTCTGTTCTAGTGGGTGGAACTGCAGAACAGACTGGCAGGCTGTGCTCCCATATGCCCCATTTCTCCTCACACTGGAGATGCTGCAGCTGGCTCTTATGTAGGATGCATTAGGGAGAGAGTTTTAGCGACCTCTTGCCTGCATAACCTCACAACTTGGGAGACCTGCCACTTTTTGATGTTTTCCCTCCTCTTTGGCTCTCTGGCAGGAATCTGCTTAGCAATTCTTTCTTTCTGGGTCCAGTTTCCAGAGGTAGCCCTTTTGTTCTTGCAAGGAGAACTTCAGAGTGTTCCTGGCCAGCCACCTTCCTCCTTCAACTTGACCCCTAGGAAATGCATTTACCTGATGTATCAGTCTGTTTTATGTTATTATAGCAAAATACTTGAATGTGGGTAACTGAATAGAGAAAAGAGGTTATTATTTAGCTCACTGTGTTGAAGGTTGAGACTCCAAGATTAGGAAACGCCATTGGCTTGCCTTTTGGTGAGAACCTAATGGCAGGTGGCTTCATGGTGGGAGTGTGTGTGGAGTGAGAGATCTCATAGCCAAACAGGAAGCCAGATGAGTGATTCAGAGGGGTAGCAACTTGTTCTCATGAGAACTACCTCCATCACTTCTGAGGGCAGTGTCTCCAGTGGCCTAAGCACCACCTATTAGGACTTACCTCTCAAAGGTCCTACCACTTCCTACATCACCACACTGAATACCAAGCTTCCAACACACGGCCCTTGGGATACTTACTCAAACCACACCCAAACTGTAGCACTTGCCACGGCTGAGAGTGAGAATACAGTGTCTCAAACCTGCACTGTGCTCAGTGTCATAGCACCAGCGTGAGGACTCAGTTGGACAAGTGAACAGTCAGCTGAGAGGCAATTTCCAGCCTTGAACCTTGTAAAGGAGAGGGTGTGGAGGGCCCTTCCCAACTACACTGCTCCATCCCCTCCTGTTACGTTTTGAATGTGTCCCCCAAACTTCATGTGCTAAAAACTTGATCTTTAAAACTACATGACTTTAAAGAGGTCATTAGATCATGAGAGTGCTCATGAATGGATTACTGCAGTTACATGTACAGCCGGAGCAGGTTCCTGATAAAAGAACCAGTTGGGTTGTCTCCTCCCCCACTTTTGAGAGTTTACACTCTTGCCCTTCCTCCTACCACCATGCGATAAAGCAGCAGGATCCTTGCCAAAAACCAGCCTCTTGATCYTGGACTTCCCAGCCTCCAGAACTATAGCAAATTAATCTCTTTTTGCTATTACAAATCACACAGTCCTAGGTATTCTATGATAGCAGCATAAAACAGACCAAAACACCTGCCCCTGGCAGAAGAAAAGAGGGCAGGGGGAAGCTCTTCACTATTACCATTTTCTTCCAGTTGGGGGGCTGTGTGTGTGTGCACACCAGGGGGATGGAAACCAACTTCCTGAAGCAGCTGCTGCTAGGAGCTGCCTTTCAGCAAGCCTGGCAAAGAGCCTCACCCCAAAGCTGGCAGTTCTTTGAGCTTGGAGGGTGCTTGATGCCTTTTATTCTTAGCTGTGGGCCCTTACTCACCAAGTCTGGCACTGGGCACCTCACACCATTTTATTACATGGAACTGACAYCTTTTATTCACTTTCCTTGGGTATCTTAACCATGAGATTTGCTTGATTATATGGTAAATGACCCGATGCACAGCAACTGTAATTTCAAACCTCTGATGGCTTATCTGGTTGTGTTCTGGAGGTTCTATTTTAACCAAAACATGTACACCAGAAAATGTGCTGTGAGAAGTGTCAAGGAAGAGCTGCAGAGGAATCCCAAATGAGCAGCAAAACAGAATTAGAGAAACACTAGGAAAGGTGTGAGGCCGTTTATTCATACCAAGGAGGTGCCAGATCACAAGGCTACCCACAGAAATGCACATCACTGTTGTAACAACATACCAAACACACGGATGGCTTACCAACTGGTGTCCATTGTGATAGGATGCTGGAGTATCATCGTAATCCACAAGAAGTTACTGGTAAAACCTCATCCAATCCCTACTCTGCCCCACAACACGTTCCCCTGCTCTCTGACCATCATTCAATGTCCCTCCAACATTATTCTGATCTTTTCCTTAAAATTAATAAATGTGCTACCAATGGTATTTTCTCAGCTCATAATTTATAGGCAATGAAAAACTATTAAAGTGTCATTAGTAGTTCTTTTTTAAACATATGAATTAGATTTGACTCCCCTACCCCAAGCCAGCACAAATTAGGAAGAGACTGTGATGTTGTCCTTGTCCATAACCCAAACCACTCACACACAAGCAGCACAGTCAGCTCAGCTGGTCTTGGCACCCCCTGCACCCCTCAGCCCAATCTCCATTCACTTGGACTTCTGGTTGCCTTTCTGGGACTCCGATGCGACCTTCCTTGCCTCCTCCTCTGGGATGAACACGCTGACCGTGAAGTCGCTTGTCTCGGTGCCGTACTTATTCTTCACCACCAGCCCATACTTTCCTGAGTCAGCCGTGCTCACACCCGAGATGGTAAAGTAGGCAGTCTTGCCGGCCTCGAACCTGAGGTTGCAGTGGTCATCTGAGGCCAGCGACTTCTCATTCTTCAGCCAGGAGACCTCTGGAGTTGGGTCGCCCCACACATTGCAAGTGAGATTAAGGGCCTGCAAAACAGGTTTTAGAGGTTGGGGGAGAGGATAAGTCAGATGCATGATCCAACTTCAAGAATCTTGCTGGCTGGCTGGCAGTTTGGAATGACCAGATGGAAGACAAAATATAAATCCCCCCCAAATCGGGGCTTAAAGTAATGATGTGTGTGCACCTGTGTGAGTGACAGTTTGAAATCACTCATGAGTAGGTTTTTGTAGGGCCAGGGCTTTCCGGCTTCTGGAATGTCTGTCCTCAAAAAACACTCAAAGGAGTTCTATTTCCATTCCCTGTCTCCTCCGCTTTCTCCTTCATAAACACATTGATGGCTTTTACTTGAATGTAGTTTTCTGGGCTCTGTATCAGTACAAAACCTCCTTATTGCCACAATCACCACCTGCTCACATTTGCATCTCATTTACGTCACAGAGCCCAGCAGCAGAATGGGAACAGCTGCTCCAGATAATGTAACTTATTTTCACATTCCATCTTCCTCCTTTTACTTTGCTTCCCAAACCCCAGTTAATCTGTACAACTGCAGAGGTGCTCTACCAAAACCTAGCCTAAATAAGATATTCCCATCTGTGCTGAAATCCTCTTAGTCTAAAGAATCGGTACTCAGGCTACAGTCTTACACTACCTTAAAAATAATCTTCTTATTCTAAAGAATTGGCATTCAGGCTACAGTTTTACACCACCTTACTTTTTTTTTTTTAATATTTATTTTCTAGTTCTTGGCAGACACAACATCTTTGTTGGTATGTGGCTGAGGATCGAACCCGGGCAGCACGCATGCCAGGCAAGCGCGCTACCGCTTGAGCCACATCCCCAGCCACCACCTTACTTTTTATTGGAAAAAAATTAAATAACTGTAGATTCATGTGCAGTTGTAGGAAATAATAGAGATCCTGTGTACCCAGTTTCTCCCAATTGACATTTTACAAAAGATCATACAACATCATAACCAGTACATTGACATTGATCTTGCTTAATTTTTTTTTTAATTTTTATTTTTTGGTACTGGGGATTGAATCTGGGGACTATTAACCACTGAGCCTTCTGCCTCAGCCTCCTGAACTGCTGGGATTACAGGCATGAGCCACTATGCCCGGCTCATTTTATTTGTATTCTTTTGTATTTGTTTGGAAGTTTTGTTCTATTCCTCACTTGTGCAAGTCCTTGCATCTACCATCAGAGTCAAGATGCATATTTCATTGCCATAAGAACCCCTGTGTTGTCCTTCAACTGCAACTACGCCCACCACTGCCCTCCAACTTCTCAATGGCATTCCTAATTCCTGGAAACCTCTAACCTGTTTTCCATTTCTAAAATTTTTCCATTTCAAAAAATAAGAAAAAATGCAAGAATAGATATATAAATAATGTCTACAATATGTTATCTTTCAGGATTAACTTAAAAAAATTTTTTTTTTAGTTGTAGATGGACACAATACCCTTATTGTATTTGTTCATTTTTATGTGATGCTGGGGATTGAACCCAGTGCCTCACACATGCCAGGCGAACACTCTACCACTGAGCCACAATGCCAGCCCTCAGGATTGACTTTTAAACTCAGCATAATTCCTTACAGATTCATCTAAACTGTTTCATCTATCAATAGTTTGCCCCTCTTTATTGCTGAATAGTATGCCATGGTATATACATGCCTGTAAGAGTCATCTGTACTATTTACAGCTTGGGAACATTATAAAGTGCTATGACCATTATTATACTTTTTGTTGTTGTTGTTTTCATTTTTTTTTTTTTTTGGTACCAGGGATTGAATTCAGGGATGCTTAATCTCTGAGACACATCCCCAGCCTGTTTTAGATTTTTATTTTGAGACAGGGTCTTGCTAAATTGCTTAGGGCCTCTCTAAGTTGCTGAGACTAGCTTTGAACTCATAATCCTCCTGCCTCACTCAGCCTCCTGAGCTACTAGGTGTAGTTTGTTGGTGTTTTTTTTTTTTTTAAATATAAACATAGGTTTCCATTTCTCTGGGATAAATGCCCAATGTGCAATTGCTAGATTGTACAGTAAATGCATGATTCATTTTTTTTCCCAGAAATTGCCAAACTGTTTTCCTAAGAAACTGTATAATTTTGGTTTACATTTCTACCAACAATATACAAGTGATTCCGTTTCTCCACATCTTACCAGCATTGCCACTCTGGATTTTGTTGTTGTTGTGTACCATTTTGTATTATAGCAACTCTGGTAGGTGTGTCATGATATTTCATTGTGGTCTTTCACTTCCCTGATGGCTGATGATGTTAAATTTACTTCACATTTTAAATTCTATTCTTGCATTTGTTTCTTACTAAAAATCCACAAATTATAAGGAAAGAAATACAGATCACAAGGGACAAAGAAAAACATGTTCTTCTAAATATCTTACTAATGGGTCTTCTGTGATCACTTGTTATCTCTTCTGTAGGAGTAAAAATTGGGTAGATCAAGAAATCTATTTTTATCCCATAATTAATTGGCATTTCTTACTGAATTATTCTACAGATACATTTCAGAAAGAAATGTATGAGTCAGCTTATTGCCATTAAGCTTAAACAAGCAGACCAGGCATATAATTTTGGAAATTGTGATTATGTGGGGTTAGAGCTTAAACGAAAACTCCCAAACTCCTGAAGCATTATGGGAAACTCATATCTGTGCTTTAGACTTGAGTTACAATTTACAAAGTGCTTTCATATACACTCCCTCTCATCACTACCCAGTGGGTCCAACCTCATTAGGTGAGGGAAATGGAATAGAGGATTTAAGGACAAAAGCAACCCTGTGATGTCGAGCTTAAATTCAACTGTGATTACATTTTCTACCCATGAAGAAATGCAGCTGATTGGAGCCTCCTCTCATTAACGCATTTTGATATGCCTTGATTTGTTACCTGAGTTCCAAGTGCCCATTGTGTGTCTTCACTATCCTTTGAGGTGGGGAAAAGTTTTGTTCCACCATAAATATCTCTCCAGTTATGGCTGCCATATTAAACTTGTTTTAATGAGATACAGGAATGATGAAAGTGAATACAGGTCAGAACACTGCTTCTCAAAGAGATTATTATGGAGCCAAGAACATTTAAAATCAAGTGGAGAGAAATCAGTTTTTAAAAGAAACAAAGTCTATAGAAAGGCTTGGAGCAGTCTGTGTCCCTGCAAAGGTGAGGCACTTTGTAACAGTATGRCCATTTCCCATTGTGTGTTAGAGGTCATTTCTTTCTTCTGTTATATGTGTCATAGAGTTATGACTGAAAATTTTCAGTTTCTCATCAGTATAAAGGGTGACTCTAGAGAGATACTAAGTGGTCTCTCTCTATGTCCACATGAGACAAACTTGCATCTTGATGCCTACAAAATATTAAGATAATTTTTWAAATATTTATTTATCTATTTTAGTTGTAGTTGTCAATACCTTTATTTTATTTATTTATTTTTATGTGGTGCTGGGGACTGAGCACAAGGCCTTGCACATGCTAGGTGAGAGCTCTACCGCTGAGCCACAGCCACAGACCAGGATGATAATATTTTAAACCCCGTATTTAGCTATTTTGGATAAGTATAAGCCATGCAATAAGATGGGGATCAGGGAATAAGTACATTTTAAAAATGGGACACAGTCTGAGGTGCTGGGAGCAGAGACAGGAGTGCTTCATACTCACCTTGCCCTCCTGGATGGTGACCACATCAGGGAGACCGCCCAACACCCGGGCACGATCTGCAATCATAGGCATTTTCTGGTTAATCACTGCAATTGTGAGGGCCAGTGACTACACTCACAAAACCATCCCAAGGGATGAATTTCCCAATTTTGTTTTCCCTCTCCTGATGGTTATTTTATACTTTCATTAATAAGCAAGTAAGAAAATGATCCAGTGGTTCTGAACTTTAATCCTTTACCTACATATTGTCCACGCATGGGTACTTGCTGCTGTACCTAAACTACCAGTTTGGGATTGCTTTGCCACTTTTAGACCAGTTCTACAATTTTCATGGCTATTTTCAGCCCCAGCCCTTCTGCAGCTTAGTGAGGCTAAGCTCAAGGAGGCAGAACAAATCTTAATGGATGGTCTCCAAGCCCAGTGTGGCCTCTTTATAGATCTCCCTATGTTGAGCACTGTTTGCATAATGGAAGGGCCGTATGCTGGGCAGCTCTGGAGGCTCATGCAGATGTGGGCTTTCTTTGAGGCCTTCCAGACAGCTTTCTTTTCTTGTTTCCTGGTGTCTCTTCACAGTTCTGTGCAAACCACTATCTTTGGCTGAGGGTAAAGGCCCTCAGAAGAGGGCATAAGGTATTGGATGGGTGATGGAATCAGGGGCTAGTGCCTCTGGCAAAGTCCTATGTTCTGGGTCTGGATACCTAAGTTCCAGGGAAGGGACTTTTCTGTAACACATCTCCAAGCCATCCTCTCTGGCACTAACACAGTGGCCACCAGCCTTGTGTTTTTAGGCCTACTTCAACTAACCTATGATGCTTGATCCTTATTTCTATAACTCCCTTCTCCACAGAGAAACTTGACTTCATTCTACTATTGATTCCATGGTACCACCTGTGGGCCTAGTCCATCACCTGGTTCCCTGAGCGACTTGCTGTGTGATATCAGGCCAGTCACTTTGCTGGATGGGCCTCAATCTCTGGGTATGGAGTAGATGGAGGGTGGGTTTACATTTGACCTAGGGATATTAAATTTGCAAACCTGCTCCACAGTATCCATGGGATTTTGGGGGTTGGGTGGGGGCGGGGGCCGGGTGGCACTGAGAGAAGGCCTGGAAGGGGGCTGGGGTAGGGAGCTGGGTCCCCAACCCAACTTCAATTAGGAGTGGGTAAGCTTTACCTATTTTATGGATCGGGTCTCTGTGGAAGATTTTGAAGTCAGTGTCCCATGCCTTATAGAAATATAAAATCTCTGAGGCAGAAGAGCTCTAGGAGTACATGACCTAGAGGACCAGGCTCCTTGTCCACAGGGGAGTTCAAGGACTGGAGAGGCAGGAAACTGCTTGGGGATGTGGGCTTTGCTGGGTGCATCCAGGAATGGGAGGGACATAATAATGCCCTCTCCTGCTCTGACACTCCCTGATCATGCTTCTGTGACCCTGTTCTGGCTTCTGCCCCTTTATCACTAGCAGCAGCCTTACAAATGCAGGGTCTGAGCTGGGAAAGGGGAAAGGAAAGAGGAGGGGAGGGAAACAGTACAAATGAAAGGTTCAAAGTTCCTCCCGGAGAACCTGGTGCCATGGGGAAGTGAAGGATGACTTCCCTTCTCATTCCTCCTAGTCCCCTTCAATTCCAACTCAGGATCAACTCTACCATTTTAACCCATGACAATATCTAACTTCTGTCTCCTACACCAAAAAAGAAACGGATTAGTCAGACTTCTGGGATCCTGCAGGGCTGTTGCAGTTCTAAAAATCTTTATGTGTGAAGCAAATAGCTAACAGAAGTGTAACAGCAAGTGCATTTCTGAATGTGCAAACTTGACAGTTTGGTGTGTGTCCACAAGTGCTGTGATTCATTTGATCAGTTCAACAAATGTAAGAAGAGCCTCCTTTGGCAGCTTTTATCTAATAGGCACTTTCAGGAAAATATACACTACTTGTTGGGAACAACTTACAGGGATTTACCTGATGTCAGATTTACAATGTTTCTTTTTGTTAATGTATATATATATATATATATATATATGTATATGTATATGTGTGTGTCTGTATATGATTTCTGATGCATTCTGTCTGCAAGTGACTCTCAACCGATTCTGTGATTTGCAACCAAGAGATTTCTCAGGATGTTTGGGTGATAGCTCAAGTCAAGAGCTGGGTGACATTCTTTCATTGTAACCTGAAACCTTCCTTCTTTCCAAAGACATTCTTACTCACAAGACTAAAATAGAAACATATGTAGAACACCTAAGATTTAAAAATGAAAGAAAGAAAGAAAGGAGAAGAAGGGGGTGGGGGGAAATCACTTTCACTCTCCTCCATCTGTCCTTATGAGAGCAAAATGAAATCCTATTTCAGATCTACACCCAGAGTACATTGGGGTGGGGGGCGGGGTTACTTACTTTTCTCGGCAATGGCAGCTTGTCTGTGGTTGAGAGAACGAACAAACATAGAAACAAAGAAGAGTTTTGTTTAGTGGGACTTTAAGTAGCTAGCTTGACTGCATTTTACTGCTTCAAAGATATTTCACTGCTCAAAATAGCAGTGGGAAGCAGGGCTTTTACTGCACTTGAAACAAAAGCCTCTAACTCTCAGATGGGTGAACAGTGCACAAATTTCCAGGGACATTACTGCATAGAGGTAGCATTTGCCAGGAAAGGGGACTTACTTCAACCTCTGGAACTCAGCAAAGGCTTCATCAAATGCTAAAAGAAAAAGAAGAARAAGAAGAAAGTTAGAATTTTCTCACCAGAATTCATGATGTGGATGCACAGGGGCTGATTCACACTCACACCTCGGGGCCACGGTGATCAGCCAAACTGACTTTGAATGAGACTGACTGCCTGTGTGTTCACCGCGCAGCTCAACGCCCTCAACAAGACAAGCGAGTACTTTGTAGGCAAAAAATATGAAATAGTAGATTTTCGATGCTTTTGCTTCAGTGGGAGACTTTCAACCCTTTAAGCAGAAGGGCAGTGACTCGCCCCACTGGAGGGAGAAAATGGGACTAAAAGCCTATTTCAAATAAAAGTTGGTTGTCTACTAAGCATCCCGAGCATCAAAAAAGCTTATTAAATCATTTCCAATGTCACAGGCTCCCAGCTAGACAGTCTAATGTCTTTATGTTGTGTTTCTGGTCAATTTGGGCAAAAGGACACAGTGAGTTACAGTCTTCACAGTGTGTGCCAAGGCTCGCCTGAAGCGATGTTTCTGAGGCTGATGGAGCTGAGATGAAAGACAGAGAGACAAGGAGACGAGAACTAGAGTGCTGCAAAGGAAATTTTTTTCCTGTGCCGGGGGCGTAAGCCATTCTGACTGAAGACTTTCGGCAAAAAGGAAGCTTTGTTTTGAAATCCTTTTCACCTGGTCTTTGAGCTCCTCTGTGATCTGGGAATCATTATTTCAAGTCTACAGAACAATTAGATTATACTAGTTCCCCACCCTCATTTTACAGATGGAAAAATAAATATAAAGTTAGGCTTCAGGTTGTCAATCCTTATTTTTCTCATTTGTTAAATGACCCAAAGGAAAGGTGGGCAAAGCCAGGTTGAGAGTATAGGACTTCTGCTGGTCCCTATATCACATTTAGAATTCTATAAAGGGCCAGAGTGGAACCAATTTGTGATGACAGTGGCAATGTTTTATCGATCAGACAACACACAGCGTTTGGCTTGAGGAGGATTTGGGGGTGAAGTAGTTAAATAAGTTTTGGTGGGCCAAATTAAGAAAGAACAAATTTTTTAAAAAGTTGCAAATATATTCACCCACATATTGCTTCTCTTTTACTGCTGCATTTTAAATGATCACATTGACTATCACTTTGCGTTTGTGATGCAGGCAGAGTGTGGCCCAGAAAGCTCAAGTCCCTCAGGAGCAACTCTCATTCCTGGGAACACTTTGGTGGGTCTGTGTAGGCACATAGGTGAGTGGGGTAGGGTCAGGGGATCCAGCACAATAAAACTTCAATGCAGGCTTGAAAAGTGACTCTCTCAAACTCCACCCTTTGAGGATGCAAAGCACTAAGAGTTATTGCACATTTTGACTGTATTTTACAAAGAAGTGGCGGGGGTGGGGTAGTCAGTCCACAGCCTCCTTTAGCATCTTCCATCTAGACTATTTTACTTCTTCAGGAAAGAATACAAGGAAGAGTGTAGTAGCAGGAGGGGGAAATGGCACAGAGTATTTTTACTTAAAATTGTGCATCTTTTAACTTTTAAAATTTTAATAAGTATTTGGGCATCAGCTCTGGTCTTGCTCTTTGGAAACTGTCTGCATGCATCTCTCATAGCTCTCTTCTCTTCCCTATCCTCTCCAGAATCCCCTATTCTCTCAGCAGATGACTAAGAAATCTGGGCCCATAGGGACTGAGAGTCTCCAGCTTGCTTCTGTAACATTTGCCTTTGCTTCTTCAGGTTCACTCCTCTAGTTATGGAAGAAGAGTCTCCTTACTCCTTTCCAGAGTGAACACTTTCCCCTCTGCCCTTGGTCTCGCCCTGTCCATCCTTCAGAACTTTGGTACATCAGTGATTCCTCTTCATCCACATCTTCAGTCCTACCAGCACAACTGGTATCTTGGACTCTATGAATATGCTCAAATTTCAATCACTGTGAACTATGGCTTTTTATTGTTTGTTCTTATAAAAGTGATTGGAGTCAACCTGCCCTTCTTTGAAAGCATCTTCCTGCAAGAGTTGTGCTTTCTCTCCAGGTTTACTGTCTCTACCTTACTTTTCATTGATTGTCCACCTACCAATTTCTTGCTTCTACCACCAAGGCTGACTAAAACTGCTTTACCAAAACCACAACTAATAAAATTCACAGGAGGCCATTGTTTTAAGCTGAATTCCTATACTAGGCCCCAACAGACCAGACCAAACCAGAGTACAGTCACTTATGCTAGGTGCCACGCAATCAAATAAACTTTAAATCAGGCAGTTTTCTAAAAACTGGGATTCACAGCAATCAGAAGAGGCCCAATCAAACTGAGCCAGCATGCTAAGGAAGTCTCCTCTGCTTTAATCCTATAAAGAAAGTAACTGAAGGAATCTGATATAAATTAATCTGCTTTTTTGTATTATGTCATTTTCTTAAAAAAACACATTTTTTAGTTGTAGTTGGTCACAATACCTTTGTTTTATTTATTTATTTTTATGTGGTGCTGAGAATTGAACTCAGGGCTTCGCACACTCTAGGCAAGTGCTCTACCACTGAGCCACAACCCCAGCCTTCCATTATGCTGTTTTCTTGATCTTGCTCATGCTACCTTATAAAACCCAACTGCTGTATAATAAATCTGGGGAGTACTTTTCTATTTGGTACATAGGAATGCTGCCTGATTCATGAATCACTAGTAAAAGACAATTAAATCCTAAACTTAGATTGTTAAAATTTTGTTCTTTGACGTCACCAACATCATACCTCTTTTGACATCACAAACATAATTACTTTGTTTTTCATTAAGATTCACTGGCTATAGCAAGTTTGAACCTGCAGAATATTGGTTTACCTTGTCCAGAAAGATCCACTGTCTTCTGGTGTCCAGTTTTACCATCAAAGAGTTCCATTACATATTTTCCTTTGTCATTTGGAGTGGGCTCATTGATTTGTAGCCAGATTTGCTCCCCGGTGACCCCACTCTTAACTCTGTCTGTGTACTTAATACCAGCCCCACTGTTGAAATCAAAGAAAGCATTGTTACTGTTTGCTTTCATGCAGAGCTGATTCTTTCCTCTGCCTCTTATTAAAGGCTTCACAGTAAACTCATAGACTTTCAAAAACCATGGGCTCTGTGTATGTTATTCTTCTGCTTCAGAGAAATTATGGGCCTGAAGCACCATACTTGGATTCCAATGCTTTGGGTCTGAGAGTCTGAACATTTATTTAATGCCCCATAATGAGTCTAGGGCCCAAGGTAGCCTATTAAATAGGAGCAATACTCTCAGTGGTATAAATATCTTTGTTTTTACTTGGGTTTATTTATAGGACTAAAGGACTCTTTCAAGCTAAAAGGCCAAACTACGTATTATTTTGTTGCATATTTCATGCAGATGATTTATGGCTATAAACTGGATTTTATAAGCCAGTCAAAAACACTCATGGAGACTCATCTGGGCCTGACATCTATTAACATAGGTTATTCCAAAGCTATTTAAAACGTATGTAAAAATGCACTTGGTAATAGAGCCAAGAGTGAATGAAAAGCAGAATGGCTGCCAAAATGAATGAGGCATGTGCTCTGTCCCTGTAAGTTTCTCAGTATTCTACAGTAGGTCACAAACAGACCCCTGCATTGTGTTCTCTGTAAGAGAAGAACAGGAAATATAGCCCTTTGTACTGTGATCTGACAAATGCTACTGCCATAAATGAAATACGAGAAAAGTATGTAAACACACTCTGGCTGTTAAAAGAAATTTCATCAAGAGTTTGTAAAAGTGTAAGAAAATAAGAAAAAAAAGACAGTATACAAAACTACTTTTTTTACAGTAACAATTATACACAGAGAAAAGATTGGAAGGAAGTACCTTCCAAATGTTCCTATTTTTGGTTAGTAAAACTATGGACAATATTGTAAAAAAATTGAAAAAAATAAGCTGAGACAGTAGTAGATTTTGTGTTATTAGAGGAATAGCATAATGTCTACTTGTCTGAGGAAGAGTGAGCCAGGAAGAGCTGACAGAGATGAAGACAGAGGCAAACTACTGAAGAGAAAAGAAAAAGAAAAAAAAAAAAAGACAATATTGTATTATAAATTCTTTTTACTTTGTAATCTGATTTCATAAATGTATTTTCTAAGACAAGTGTGTTCTATGTTTATAGTTGTAATAAACAAGATTAACTTTAAAAAAGAAAAAAATTTCACCAAAAATGATTTCTTTCAGATATTTAGTATTATTTTATTACATGCTTTGAAGAATACCTACTTATATAAATATTAAAGATATTAAAAATTTAAAAGCCATAAAATATAAGGTACCCACAGATTTTTAACCTGATCATCTATATCCCCAGATTTTAACCTGAGCAATAGACATGTCTTAGAGAGTAAGACAGACTGTGATCTACTTTGTTATGATAAATCTGTTCTTTAATCTCTGGTTAACATGAAAACTATACCTTACATATGTTAAGCACTTCAGATGAAATGTGTATTATTTCTTCTACTTTATATAACAGAAAACTGATATTCATAAAATTAAGTCATTTACCTAAGACTATAATGGAAAGTAGGAGCAAAGTCAAGACTAGAACCCATTTAATTTTTTTTAAGTATGCCACATACTTAAAAAAAAAAAAAAAAGCTAAGACAATCCTTGATTCCTGAGTCCTTCATAGGCACATGAATACACAAGAAACTCATGTGAGTAGAGCAATGAGACCAAACAAGGTTAGAAGTTTATGCCTTGCTAGTCTAATAGCCATTTCCTAAAAAATGTCAATGTTCTCTTTTTTGGAACAACTAATTCTTTTAGAGATGATATAAGGCTCTTTGATGGATGGTTCAACTAATCTTTCTTCTTACTGATAAATTAGAATGTCCTAGATGTCACAGAGGAATTTCCTAGAATTTGATCTATTTTACCTTAATGACTATGTTCCTAAAATGTATTCTGAAAGAAATAGAACAAAGGAATGAAACCCCAAGCATTTCCTACTGGAATTTTACTACTTCTCATCTTTTAGAATTCTGAAAATGATTATTAATAATAACAATAAAATAATAGTCTACATAAGAAYAAAGCTGTTTCAAAGTAGACATAAACTACCTAGTTTGGGTTAATTGTTTAATCAGACCTTTTTTTTTTTTTTCAGTGCTAAGGATACAACTTAGAGACTGTGTATATGAGACAAGTGCTCTACCCTCAGCCCTAGACTTTTAAAACATTATATTTATTTAATGGAGAGACATGCTCTTTTGACACATGTATCTATTATATAATATTTAAATCTGGTGAAACATATCTATTTTTTCACTTTTCATTTCTTTATGGTGAAAACTTTAAAAAATCCTTTCTTCTAGCTTTTTGGAAATGCAAAGTTTATTATTGTTATCTATAGTCACCCAGCTGTGCTGAGCACAACAGAATTTCTTCTTATCTAACTGTAACTTTTAGTACCCATTGATCAACCACTCCCTAGCACCACCATCCCATTCTAGACTTTTAATGCAATTTGAACAGAGGGTGAGTAGTGGGTATGCCATGATAAACCAGGCTCTGGAGTGAGGCTGCCTGGGCACAGGCCTCTTCAATCCACCTCTTTGCTGTGTGACCTTGACTAAGTCATCTCCTTGAGCCTGAGTGTCCACATCACTGTAAGGAGTACCTGTTCCATAGAGTGTGGGTATGAAATAGCCCATATATCCAAAGGGTAGGAACAGTGCCCAGCATACTGTCAATGTCCACTGAAGGCACAACATGAATAAACAAACAATTGTTATCTGCGTCCTCCTGGAGATACCACAGGACCTACTTTTTAGTGAGGTTCTGAAAAACATTAGGTAGTTTGGAATGGAGGTACATTGCATCCTAAGATTGGACTGCAGTTGACTACACCCACCAAAGATTATCTACACCTGTTCTCTGTTCACTTTCAGCTCAGGATATCTTAAGGAAGCACAGAGGTTAAGAACCCTGACAAGTTTGTGAAGGAGAGGACTGGTTTGATTTAGAAACCCATTTTGGCTCTTGAACATGAATACAATCCCTCTGTAACTCCACAAAGGCAGCCTGGGATTAGGACCAATCTTCAGGCTCAATCCAGTTCAAACACAAATCCCCAAAGTCATCTTGAGGTCTCCGAAGCCTTCGGAGGGTGGACAAGAAACAGGCTAACGCCCAACTGAGCCAGTTCATGCAAACAACAAGGATAAGCTTGAGCTCTCCTCTAGAAAAAGCTTCTTGGTACAGCCATTACTTTACATAACAGGAAATCTGGTGCCTCCTGATGCACTCTGCTTTTGTTCTGTTCCAGAACACAGCATGTGCTAGCTGAATACAGAAACAGTGGCCTGGAGACCTAGCAAAGCAGGGACAATTGAGTACTACCATTTGGAGGTAGAGGTTCCATTATAGAGATGTTTGTGAATGGTGAACTTCGTAGGTCACCAAGGAAGATGTTGTATTGTAGCCATGACTGGCTTCACCATGTACATGGTGAGGGAAAGAGCTAACCTTGTAGTAAGTGAATGGCCTGGGTGTTCCTGTCCTAAGTCAGACCTGTGAATTAAGAAGTCTCCTTATCTGAAAGGCACAGCTTTCCCCCCCTTTCACTCCCTAGTGAAGAAAGAATTTCTATACAGTAAGAAAGTTTCCGTTTACTTACTTGTGGGACCAGTTAACTTTCAAATCATCCAGGTAGTAAGTAACAAAAGAGTACAGTCGGATGCCCTCAGCTGTGCTCTGGATTTTCAGGTCAGTAGCAGACAAAGCTGAAAAGAAGAACACAGCATATTTCATGCACTTGTAAGTCCATGCTGGAAGGAGAATGGTAAAGCATTGCTGTGGTGAGAAAATCTTAACTTACCTATTTTCCTGCATACTTCAGTCATCAGTTCATTGAAGGCTGTGGATAGAAGTTCATAGACAAAATTTTAGCAAAAACACACTCAACGTAAGGTCAAAACTTAAAGTGTTAACTCTCAAAAACTGTGTGGTGGAGGGCATTGGACACAAGGTCAATTTGTTGACCAACTGAAAATCAGTGCTCTTTGAGGGGCAACTGAATTTTTATCAGGTTTTCAAAGATCTCTGCTTACTTTGATATATATATATATTTTTTCCTGCTAATTCTTTGTAATTACCACCAGGTTTATATTTTAGAGAAAGAGCCATAGTGAGATTTCCAGGAAGGTTCTTGGCTTTAGGATTTTCTTCCTTCTCAAGTCCCAGGAAGCTTTAGTTTACAGTACAGGAAGTTTTCTTATCTATGTCATCAATTCATAATGAATTAACCATCTCTCTTGGCTGAACTTCCTCAGCCTAATAATGCTTTTTGCCAATAAACATGTAACCCTGACTTGGCCAAGAGTAGGAAAGTGAAATCAAAGTCAGACTTCTGCTGTTGGTTAGCAAATACTGTTAAAAGATCTTGTTCAGGAACAAAATTGGAAGTTTGGTGGGGGGGGGATGTCACAAAAATATTTTCATTATCATGCTATATTTGTCCTTAGTAGTCTCTGAAATGGAAACAGCTTTCTTGCTTGGCTAATAACTGTGAGGCTTCAAATTTCACATATAAATTGCTGTCCTTAACAATGGACTATTTTTCAACATGCTTCTCATAGAAATAATGACTTAAATTGAAAACAGACCCCTAGTGCCCTGTGTACTATAAATTTTCTGAGAATCAAAAGTACACTTTTGATTTCTAGGAAGACCAAAAATGATTAAAAAAAATGGTAGTTTACTCTGCTGGAATTTCAATTAAATTGAAATCTATGGACCAAAAAAAAAAAAAATCAATATGACTTCAGTCGTCAGCCCAGTCTCCACCATAATCCTGGTAACCTTCATAGAAAACACACAGAACAGATCACAGCAGTTGGTGGACTGACCTTCATCCACAAGCTTCAATCTGCTCTTATCTTTTCCTCGATCATCTTTTAGGATAACTTCATAAAATCCAGCATCCTTCTTGGAAAACTAAGGGGAGATTGATAAATTATTTTGCAGCTTGTTGTAGAGTTTAGGGTATGGTAAACAGCATTTTTCAATTCCTTGATTTATGAAATGCCTTCAAAACACAGACCAAATAAGCATTTAGCCACACAAGTGATGAACGATTCATAGATGTGTTTATCCATAATAATTTGCCTAGCTAGTCATCCTGATTTTGTTACCCTCTAAGGCTATAATTGATTTCAGCCAAAGTCTTTAAATCCTTTGCTATGCCCTCATTTATTTAAAACTAATGATCCATATAGTTGAAACTGTGCTCTTTTAGACAAAATGTAGATGAAAATCTGTATGCTTAATGAATACTGCATCTGATCATCTCTGTTCTTTTAGGAAACAAGTTATTAAGAAGCTTGCATACAAATAACAAATAACACTTAGCTACCTACATTAAAAAAAAAAAGTAACACAAAAAGCAAGAGTTGTGGCATCTGGCTGGTACTGGTTGGATATTTGACAAGCCCACGCAAATCACAAGGTAGAAATGCTTTTGTGTTCCTACAGCAGTTAGAAGTAAACTGTTGTAAATCCCCAGGGCATGAAATGAATATAAAGTCTAGTGTTTGCTGGGAGGATGTGGGGTAGAGAGCTAATACACCACATTTCACATTTTCAGTCACCTACCTCTGTTATAAGCAGGGTGCATATACCATCCTTAAAGTCATGCTTTTCATCCACTGATATCTCCCTCTCATCTTTGTACCAAATGATGTGAGTCTCCTTCTTAATATTTGCCACCTAGCAGAAAAGCCATAATTACCTTTCTTGACATAAGATCGTATTCTTAGGAAACTAAGCAGTTCTAAATGCAGGCAGGTAGGGAAGAAAAAGTTTGAACACAGAGTCAGAAGACACCAATTTCTAAGGAATCAACTGAAAACTATTTCAATTGAGGAAAGGGTTTAGAATAAAGTGAATCCCAATGAATAAACCTAAGTCAATAGTTATCTCTATTTCCAGCAGTGAACATTATTTTAAAACTATTATGTGAGCTGGGCATAGTGAGGCACACGAGTAGTCCCTGTACTCCAGAGGCTGAGGCAGGAGGATTGTTTGTGCCCAAGTTTGAGACCAGCCTGGGCAACACAGTGAGACCCTGTCTCAATTAATCAATGAAAAAAAATCATTGGGTAGGTAAGAAATAATATATACACATTAACCTACTCACTTGAGTGAAAATAAAAATCTCAAGACCAAAGTAAGGCAAAACCTATCAGATTAAAATATAGCCTATGTCCTAAAAACTAATGGCTTTATTAAAGGCACAGATTGAGTAAACTTCAATCTATATCTGAAAATTTGATAAAAGATAAATAATGAAGCACTGCAAACATATGTAAAGGGGAAGTATGATTTAATAAATTAATTGCTTAGTAATATTGGGTGGACTCATTGGATCTCATTTCACACACATATCATAATGTAAATTTCAGACGAATTAAATAATCTCCTATGGTTAAAGGGATCCTGAGCTTTACATATAACATTTGAATTTTTATTTACAAAGGAGACTATATGCATGTAGTTCTTATATAATCAAAACTGTATGAAAGAGTAAACTTCATACAAATTTAGAAAACAACCCCAAAGATCCCACTGAATAACTTGTAAAATGTACATACAACACACCCACCAAAAGAAACACAACTACAAATCACATGAAAAAAAAAGTTTAGTCTCATTATAAACACGTTTGAACAAGTTTTAAGATGTTAAAAAACTGTCAGCTAATAAACGAACATAAGAACCAATACTGGTAACCATATTGAAACCCATATACACAAATTTCCCTTATGACCCTGCAAACAAATCCATGAGTTATAGAAAGTAACTGGGTTACTAGGTGACATTACTTATGATAAAGTGGCCCCGAGTGAAGAGTTGCATTGGACTAGGAGGAGATAGCAATGCTCTGGGTTTCTCTGAGAACACCAGCTCTTGGAATGTGAACAGATCTGTTGCAGGGATCCTGGAATCTCACTTAGGGTGTTGTTACAAGAGGCTGGATCATTGGAGCTATGTGGTGTCTTAAATCCACATTGCTTCCTGCACCAATGTAGACTTTGTCTCCTTGCACCTCAGTTGTCACCTGAGGTGCAAGGAGACATGTGGACTCCTGTAGGTAGGAATGCCCAGCACTGCCTTTGCAAAGATCTGGGCTCCTCCTCAATCCCTTGGAGTAGACTAGCGCCAGCTGGAGTCTGTGATAGTCTCATGAGTCTGAAAGTTTAGCTGTATATACAACAAGGAGTATAATGCAATAGTAAATTACTAAATTTACACACATTGCCATAATGTAACAAAGAGCTGTGGGTAATAGGGGAAGCTTCATTCTAGCTGGACTGAGAAGGAGGAGGAGGCCTACAGAGATGGCTGAGCTGGGCCTTGAGAAAGGATTTTGCCAGAGAAGTTGAAAGAAGAAGGCCATCTGAAGGACTTGGAACAGCAGCATAATATAGAATGTGTGAATATTCATAATCTATTTCTAGGCTCTCCTTGGTTGGTCAGAATCTGGAGAAGGGGCTGAATTTTCTGAGAGTCATCTGAATAGGACAGGAGTACTCACTCCCAAAGGGAAACAGGTAGTACAGAAAGGAGTGGGAGGTGTGGGGTTCTAGGGAAGGATAGTTTGCTGTAAGATGTAAAAGTGAGTGGGGGCAGTATGGCAGTGGGTAGCCAGGGTGACAGAGAGAGGGTGAGCTGCAGCCTGAGAAAGAGTTATTCAAGAAGTATTGCCACTTCCTGAGAGAAACCTAGAATTGATTTTTCTGGTGAACTGCTATTTCTTTGAGTTTATCAGACCTAGCAAAGACTAGGGCATTGGGTTCTGGCTTATATTAATGACAACTGCATGCCAAGTGCCAAATCCATGATTCTGCTTTTGAGTTACTGCTAGCCACCATGACCACACAATCCAACCCCTCCCTCATTCAACAATACCTTCTCAAAATTTTTTTTTCTTTTTTAATTAAAAAATTWATTATTATTATTATTATTTTTTTGCGACAGGGTCTTGCTATGTTTCGCTTGAACTATGGGCCTCAAGTGATCCTCCTGCCTTAGTGTTCTAAGTGGCTGGGACAATGGGCATGCACCAYCAATGCTTGGCTTGCCAAAAGCTTTCCCTCCCTCCCTTCCTTCCTTTCCTCTCCTTTTTTCCTTTTTTCCTCCTCCTCCTTTCTTCTTTTTCTCTCTTCCTTCTTTTTTTGCAGTGCTGGGGATGAAACCCAGGGTTTTGCAYATGCCAGGCAAGTACTCTACCACTGAGCTATATCTCCATCCTCACAAACATTTTTGATGATTCACTCAGCTAGAGAACATATATGTTATGGTTTGGATATAAGGTGGCCCTGAAAAGCTCATGTTAGATGATGCAGGAATGTTCAGGGGTGAAATTAGATAACGAGAGCTATAACCTGATCAGTGGATTTAACCATTTGATGGATTATGATTTGCACAGATTACTGGGTAGTAACACAGGCAGGTGGGATTTGACTGGATGACGTAGGTAAATGGGGCTGTGCCCTTGGGGATTATATTTTGTCCTTGGCTTCTCCCCCCACCACACCCTGTCTTCCTGGCTGAGTAGTTTTCTTCCACCATACCTCCGTCATGATGTTCTGCCTCATCTCATACCCCACTGAGCAATGGAGTCAAACAAACATGGACTGAGACCTCTGAAACTGTGCATGAAATAAACTTTTCCTTCTCCAAGTTGTTCTTGTCAGGTATTTTGGTCACAGCAATGAAAATCTGACTAATACAATATGCTGAGATCCAAAAGAGTTTAGAATGCTATATAGAATTTAAAAAAAAAATCTTTCCAAAGGCCTAATAAGACAATTGGTTGTGAGCTATAAATTCCTTTCCAAGCCTTGCCTCTTAAGGTGGCACAGTGGTGAGAATCAGGAGAACAGCTGGAAAACACTCAAAGGTATTGCTGTGCTGGTCTCACAATTTAGATAGGAAGTCCACCAAATAACACTGCAGCTAAGATAAGTCTGGAATAGATCTACCACTTAAATATAGATTTGGCCTAAGACAAAACCAATGTGAGTCTTCTGAGGTTAAGGTTAGGCACACCTAATAAAAAATGCTCCAAAATCTAAAACTTTTGAATGCCAATTTGATCCTACAAGTGGAAAATTCCATGCCTTGTTCACTAATAAAATTTTTAAAAATGTTGTAGAAAATTACTTTTAGGCTGTGTGTTTAGGTGTATGTGAAACATAAATTCACTCTGTGTTTAGATTTGGGTCCCACCTCAAGATATCTTCTCCCTAGCCTCTGCCCCCAAATATATATATTCCAAAATTTGAAAAAAATCCAAAATTCAAAATACTTCTTGTCCAAAGCATTTTGGAAAAGGGATATTCAACTCATAATGAAGAGGTCCTGGGTAACAAATAGGCACAATCACCTTGCCTTCCCACAGGTTTATGGGTGTTTTACTTTAAATGTTCTTTCCCAACCAATGATTACAGTAATACTTGCCGCAGTCTGGCTGGGCACAAATCACGAGCCACTAAAGTAGGAACAAATTTTATTTTTTCTACTGCAAGAAAAAACCTCACACACGCTCTTGGGGAATCCTCCCGAAAAAGCCACGAGGCTCCTCCAGGAACCCCCAGCCGGAAATATCTCACCGGGAAAACCCTCCTCCTGCCCTTCGCCAACCAATGGGAACTCCCGGGGAATCCCCGTGAGAACTAAAAATAGCGCGAGAACTCAAAATTAGCGCTAGAACTCAAAAAGTAGCGGCAGAGGCGGATATTAACGCCTTGCCTGTCAATCAATACTGTTGGCAAAATGCCAGGGGCCATACAGACTCGGCTGTGGCTCTCAGCAAATACTCAACAGTAAAGACGTGCTGTTCATCATTTTGGCTCAAATGGAGGAGATAAAAAAATTGATCTTCTTCTCCATATTCTATTTTCTTTATATTTCCCTTGAATCCAATATTAAAAATGTATCCTCCTCTTACCTTGCATTTCAACAGTACATTACATTCACCTGTCACTTCCCAACTCAAATACTCAGCAAAATGTGGACCTATAAAATTTTAATGACATAAATAATCACTTTATCAATCACAAAATGCAAGATCAAAGCTCATTCTTAAATCCTAAAATAATTTTGTTTGAAGTCAAATTTTAAAAATTATCGATTTAGTTCTAACTATTTTTAATGTCTGAATATTTAATGACCAATATTTTCAATTCTTTTTTATTTCATCAGGTATTAGTAACATAATCAATACTATTCATTTAATTTGTTATGGAAATAATCTTGGAATATTTTATATAAAATTTGGTTTTTACCCTCTCTCTCTGCCTGTTTTTACCTTGTTTCCTGATCCATTCTTGTCGCTGGAATTCAGCTTCTTTCTGGAGCTTTTTATAAACTAGAAGTTGAAAAACAACGGAGTATGAAATTGAGTTGAACAGCATAAATACCATGCCCAAGCCAGCCACCATTGCTAAATAACTTATATTTGTTATTACCATGCTCATACATTGTGATGACTCTACTCATTTTGATTTTTATAGATGAATAAATAGGCTGAGAAAGGTTAAGTAACTTTTCCAAGGTCATAAAGGTAGAAAATAGTGAAATGATATTGGATATCGCAAACAGAGATCTGGCAGCCTTGCCAATGCTTGGTTAAATGCCACATTTTAAATCTTGGCATTTTCCACAGGGGTTTATGGCAGCTGACTACCACAATCTAGTTATAATATATGATTAACAGATTTGGCATGCAGTACTTTTGCATATTTTTCTTCTCAAGTTAAGTAAGTTAGAGTAAGTACATATTGTAAAACAATGTCCTGGCTTATTTCTGAGACACATATACAATCTTGGTTGTGCTATAACTTCTTTCACTGCAGATTTTAGTAAGAAGTGCTTGTTTATACATGAGACTATTTAAATGCAGCCTTGCTTAAGGGCCAGGGATACGCTTGGTATTCTTTTAAATTAATGTTTATTCCTGAAATGAAATACTATGCAAAATATTAACTGAAAATTGTATTTTGATCATAGGAATCCAATTAAGGAACAATTCCCACTACCTTTCACAGGATCTCTTTGTGTCAAGGGGTATTGGCATGGAAGGGAGCAGTAAGGCCTTCCAGTTACTGTTCCTCAGGATTCTTACCATCTCCAATGAGGACAAGAGTAGAATGGCCAGTTGCTTTCCCATCTTGAATCTGGAAYGTATACGTTCCCTCATCTTCGTCCTGCAGTTTTTCCATGAACATTTCAATTATGCCAGTGTTTCGGTCAATATGCATCTTGTATTTCTTCAATGTGAAAAGATAAAGAGAGAAATCAGTGAGGTAGACATTTCACTTTGATGACAATAAGTCTGATGAAATAAAAATGAAGCCCAAGAATCACATTTTTAATATTATTTCCTGACAACCAAGCAAGTTCATTAAAATCTTGCACCTGGGAAAAGGAACATATTTCTTATATGAATACATGACCTAGATCAGAACGGATGACCAAATAATTTGAAATTTAATTTTTTTAAGTTTAAATGAAGTTTTGTTACTCTATGTTACAAAATATTGTCAAAAAGTTATTTAAGATTCCCATTTACCTTCCAGATTACACTATTTTTTAGTTAGCAGGGTAATATAAAACTCTAGGTAGCATGGGGGAAACAGCTTATCATTCATTGCTATATCCTCAGCGTCTAGCACATTTCTGGTATACGATGGTCAATAAATAAACATCTGCTAATAATATATTAATTAAATGCTTCTAAAGCATTAAAATCAATTTGTTCTTAATAAACTATTTCATTTTTATTAGGTTGTTTTGTTACATTGTTTAGACAACTTTTTTTCAGAGTGTAAAGGTCAATCTTAGTCCCTGGCACAAATTCCATAAATCTGGATTAATGAAGTTTTGCTATAAAATATATCCCAGAATGAAGGCTTAGGTCTGGGACCAACTCTGTGGCACAATTCATGCCCCAGAGCCTCTTCTGCAGGAAGTCAGTCTCCAGCTGAGACCAATTTTTACTTAGCTTTCTCTGACCCTAGCCTGCTTCTTTCACCTTCTTTTCTCCAGAGAGCACCGCCCCTACATCATGAATAAGAAACTATTTAAACTCTCCAGCTATGGAACTTGACATAGGCAATAGTGTATGCATGCATGGCTACATGTGTGCATGCTTGAACACATAAAGTCTACACATGTGTGTATGTCAGTGGTTATGGGGGAAATGATGCTAACCATAATCTTCCTTCCTGTCCTCCAGCCAGGTGTCCTCATAGCAGTTGATGAGAACACTTTGGAAATGGGGAGGAGATGGACCCCAGTGGACATACAAGTGAAGGGATCTAGCTTTATACAAAGTTACCCTGTATGTTGAAAAGTGCATACAAGGAAATGCTATTCCTCACTAAAGATCCTTAAATGTTTTAACATAAACAGCAATAAAAAGATAATAAGTTGCTAGTAATGGCCACAAGCCATATCTCCTCCCCACTTTCATTTACATCCAYGACAGCACAGGAGAGGGCTACAGACCCGGAACCCCAAGTTCTTTAGTACATCAGGGCATTGGCCTAATCATAACTCTACTGATGTCTTTGGGGAGGACAAATAAAGCTCAGATGTATTAAGTCTATCTATAAAAATTAAATTTACATCAAAAGGAAAGGAAATAGCATTATATAGACGTACACAGAAGTATGGAAAAAAGCTCCAAAAGTATATACAATCAAGTACATTAAAAGTTGTAAGAATGTATGATCTGTCCTGAATCATTACAGTGTTTTACAATAAGGATTCATTGCATTTTTAGTTAGAAAGGCAATGAAAGATATTCCTACTGCATTTTCCTGAGCCACTGAAACAAGATATTATTTTCTCCATGTAATGTATCAAGTCTGTTGGGGTTTCTGACACATTAGAAACTAAAGATGGCCTGCATCTTTTTTAACAGCTCATTAAAAATTAACAAAAAATGCCAGAGTTCTGGCTTTTGAAATGGAGAATACTAGTTTACATTTTTTACCAAGCTGTAGAAGTGTGCGATGAATTCAGGAGAGGCAGCTCTGTTTCCCTGGGTTACTATACTTCTTGGTTTACCTGAAACAGTATTGATTTATAACTGTTGTCCTGGAAAAAATTATTAATAGCACTCTCTTTCAATCTCAAAAGTGTCTCAGTTTCAATAATACAATACAGTTCCTAAGTATTTCTTCTTCACATTCTTTTCACATATAAGAATGATTTAGACTCCACTCTACTGCCCAGTAGTTTTCATAACACTTTATCCATGTTCTAGTAGGGCATCCTCCATGTGTTCTACAACGATACATTTAAAAACCTAAAAAGCATAAAACCTACCGGCCCGTCAAAAATTTCCTTCTCATTAAATATGTAGTTGACTTTGGCATTGCCAGAGAGCTTCTCAGCCTGCATCCAAAACCGGACCTGACCTTTCTCCAAAATTTCAACTGCCAACTCTGATTTAGCTGGGACAGCTATAAAAAACAAAAACATAAACACAGTAATTATATTGGTAGCTGATAATAATGATACRGATTGTTCGACACGTGAAAAATTAGACAATGGGAGTCTGACATGGTGGTGCATGCCTGTAATTCCAGTGGCTTGGGAGGCTGAGGCAGGAGGATCACGAGTTCAAAGCCAGCCTCGGTAAAAGTGAGGTGCTAAGCAACTCAGTGAGACCCAGTCTCTAAATAAAATACAAAATGGGGCTGGGGATATGGCTCAGTGGTTGAGTGCCCTTAAATTCAATCCCCAGTACCAAAAAGAAAAAAATAAAAAGGTCAATGGGAATAGTGCTTTTGCAAAGCCCAGAGGCAGTGAGAGCTTTGTAGGAAAAACCTCAGATTGAGGGACAGGAAACCTGGGCTTTTACCCTGGGGCTGTCACCATGGGAAAGTTGTTCACCTTCACTGAATCACAGTTGTCTCAACTGTAAAAAGGAAGAAGATGAACTTACCTCTAGGGGCACATCCAGCTAATATCTGTGACTCTCCTCTATGGCTTTGGTTAGGTTTATTCAAGGGCAATAATGAGATCTAAAGAAGAGTTCTGCACTGGCCCCAGGAGAGCCCAAGGTCTGCTACTAGCAAATGTGTGACATTAGGGTGGTTACCTTGTGTTGCTGGCTCTCATTTGATGTGTCTGTAAATGAGTTGGATTAAACTAAATGCCCTAATTAACCATGATCATTTTCCAGCTCTAACATTCTAAGGTTTAGTATCTTAATTACTTCAGATTATTTAGAAAGGAGTTACATTTGATTTAATTTAACTTACTTCAGGTTTTTTCAAATGTTTTTAAAAATATAGATCTTAAAAAAATGAATTTTGACTACACAGTTGGCCCTCCGTATCCATAGGTTCTGCACCCATGGGATTCAGCCAATGGATCAAAATACATTGTTTTAAATTGCATTTGTCCTGACCAGATGCAGACTGTTTTCCTGTCATTATTCCCTAAACAATGCAGCAGAACAACTGTTTACATATCATTTGCATTGTATTTGGCATTATAAGTAATACAGATAATTTAAATATGTGGGAGAATGAGGGTGGGTTATATGTGGAATATTATGTCATTTTGTTAAAGGGACTTGTGCGTCTATGGATTTTGTTATTGGCAACGGGTCCTGAAACCAATCCCCCACATATACTGTGGGAAGACTATATATTCAGTCATTTAAACCCTATTCTCCTCAGTGATATATTACCTCATTTTAGTTCCAAGACCAAGCAAAATTATTCAGAGGCAAATAAATGAGCCACTATCAAGATGCTCTATCAAAATACAGCATAGCTTTCTTCACCTAGAAAACAGAGGAACCATATGGCATCTCTAATTTATCCTAATATTGCTTAAGCCGTTTGAGTCTCAGTGACATTTAAAAGGTTGGCTGATATCACAAAACTCATTTTTTAATTTCTCACAACTTGGAAGTGTTCTCCAGAAAGGTTCCTCTGGCCGTGGTTTTCTATCAGACGTGGCTCCAGGGCATACTTTGTGGAAAAGGTTGGCTGTTTCTCACAGTTTAGTAATCCTTAACTTCCTTTAGGGGAAATTACTACCATTTATTTCTCTAAATTGTTCTTAAGCTTATTTCAAAAATTTAACATGTGTTATATTTTAAATTACAAGCTAACAAACTTGTATCAAGTGCAAATTAACATTCTTTGTATTTACTCTAAATCTACCCCATCAAGCTTAAAGGGACACCTTTCCTTTGCATTGTTCCCTACCCACTACAAAATTCAGCTATGGGCTTGTTCTGGTTGAGAACTGAAGAATGCTCAGATATCATCTACTGAGGAGATGCACCACAGGGGAGAGGATGGGCTGTGGAGTCACACCGTCCTCTTGAACAGTTATTCTCCTCCTTAAACCTTGTGCTCCTCGCTTGCTAACGTGGATGTGAAGTGCCTATCAAGGCTGTTGAGAAACTGAAGTCACATTAAGATTCTGTGAATAATGATCAGTGCTCAAGATAACCATTTTGAGTCTTCCTCCCCTAATTTTACTGATGAGAAAACGGAATCCCAGGAATGATTAGTAACATATGGGTCCTAGCGCTGTRGTGAGGGTTATTCCCTCTCTTCTGTATTCCTCTTGATTCCAGTTGTCCCCTGGTGTTCCAATGAGAGCAGATGTCTGGGAAAAGCAGATAATGGAGGGATCCCTGGGTGGCCAGAGCAGAGGCTAAGCTTTCTCCCCACAGAATGCTCATGCTTGCTACAAGTAAGTCTTGAGCACAGCAGGAAGTCTTCTAGAACTCTGGAAACCCATTCTGGAACACAGACCCACATGAATCATCTCAGAGGACCCAGGGCAGACTTGTCAGGTGCAGGCACAGGAAGAGCCCATGACATGACTGGGGAACAGGTACCAGGGACAGACCACTTGGTCTTTCCCAGCTGTGTGCAACTGCTCTAGTTACTTAACTTCTCTGCACCTCATGTTCTTTATCTCTAAAGTCAAGTCACCATAGTACCAACCTTCTATGGTCATTGTGGAGTTCAAATAATAAATTCTGTTTAAATATCCTRTAAAAAGCCTGGCATATGATAAGCGCACTGTAAATGTTAGCTATTAGTATTTTTGTGGCTTTTTCTTCTTCCAGTTGCTTCCACAACATTCTCCAACTACCAATTATAAAATATAATGTGTTGACAACTTCAGATTGCAAAGCAAGATATCTATATTTACATATATGTGATTGGGTAGGTCTGCATACATATATTATTTGTACCCAGATAGGGTAATAACCAGTGCCTGCAAATGAGGAGAGATTCTGCAGGCTGTTGAAGACACTGAAGTACACCCTCCCCCTGCAGATAAGCTTTCTCTTCACACTGCAATTTAGTATCAATACTGGCAAGACAGACTGTTATTTTCCATTTTTAGCTTTATACATTTCCCCCCTTTTTCTCAGCTCTAAATTTCCTTCAGCTCTTTTCTCTGGCAGTTAACTTGCATCCAGCAAAATGTGTTATTTGTAGGTCTAAGGCATATGCTTAGTGGCTTTCAAAATATTTTTTTGCCAACAGCTTAACATGGGACTTCACTGTGCTGAAGGATAAAGGAACACCATACTCTTACATTCTGTAAGGAAGATGAGACCATTTGAAACCTTATAAAATTTCAAGAAAATGACTTAGTTAATGTGTCAACAYTGAGAAGAAGTGGGTATAAGCCGAGAAATCATCAGAAAGGCTGCTTGGATCCTATCATCAGATCTCTGAAAATGTTCATGTAGTGACCTCATTGTTGTGATATTGGTAGGCGAGAGAAAAGTGCTGGAACCATAATATTTAGAATGCTGTATCAACGGGCAATGAAAACTCCTTTGGGTAAGAGATTTGATAATTGCATTGAGAATTTTACACATTTTCTGTGCCCACCAAGCTACTACAGCTAGTCTATAATAAAGGACACTAGAGTTTGTTGCAACCCCCTCTCCTAGCACCACCAATTAGAGACTGTAGGCTTATTCAAAATAAAATACCTCAGTTTAARTGACAGCAACATCAGGCAATTATGGCCACCATCTCCAGTTTCATGCGATCGCTGAACTCCAAGGAGGCCCAGGCCATTTGAACTCAACAGTGACACCCTGTCCTGTCTTTTTTCATCTCCCTCCTTTAAACTGAATTTAAATACCGTGGAAACCAACGGCTACCTAGACAATCCCGGTCCTTTGTTGTCTGACTAACTAGATTAGTAGATGCAGCTGCTTCTCTTCATTTCTATCAGCGTTTGACACTATGAATATTGGTAGAAAGGAGAGAATTAGCAACGCAAGCACCCTACATGCCTCGGAGACAGCTCTCTGCTGTAGGTGATATCAACTACTCTGATAGCTATTCCTGGAAAAGAAACCAAGGTCTAGGAAAATAGAAGGGAGCTGCTCAGTTCACAGGGTGAGCCCAAAGTRCAGTAAGAAGAGCATCCAAGCCAGACCTCTACCTTCCACGCTGTTTTTCAAAATTAACTTTTAAAACATCACTCGGGCTATTATGTTTCCAGTTTAATGGTGGATAAGAGTATGGATGAAAATGGTTTGCTTAATGCCATGAGGCTGATTCTCCAGAATAAAGTCTGCACCTGACATTCATGTTCCATAAACACTTTACTCTGCAGCTTTGTTAACAAGAGTTCATCTGGAGAACATCATGGCTGAGSCCAATAGTCACCAACGCTCAGCCTCACCATACAAAAAAATAAAATAAAATAATATTCCTGGGGAATATAAGAGTAAGAAGGTTCTAGAGCAGTATTTTTTATTTTTATTTTTGAAAAATCACAGCCTCCAGTGAGAGTTTAAGGAACATTCTGGATCTTCTCTCTAGAAAAATGCACATATGCAAATATATAGCTTTGTCCACAGTCTGGGATAAGAATATAATTTGGGGGATTTCTGAAGCTTCTGTATTTGTGAAGAAAAGATATCTTTAAGTATTAAGGAGTTCCTTTAAGTTCCTAATTTAAAAGAATAAGGGTATTTTGTTACTATTTGTTTTCTCAAGCTCTACGGTGTGCCTTTCTGGATGCTTTAGTACTGGCAGGGGTAAGAGATCCTGTCAGGCCTGTGGAAGCTTCTGAGTGTTATTTCAGACTCCTTTCTCTTCTCTTCGGTGTCAGCTGTGGAATTTAATCTTTCATGTAGAAGGTGCTTTATTTAAGGGTGTGTAAGTAGTTCAGAAGGATTCTTTTTCTGACCAAGGCATCTTTACCCTATTTTCCGAGAGTATAAAGTGGTAGGTGCTATCTTTAGATTGTCTTTATTTGGAGGTATGATTCTTCTATTAAGTGCCAACATCACTTAAGAGAATATTAGTTTGCCTAAAGACATTAATGAATTTATCCAGAAGAGATATAACTGATTCCAAAATATGTAGTAAAAAGAGAAKAACTTAAATGCTCAGATGTTATGCCTATGTATCCTGACACTTCTGTGAAATAAAGCATAGGATATATTTTCTATGTTAGTATCTTAGTTTCTATGGAAAACAAGAGCAAGGGAAAAACTACCACTTCTATAAGGTGGTTCTGTAGTTGCTGATCTATTATATGTTCTCAAGAGTGTCTTTTTTTAAAAAAATTATTTATTTATTTATTTATTGTGTGTGTGTGTGTATGTGTGTGTGTATGTATGAGAGAGAGAGATTGGGGATTGAACCATGGGCACTGTAACATTAAACTATACCCCAAACCCTTTATTATATTTTACTTTGAGACAGCATTTCACTAAGTTGCCCAGGCTGGGCTGGAACTTGCAATTCGCCTGCCTCRGTCTCCTAAGTAGCTGGGATTACAGGTGTGCACCACCATACCTGGCTGAGCCTCTTCTCTGGATCCCATCAGAGCTGCCATTTGATTTTATTGCAAAAGTTGCCCCCTGGTAAGACTGCTAACATCTGTGAATGTATTGTRCACACTTACTTGGGAACTTGTGTTCGTGGCTGAGAGCAAGTAAACGTTTCAATTCTGTAGGGAGAAACCGAAAACAGTTACACCTTGAACTACTAAAAGTCACTTGAGACTAACTGAGAAATTAAAGCMACATTAGAATTGTGACTGAACTGATCTTAAGCTTACCTTCCTCATCTATTACGTAGCTTGATGCTATCCCGTCAGTATCTGTTACGTCACAGGAGTAAATGCCCAAGTCATCCATCCCGAGGTCTTTAAAGGTCAATTTTGTCCTGCAGAATAAAAAAAATATATATATATATATATTTTAGAATGGGGCCATGCCAGGACTGTGGGCCTGTGTTTCTCCCTCTCTAGGCATCTTCGTGAATACTCTTTTCATTTGGAATACTTGTCTTTTCCTCCTTGCTGAGCTGAAGCCTGTTCATTCTTGATGTCTCAGATTAAATGTCATTTCCATTTGGAAGACTTTCCTGCCCTCTTTCCAAGGGATGATGATGAATGAGGTGGGGCTGGTACAAATCCCCCAACTCCAAGCCATGCTTCATACTAACACACATCCTGCATAAAGACATTTCACTGATTAGCCTTGCTGGGGGACTAAATAACTCTTCCATAGTGCAGAATATGCTATGGATATTTCTAGATGCTTCTCTTATGCTTCCCCTGTTTTTCCTTTTCTGAATTTATTATACAGTGCTAGTATTGTCCCTCTGTATAATCTCTGTGCCTCCAGAGGCAGGATCTGTGACTGTGGTATCCTTAGATCCCAGCACCTTGTCGGTCTTATATAACATGTTGCATGAATAATGAAAGGACCAATGGTCTAGTTCATTATGTTTTCTAACTTGGCAAACTTTATCACTAGTCTGTGTCTAAAATCAACCAAACATATAAATGTTAAATGTACAAAGTAGAAAAAAATATTATAGTTTGATTGCCTTTTCTTTGACCAAACGTATTTGACTTCCAGAATTGTGGAAGGTACTTCATGCTCCTATGGTGAAAAGGAAACCCATCATTAAAATGGAAACAATCCTTACTTGTTGCCTTTGCTTTCAACTTCTAATCGTGGAGAGTCCTCAGTGGATATGTAATCTTTGGACCAGGTGAATTCTGACTTTGGAGTCATCTGATCACATTCAAAGTTCAGTGAAATGACTCCATCATCATCCACATTTACAACAACCTCTTTGGTTCCTAGAAGATCAAAAAGAAGGTACTGATACTTTGTGGCAGCAACCAACAAGTAAGAATTCCTTACCTTGGGATACTTTACTTCCACCTGAAAGTAAGGTCCTGAGCCTGGCAAAGAAAGAGCCCCAACTAATCATTGTGGATGGACATTCTTGCCTTAAAATTCAGCTCCTATACTGTAACACAGACTTAAAATAACGTGCCGTGTAGGTAAAGTCAACACCATGAACAATTTTGGTTGGCCAGGGAAAAATTGGCTGATATGACAGGTGATACAATTGTGGGAGTGGATTAACTACAATAAGGAGACAAGACTKCCTTGAGAAAAAAGAAAACTGACTCTCAGGTCCTAATTATAACTTTTGCTTCAATAATATCCATATCCAATAAGCCACTAGGAAAGGATCGAAGGGGACAAAGAAACTAAAGAGAAATTGAAGGGGAGACAGAATAAGACTTGCCTATGTTCACATGTTGGGAATTTATCAGTTATTTTAGAATGGAGAAATATATGGGAATTTATTATGTTGATCATATAAACATAAATCCATTTAAAAATGCCCCTCTGGATTAGAATGCTAGCAACCTAGAAAGGCTGTTATTGAACAGCATGAAAATTTAAATAGAAATGAATTTCAAGAGAGGCAGTATGTTTCGAGAAGACTGGTGTGTGAATTTTAAAAGAAAACAATTTGGTTAGTGTTTTCAGTTATTTTATTCTTTTGAGAGTTATAATAAATTGCACCTGTCTCTAATATCACAATTCAAAAAGAGTTTGTACAGATTAGAAAACATTCACATCTATGCCTAAATCCAGTTTGAAAAAAGCAAAACATTGTACTCAAACTTATATACTCATTCAATTGTCAGCCTGAAATTGGTTTGTTTCAGTATGTTAAAAAAAATTATAGTCCAGAAAGGTATGGCTTTATTTTATTATTATTATTATTCTTTTTKGGGGGGTGGGTGGGTACCAAGGATTGAACTCAGAGGCACTCAGCCATGGAGACACATCCCCAGCCCTATTTTGTATTTTATTTGGAGACAGGGTCTCACTGAGTTAGTTGCTTAGTGCCTCACTTTTGCTGAGGCTGGCTTTGAACTTCTTATTCTCCTTCCTCAGCCTCCCAGGCTGCTGGGATTACAGGCATGCACCACTGTGCCTGGCTTATTTTTTAAAATATATTTTAAATTTTTCCAAAACATATCTCACAAAGGAATGATGTTTTCTCTTCCGACTGTATTGTAGGAGTCCAACATCTTGGTCTACCATCAATAAAACTTGTCAGTGGGAAAAAGGTGTCAAAATCTTCTGAGGGGAAGGCCAAGAGGAAATGTGCGTCTGAATTGTAAGTAGCATGAGGAACATGATCATGCTTTCTGAATCTGACAGGTGACCTAATGAGGATTCTTATGAATGGCAGTGTGTGCTTCAACTATCAATCTCCACAAAGTGAGAAGTTTAATGAACACTAGCTCTAGGAGATGTTTAAAATTTCTTCAAGAAACCAACAGGGGCTGGGGATATGGCTTAGTGGTAGAGTGCTTGCTTAGCATGCACAAGGCCCTGGGTTCAATCCATAGCACCACAAAAACAAAAMAAACAAAAATCCAAACAGGATGATTTTCTATTTGGCTATACAGATAACCTAAAATAATGATCAATTAAAAGTTTAATTGTTCCTTAAGTGAAACATTCATTCTATGTCCTTTGTAAAGGGCTTAATCTATTTCATAGTAAGTTGCAGACCATGGTTTATTTCTATTCTTGATAACATATGACCAATCCTCATATTCCTTTGTTGTAAAATAAATATTGAATAAGCATTCTTATTAAAACTTCAGAGAAGAGTGTGGTGGTTTACATCTGTAATCCCAGTGATTTGGGAGGCTGAGACAGGAGGATTGCAATTCAAAGCCATTTCAGCAACTTATCGAGGCCCTAAGCAACTCAGTGAGACCCTGTCTCAAAGTAAAAAAAAAAAAAAAAAATTTAAAAAAGGGGTGGGTGGGGAGCTGGGGATGTAGCTCAGTGGTTAAATGCCCCTGGGTTCAATCTGTGGTACTAAAATAATAAATAAAATAAATAAATAAAATTTGAGGGAAAAAAAATGAACACCAAAGAGCGTTGAGGCTTAGTGTTATAATACACAGTTTGCATGGCTGAGTCGCTGTAAGAATATAAATCAAAGATTTTTTGTTTATCTGTATTGTTATGAAGAGGAAAGAAGTCTTAGGTATTGACTAAATCTTTCTTGATTTTTGCATACTGTCTATTTTGGAAGCATAACTGCTCATATTAATCATTCATTATCTTAGTTGTAATCCTTCTTAAAAGGAAGTGAATCATCCACATTCTTGCTGTTTAGTATATTAAAGGCATGACTTGAGTTTACAACATAAAAATATTGCTTGGGTTAAGAATCTTGATGTTCACTAACATGAGAAATTGGATTTTTCTGCCAACAAAGGAGTCATAAAAGTGAAAGAATATGGACAATTCCATTAGCTTTGCCTTTTTCTCAGTTCTGTAGATAACCTTTGTACTATAAAAGCTCACCCATTTGGCCWCTTGCCCAAAACCAAAAAATAAGAAAGCATGCCTTTGCTGATGTGACAAAGTCCATAGATCCTCACATGGAATCTATACTTCACTGGAGAAAATTCTAACTAGCCTATTTTGTCGGTTTCCCTCAGTAGATTAAACTAAAATAATGAGAAGGAAGTAAGAAGCTACTATCTTTGTAAGGAAAATGAGAGCAAGCAGGAAAACTAAAAAACAGGCACAAAGACATTATTTCATAGAGGGACGAATTGCATCTCATTCCAAAATGACATCACTTATTGCAATACTGCTCCATAAATAAGGTTGGTACTTGTGGCTCTGAGCCATACAGAAAAAGGTAAGTATGATTCAGCAGGCTGCATCCAAGGAGACTGAGAAATGCTACTGAAATGTGGAACCTATTTTTAAATAATTTCATCAAAAAAATCTTAAAATGACATTTTAAAGCTTGGAAGTATAGAACAACTGGAATTTAAAACCATGATTTGCTGAGGTTTCTGAGCCAAATTTGGTCCCACACCCAGTGTGACTTGGAGAACAGGATAGCCCTGCTTAGCTGTTGGAAAATATAGAGCTATCTTAATGRAGTATTCTGGAAAATGAAAATTTTAAAAGTAACTGGTTGATCTTTTGTGAAAATAYGAAGTAAAACCAAAGAAGTTACCTATTTTCCTTTTAAAATGAAAGGTAGTATTTTTAAACAATATTCTTCTATTTTTTTAGTTGTAGATGGACATATAACCTTCTATTTTTATTTATTTATTTTTATGTGGTGCTAAGGATTGAACCCAGTGCCTCACACATGCCAGGAAAGTGCTGTGCCCCTGAGCTACAGCCCCAGCCCAAAAGATAGCATTTTTAAGTCTCAAACAATAGATGTGGAAAATTAAACTGACATTGCCTTTGAAAAAAAATAGACTCATCCTTCCTTCTGGGTTTATGAATAGAGAAAAAAGTGGTTTTGGAATTTTTATTTTATATATTTATGTTGTGTGTGTATGGTAATAGTGATCAAACCCAAGGCCTTATCCYTGACGSTCTACCATTGAGCCACATCCCCAGCTCTAGTAGACACTTTAGAGAAGTTACTTGGGACAACAAGGAATAAATGTGAGAAAGCAGGAATTTAAAGCAAAAATATATCTTTTGAAAAGTTTAAAAGTAGGCAAAACAATTAAAATATGAGGTTGGAGTTTTCTTTCATATGGATGTGTTAGACAATAGATTTCCCTTTATATAATAAGAGAAGTGGTGTTGGTCATCTGGAGGGCCAGTCTTTCCAGATACTAAAATCTARGAGTAATTAACAATATAACTCCTTAAGTAAGGGTTCCTGAATACATAAAAGGCAAAAAATTCTATTGCAATTTTACAAAGACACATGRTATTCAAATGGATGATCTTTTATATAAATGCTCTAGAAAAACCAAAACCAATGTCTTAACCTATAAAGCAACAATGGCATTTCTAACATGCCCCAGGCTAACTCTCCAAATAACACCATAGGGAGATTAAATTTGTACAGTGTTGGAGAAAAAGTCCAAGAGAAAAGTATAGCTGTAACATTCTCAAAAAAAAATTTTTTTTTTAATGTTCCAGGGTTTAAATGAGCTTGGGCCAAGAGCTGAGGTAATGTCAATTAATTCATGGCTGATTCATTCTCTAASTTGATTAAAGTATGAACAAAGTGATTCAGATACTTAATGGGCAGGAGGAAGCAAGTTTGATGTTCTACTATCATCTTAAAGGAAACCTAGTGGATTCCTTCCAGACTAAGGTTGTCCCACTTTTTACAGAAAAGTTGGGCTTGAAAAGTGAACTAAAATTTGTCATGACTTACATTTTCTAAAAAATGATCTTTGAATTTGTTCAAGAACATRAAGAATGCAATAAAAGAGAGATTTTGACTTGCAAACTCTTATAAGAGTTGTCCCCAGTCAACTGCTCAACCCTTAACAAAGCCCTAATAAGGACACAGGAATATCCAATCACACAAATGGCATCTTAGCAGTCTTCCAAGAGCCAGGAAGCCCCAGAACATGGGTTATTAGAACGTGGCCCAGGGCTACTATGAGTWTTTTGAAAATTAGCCAACTCTGCCCTACTTTTCTCTCATATAAATTTTTCTTTAAAAGAAAAAACATAGATTTAAAAGGTGAAATAAAATCTCTGAAAACTGCCTTCTTCTATACTTCCTAATTTGATATGAGGCTTTTTGTCTCATATTGTTTAAAGTCTTTTATGTCAGCATTAATGTATTGTTTTATATGCTGTGTAGCTATTTGTCCTTCTCCACTGTATGTGTGTGTGTGTGTGTGTGTGTGTGTGTGTGTGTTGTTGTTGTTGTTGAGAAAAACCTAAAGAGTGGCTAGAGTCAAGCATATGGAAGTGTACTGAGCTGCCCCGTTTGTGGGGAGGGTTGCTGCCTGACCCCCTGCATCCCTTACTGGATGTTTCTTTCCCAGTCCATCCTTTATAACCAGGACATGTATCACAACATRCCCAGGGAGAAGTGTACATACTGAGTCACATTCACTGGCTAAACATAGTTATTCATTATGTTTTTGCTTAGTAGATTAACTAATATATACTATACCAGGTACTATGCCAGACTCTCAGCATATATACAGAAAAGATACAGCTCCCTATTGGGAAGGTGCTCAGAGTCTAATGCCTACTTCTTGAGCCTGGTTTCAGATTGGAATCACTCAAGGAGTTAAACAAACAATAGGCTCAGCCTTAGAGATTCTGACTTAATTGGTCTGGGTGGCAATACTTTTGAAGTCCCTGGCATGATTCTAAATTACAGCCAAGGTTGAGAACTACTGTCCCAGTAGGTGAAAGATCTATTAGTAAGCACATTTTAGGGTGGTTTTCTAAAGGAACCAGTTGAGCTTATTGCTAGGAGTTGGTCTGGCTTCCTGCTTCAGAGTCTTCCAAGGATCCACCAAGAGGCCCCTGGGTACATAGTAGCTTTCTCAGCCTTACCAGGCTCTGGGCCAACCAACTGTTAGACTCTGGGATTGTAAAGTGACCTTCATTACTAGGATGTCAACTCAATCCCAAATCATTATTCCTTCTGTAAGTGTATTCTGCTGACCTGACTTGTTCCTCATGACCAAGTGCTAGCATTCTGTGAYCCATTTCTTTCTTGGGGCCCTGCCTGGTGTTCAGATTCTTGCCCATCACCKGATTCTCCTGCCCACTGCAGTTTTCTCTGGTAAGAATACCTGCAGCCTGTACTGCCAGCCTGTTGCCCTCCTGATCACCTGCCACACCTTGGCAGGTSTCTCTCTTGGCTCTCATATGATCTGTCTCATCTGGCCTCTACCTCCATCCTCTGGCCTGATGCAATCAACCACAGATACTGCTTTAATAATATCAAATATCAGATGAGAATGTCCTTTTGGGTACCAAAAAATCTACCCCAAATATGATTCCACCTATTCTTATTTATAGGCTTCTTTAGCTAAAGGATTTCATGGGAAAGCATGACATACTTTGTAGCAGTGGCTGGAGTACATCYACTTACATATTCTTTGACTTCAAAGGGAGTTCAGTGATCCGAACAACCCCCAATGGATTAGGTTAACTTTTAAATGGAATTYAGTTACACTTGAGGTATCCTGTTAGAAGTATTTGCAGTTTGCTGTTACATGATAAGCTTGGTTTTCTATCTGAAATTTTAATACTGGATACCAGAAGAAGTTCTTCTGAAACAGTGATCTAAGTTTCACATCCCAAATCTTGAAATTGATAACATGCCCCTACACTCCATCCATTCTAAAATAAATACATGAGAAAAAGTCATCTACTGATATTTAATAAAATTACTAAGCATAGCCAATTTGGGGCTATCTATATGCTTTCACAGGGACTCACAAAATCTTGATACCTGGTTTATAGCCTATTTGGCTACGAAGATATATTATCCTAGCTCTCTCATCATACCATGTTGTAAACTCTGCTGTTGTTATAAGAYTGTAAACTAGTATGCAGTAAGAATGACACATTACTCTACCCCCAAGGCCCACACAGCATYAGGCAACAGAAGGAATTCTAGAAATACATGTTGCAAGAAAGAATGTGCTTGTTGCCCATAAAATAAGTCCAGCATCACTGGAGTTTTGGCACTCCTGCATGGGGAAGCATCTTGGCTTTGTGTGTCTCAGGATTGATTCTTTTTCAGACTRTGAGCCAATGACTCCTGAACTCCTATATGGTGCTGCTTAGTGTATACCTGTCTGCAGCTGCTGGTTGGAGTTACATTCTGGGAATGGAAGGGCCACAAAAATGACTTTGGGGACAGTCTTCCAGATCAGTGAAACAAAGCTCTCACTCAGAGGGTCTCAGATCCTTTCCTGGTGTCAAAATTTCCCTAGTGATGACACTGTTAATGTTAGATGCCTGGTCATCTGCCATTCTGAGGCTGGAGAAGAGCGAATAAGAAATTGCTTTGTGCTTTCTTTGATCTGATTGGGAATCTACAGGTTAAAGTGTGCTTTTGATTTACCCATGACTAGACTAGTAAGAGTTGACTCATCGAGCAATCTAAATGTTGTTATTATKAGAGTGTAGACACTGCCCTTGGGTCCTCACATATGTCCATTTGGCACTTTTAATATCTCCACAGTTGACAAATGAAGGGTCCTGTTTCTATAGGAGCATATGTCCCGGTGTCCCTTGTACATCTACTTTGACCTAGTGTGTCTGTTCTTAGCATTTTTCTGCTTTCTCCTGGAATTTTGCAATGGTTACTTACTTGGAGTGTAGCACTTTTTACAGACACCTGCCACACTTTTGTAAAGAAGGTCACCTTTGTCAGACTCATAGCTACAARCTAGTTTTCTAAAAAATATTTTATTAGTTGTTGATGGATATTCATTTATTATTTATATGTGGTCCTGAGAATTGAACCTAGTGCCTCACACATGCTAGGCAAGCACTCTACCACTGAGCCACAACCCCAGCCCCAAACTAGTTTTAAGAGTAACTGAAAATAGTTATTAAGATGAAAGGGGCAGATGGTTCCTGAAAAGGTATGCATTGTTTATAYTTTTTGAGTGACAAGTAGTAAAAATAGTTTCCTATGTTTACATTCTTTGCTCATTGGGAAAATAAATATCACATGATGTATCTGCTCTTGGTTCAYTTCAATTCTGAAAAGGAAAGATTAAAGTGAAAATACTTGAACTAGGATGAATAAAAACTTAAAAATAACTGGTTAGAATTTTTTAATCCTATTTTGCTTTCAATGCTTTCTTTTATGTAACTTTAAAGAACTGAAATGCATAATTTTAAAAAGACACAGATTGAATGATAAAAAGAAATAGTTATTATAGAATGATCTGAAATTATAGGGACAATGAACATTATAAAGTTTGTTCTCATAATAGAGGAAAGACTGTCTTCTTCTGTCCAATCCCAGCATCTCTTGAGTCTGGCAAGTTGAGGGCTGTCTCAGCTCGCAGACCATTCAGACAGGACTGTTGTTAGTTTAACCCATGGGTCAGCAAACTGTGGCCTGTGGGCTAAATATGGCTTGTTGCCTCTAATTGTATGGCCCACAAGCTTAAGAATGGTTTTTGTATTTTGAAACAGTTGAAAAAAAAATAAAAAGAAGATTTATATTTCAAGGCACATAAACATTATATAGAATTCAAATTTTATAATGCATAAAATGCATGATATTATTCAATGCATATACATCACRCACATAATAAATTTTATTGGAACACAGTCCTGCTCATCAGTTTATATATTATCTATGGCTGCTTTCATGCCATGGCAGAGCTGAGTAGTTGTGATAGAGACCATATAGCGGTAAAACAAAAAAATATTTACTGTCTGGCCCTTCACAGAAAGTTTGCTGACCCTTAGCTTCTTAATAGCTGCAATTCATTTAACTGGGCCATTTCAGCTTCCCCTATAATTGGGAGTATCTTATGGGACATAATGGCCAGGACATAATGGAAACCATTTCCCAGGGACTTTTGTTTGGAAGAGTTGGTTCAGGAGGCATAATWTGATCCAGAATTTCTGTTATTTATTTTATTTTATTTACCGTGCTGGAGATTGAACCCAAGGCCTTGTACATGTTTGGCAAGTACTCTTCTACTGASCTACCTCCCAGGCCTGAATTTCCTGTTCTTAGGTGTGAACCAAAAGAGCCCCTGGATAATTTAAACCYGGTTCATCCCTATTCCAAGGTACCTGTGAAGAAATGAATGGTTCTATGCTAAGGTCATACATCTCAATTTCTTAGCTAGCACACWTTGATGATTTTGAAAATCAGGAAAAGAATACAAAGTCAGGTTAAATGTTAGTACCCTACACAGAGAAGATGGATCTTTTTCTTTTCTTTGCAGTGATAGGGATTGAACAGCCACTGAATGACATCCCCATCCAAGATGATTGTTAATGAAAAAGTCAATGCCCACCTGGACGGGTYTCTGCCACAACGGGGCCAGCGAGGTCAGATGGCTTGCCAACACCAGCCTGGTTGATGGCTCGGACACGGAACACATAGCTGACACCCTCCTTGAGGCCTTGTACCTGGAAGAAGCAGATGTAAAAGCAGTGGGTGTTTTATGTTATTTAAACAGATGTGTTCTTCCTCTGTAATAACCATTTAGTCACAYAGTACCAAAGACACAGGACCCTTTGTTCTAGAGCTGATTCTGTCTGTGACTAATCACTCCATTAGCAGACCCTGGATTATCTTCTGTCTAGACCAGCCATCAATAGCCAAGGAGTTTCCCTTCCAACTCTGATGATCTACCTTCTTTTGATAATTTAATGGCTTCCAACAAAATACAAAGTGGTCATAATAACATATATGCTGCCCCCACTCTTGTGAGATATTCCAAGAATAATTCAGATGAAATACTTGGCAAGAGAGGAGAATTAAAAGCATGGATCACTGACACTTTCCATTTGCTTAAAAGCATGTTCAAGTACTAGAACAGAAAAAAAAATCGTCCCTGTAAATCAAATATAGGTATTTCTTACTAAACAGACATTAACATAATTGTGACTTTAAGTAATTTGTGAATAATCAAAGTGCATTAAAATTTTAAATCCTCAAGCTTTTAATCATCAAAGAGACTTTTTCTGAGAACCTACTTCATATTTTTTGTATGTGTGTGTGTGTGTGATTTTCTTTGGATTTGGCACTGCATTTATAATTTCTTTCTCTGAGTTCTGAAGTGCATTTGTAATTTCTTTCTTTCTTTGAATTCTGCATTTACATTCTATTTTTGTATGACAGTCTCTCTTCATATTTTTTGTGTGATTTTTTGAGGGATTTGCACTGTAATAGTAACGGTATGATTCCAGTAATAATAATACTATTAACACTTTAAAAAATTATCCTTTTATTTTAAAAACACATGACATTTAAAAGTGATATTGTATTTTAAGAAGGAATTTATTACACACAGAAGCCATAATTTTCTACCTAATCCTGTGATGGAGATCCATATCCCCAACAGGATTTAAATCAAACAGTGCTGGAATACGTTTATTCAATTAAATGAAGGATTTGGGGCTGTGTATTTAAATGAGTCATGCATTAAACTGTTAAGTTTTTAATCGATTTGATTTTATTGAGCTGATGACAACAGAACAACACTATTTATGTAGTGATAGCTTTCCCTCCAATGAATGGATTTTTGAAATGAATTTCAATTTGTAAATGAACTTGAACTTAGGCACAGGCTAAATGCATAGCATTTGATATGTTTAAAATCCCATGTTCATAAATAATACCAGTAAGTTGCGAATTTCCAGAAAGGAACAGAAACGTTTCCTTGTTATGATAAAATAGGCCAACTGCCAGATGTCTGACACATCTGCACCTGCTGCGTAGGTGATGCGTGGCTGAGGCAGGTGTCTGCAACACGTGCAGGAAGGAGGTCCACAGTCTAGTGTCTGATGCGACAACAACACACCTCCACATTTCCAGTACTCCAGGGAGAGAACCACTGGCCCCAACAGCACCACAAATACATARTCTATGTGACCTGTGTACACTTACTCTCCTTTCCTTGGGTTTTCCCCTTCTCTATAATTTCCAAATCACATCCCCTTACCTTTTCCATCCAATGTCCCCCACCCTTTCCAATTACTCCCTTCTCACCACCTCATCTCACCAGGTGGTAATTACCAATAAAAAAAAGGAAAATGAACTCTGTCCGGTTAAATCCTTTTGGTGTGAATGCAGTATGCAAACGACTGAATGACTGTGGTGCAGTCACACTTCATTGCAGGTAATAAGCAAGGGGCTCCTATTCCCCAATAGCTTCTGAGGCCCTACKGTAGATCTGGGGGGTCTTCAAGTGCTCTGCCAACAACAGAGGGAAAACATTCTTTTTGGCACAACTGAGCGAGTCAGTGGTTACAGCACAACAGTCTTTGGCAGATAGAGTTAGGAACTGGTTTGGTTAGGATACGCTAGGGGAATCCAGAGGGCAATGACCCAGGTAAGGGCAAGGCAGGTCAAGAGCTGAGTGAACCCRTGCTGCTAATCTCCTAGAGCTCATGAGAGTGCATGCATGAGGCAGCAGGTGAAGTGAGCCAGGATGTGACTCAAAAGAGCCCAGTTTCCATGTTCTGGTGTGACCTCTATAAAAACAGCTTTTGTGGTAGGAATAAAAAAGTCACCTTTCAGGGATGGTGTTTTAAGACTGTGAGGGGGTAAGTTGAAGCATGGAGGGAAAGGAGGCAAGAAGGAAGAGATGGTGGATGTTTTGCAAAACTAGGCTGAGGAATTCAGCTTAAATATCACCGAACTGTTTCAAGCATCATAAAATTCCCGCAATTCTAACTATTGCCAAGAGGAATCTTACCAGGAGCCCAATATTTGAAATAAACAAAGCAGAGAGAGTGTTTTTTTCCCCCATCTTTAAAGTTGATAGTAATAGAACACTTTTCTCTAAAGCATTCTCTACCTTCAGGTATTTGTTTTTAATGGCTGCCTCATTGAGTCCTCGCCACTGGTCATCTTTGGCATTGGTCTCCTTAATGTCCACAAAGTAACCCGTGACTGGGGTCCGTCCAGAGTGGACAGGAGGCTTCCACTGCAGAACCAATGAGTTTTTCCTGACTTCACTATACTTAAGACTGTGAGGTGGCCCTGAGAAAGAGAGAGAAGGGAATGAATAGAAATCATAAGGTAAATCAAAGAACTCAAATATGAAAAAATTTACAACTACTTTTAAGGTCTGAAAGCTGAATCTGATGCTGTGTGTTTTATTTATTTATTTTTTTAATTTAGCATTCCCATGAAAATAGATATTTAGTAGTCATTTCATAGCAAATTTCCACAACTGTTCTACATCACTTAAGTTCTTTCATGGAGGGCAGGTGGGTAAAGATACTTCAAGGTGCCTGTAGGAGCCTGAATTAAAACTTCCCAYGAAGCTGTCCTTGGACCTGTTCGTCATTTTTATCAGAACAGGCTAGTTTAGTTGCAGATTCAGTCTTAGGTTATTTTTGACTGAAACTCCCCTCAAACTCAAATAATTTAAAGAAAGCAAAATAGTTTGGTGGTACTGGTAATTGAACCCAGGAGCACTCTACCACAGAACTACATTCCYAGCCCTTTTTACTTTTTTAAATAGAGTCTCACTAGTTGCTGAGGCTGGCCTTGAATTTGTGATCCTCCTGCCTTAGCCTCCCAAATTGTTGGGATCACAGTCATGTGCTACCGTGCCTAGCTGAAAAGAACTCTATCTGATGGCATATAAACATGGACAGTAATTGAATGAATATGAATAACCACCAATTGGAGGSAATTCCCACAAATGGGTAAAAAACAAATGACAGATTATGGTTTATAAAAATAACTTRCAGCAACATAAAATAGAATCAATCCCATGGTCCCTGAATCTGTGTGAAATACTGTTTCATTCATTCAATTCATCATCCTTGGGACAATTAAGAGAAAGCTCAGAAGCCTAGTAACTTGATACTCTCTGAAGGGAGAAAGCCAAGATGTGTCCCTTGGGCATGCTCCTTGCATTCTTAGGGAGAGTCCAAACTACTATGTGATCGCCCATATCTTTGTGTGAACTCCAGCTGCTACTCAGGTGGTATACTTATTTCTTTTCTTTTTTAAAACTAGCATCATCCAATCAAAATCACCTGAAGTGACTCACAGTGACCTGAAAGYAACTATAAACACAAGATTGTATTATGCTTTGGCATTTTGCAACTAAACAGTCAATATTTGTTTGACCATTTACCTYGGCTCAACAGTTTCAAATACACATCATCCTTGTCTTCCATATCTTGTATGGAAATATATTTAAATATTCCACCATATACCTTACACTAGCATGGTGTATTCTATTTGGCAAAGGATTTTAATGATCGTGATCTTGTGTTATTCATAGAGCTCAGTGAGGCATCCAAGTAGGCAGCACTATCCTACTTGAGGGAAGAGAAACTAGGTTCTGCTGCTTCCTAACACCTCTTGTCTAGCAAAAGGAAGACCTATTTTGCAGTCCTAATTCTGTCATTTACCACCTGTGTGACCTTCCGTGCATCATTTAACTTGAATCTCAGTTTCTTCATGTGCACAATGGAAAGAAGATACAACATTCTTTTTGCTATCTTCTATAAAAACTCTGTATGCATGGCTTATCCAACACCAAGTCCAGTTGTCAGGAGAGTGGAGGACTGCCTCATTTGTTTCTTGTTCAGAGTGCTCACCCTACAACTTTTTAAAAATCAGCTACACCATTTTCTATCAAAACACTTTCCACAGGCATGCTTAGAATTTCTAAGACTCTGGTCATTTGCACTTACCTTTATTCAGGAATTGCAAGACTTTGAAAATAGATTCACATTTTGCAGGTGGCCGAAAGAACTTAAGAAATATCTACAGGCATCAAAGGGATGTAAGAAAAGGCAGTTTATTTGTCTTATCATATTTGCTGAAGTTGAGTGAGGCCTTAAACCTCTCTTGAGTGTCTCTTATAAACTTTCCATTCACACTTGGCAGAGAAGTGATGCAGCTGGGGGCTCACTGAGTGAAGGTAACACGATGGTTATTCCAGGACACAGGGGTTCAAGTAGAGGAAAGAAGGAAGGGCCAGGGGTAGGGCTGCCATCTACCCTGGATGCCCTCACATGGCCTGGGGCACTAATGTGGTCTATTTTGATGCTATGCCAGTGGTTAAATATGCTGAATATCAAACCCCATGGGAAGATTTTAATCATCCCAGGACACATTTGAAGTCAGTACCATTGGAAACAAAATAAAATCATGCATCAAACACATCAGCGTTAATAATTGGAATCTTAATGGTTTAGCAAATTTGTTTGTATTCACTGATTAAACTTATTCAGTCTTACAGCTCTATAAGAGGTGTCCACCTAGGTGAGTTGTTCTGCCTACTTCCTGTTTTCTTTCCTCCCACCTTCAGCCACTTCCCTGTGACCACCTGCAAAGGAGATTATTTGCCAGCCAAATTTGGGGGGGGGGAGAAAGGGAGGGAGGAAACTAGAGAAATCACTGCAGAGGGTCAAATGGAGAGAAGAAGCCAGACTTAAGTCCCAGGCAGGTACATTATATCCATCTACATAACACAATAAACAGCTGGGAAGAGGGAGGGGGACAGAAAATGAGGAGGAGAAGCCACATAGACTGGGTCTGGAGAGAGAGACTTGGGGAGTTGATAAATGAGAGGCTTCAGAGCACTGGGAAACTGCATAATGAGGGAATGCAAGAAACTTTTGAGAAATTTTCTTGTGGGAATTTGAATTGGATGTCCTTTAATGGCCTTTAAGAAGCAAAAGCAAAGATTGTGATTTCTTTTAAATGCTTACTTAGCACCCCAATTGTGTACTTCTGTCAATCCTACTCCAAGCACAGTTTGAGATATGGGGGCTTTGGGATTTATTTGGAACATAATCTTTAGGAATTGATTCTCAATTTTATGTTGCTATCCATTTTTTTGAYATTGTTATAAAAACTTTAGATTAGCATGAGGGACTTAAGAGAATTATTTTCTCTTAAATGTAGTACTTCAATTGAGTCTCATGTTGTAGGTTCTGTTGCAAGAAACTCCAAGCCTCAGTACCGAGGCAGGTTGTCCTCAGTTTACCTGGAACGGCAATGGTCCACTCTTCACACTTGAAACTTTCACTAACTGCTGAGGGTGCTCCCAGCCCAGCGATATTCATGGCGGCCACTTGGAACTGATACACCATGTTTTCCTTCAAGTTGCTAATCTGCAACATCAACAACATCACAGTGAGGGAATGTATCAGGATTGTGTTTTCTTGATGTTTAACATTTTATTTATTTAYCTCCTGTCTCAGGAATACCCCATGATGACCTTGTTTTATTCTAGTTGTTCAATGTTTTATTTATTTACCTCCCTGGGTTGGTTACACCCAAGGGCGGCCCTTCGTGAGTCACATCATTTTGTAATCGCYTCCCTGGGGTGTAGATGAACCCATGACCTGCTTATGGCCTATAGAATATGGCAAAGGTATTAGAGTATCAGTCCTTGTGACTGAGTCATTGAGTCCTTCTCCATTGTCATATTACAAAGGAGAAGGGATGTTAACAGAAAGAATTGAGGTCCTTAATCAGCTGATTTTGTGTTAATCAAAAGAGAAATGATCCTAGGTGAACTGATGTAATCGATCAAGAACTTTAAAAATGGGGCTTGAGCCCTTCCTGAAGCAAAATTTGTTCTTTTTCTTTAAGAAGAAACAAGTAAGTGACTAGCATTTGGAGTAGGGAAGCATGGTGGAGTCCAAGCCTTTTAGCTCTATAGTTTCAAGGAAGTGAATTCTGCCAAGAGTCTGAAGAAACCTGGAAGAGAACTGAAGGCCAACAGGCACCCAAATTGCAGCCTTGTGAGAACCTTGTCAGAAGACCCAGCTAGGCCTTTCCCAGACCCCTGACTCATGAACACTATGACATTAAAAAAAAAAAAAAAGGTTGTTCTAAGCCACAACATTTGTGGTAATTCGTTATGTGTCAATGGAAAACTAGGGCATGTATAAATGAAAAATGAGTTCTAAGTCAGGAATTACAATATTGGAGTTCTTATTACACTTCTGCTGTTTACTGTGTGACCTAATATTTTCTATATCCATTGGATAGAATGGGGTTCTTGCAAGTGTAAATGTGGATGACAAAGTAGCAGATGTGAAAGCATTTGCAGAATAGAAATGATGGAATATGTTGGTGTGAAAAAGGTTTGTAGGAGAAGTACACCACAGAACATGTAAAATGTGACCTGGAAAAAAGGGAGACTGCAACAAGAAAAAAAAATATGAATGTCTTAATAGAAAAATCAGATGCAAAGGAAGATAATTTGTAAACTGAAAGAAAATCAGAAGAAATTATAAAGACAGAAAGACATGAGGATGGGAAAGAGAGAAGAGTGATTAATAGACATGGAAGATAGAGCAAGAATGTCAAACATGTTTAACTAAAATTCTGGGAGAAGTGAGGAAGATGGGGTAGAAACAATATTCAGGAGATAAAGAATTTTCTAAAGAGGTATTTCTGAAAAATTCAACTCACAGATTGAAGAATCCTCCCCCCAAATTCCTGGGAAGATACATTTTTAAAAAATATTTACTTTTTAGTTTTAGGTGGACACAATATCTTTATTTTATTTTTATGTGGTGTTGAGGATCGAACCCAGCACCCTGTACATGTCAGGCAAGTGCACTACCGCTTGAGCCACATCCCCAGCCCTGAAGATACATTTTAAAAGACAGATAATATTTCAAGTGTAGTACACAAAAAATAAAGTGAAATATTAAAGCTGCCTAAAAAATACAAATTATCCTCAAATGCCATGTCAGAGGCAACAATAAGCAGGGAGATAATGGAATTATCTTTATAAGCAMCAAACAAACAAACAAAAAACTACCATTATGGAATTTTTACCTAGAAGAAATAATTTTGTAGAATGAGAAAAGATATTTTCAAACAAACAGAAATAAAGAGCTTACATGTTTGTATAAATATGTCAAAATTAACTCCACTATCATGTATAACTAAAAAGAACAGATAAAAATAGTTTTAACAGCTAAAGAAATAAAGAATTTGGTTTCAGAATAATCTCACTAAAGGAAATACTAAAATATTTATTCAAGGCAAAAGGAAATAATCTCAGGCTGGGATTGTGGCTCAGTGGTAGAGTACTTGCCTAGCATGTAGGGACATCGGGTTCAATCCCCAGCACCACATAATTGTAAAATAATGATATTGTGTCCACCTAAAACTAAAAAAATAAATATTTTTTAAAAAAGGAAATAATCTCAATGGAATGTCAAAGATTAAGGATTAACAGCTCATAGGATGGTATAAATGGAGGTAAATCTAAACAAATATTGTATCTCTAAAGCACTGATCACAATACTATTTAGATTTTAAAAAGAACATAAGACACACACATGCAATAGCATATACCTTGGGAAGATGGTAAATGGGTTAAAGTATTATAAGGTCTTAATGCTTCTGAGACAAGAGTGAAACACATGGAGTAACATCAGATTCTAAGTTTGCTCAGTCACCAAAAGCAAGCCAAAATCCTAGAATGTGTCTTTTAAGGTAGTGTAGAGGGGAAAATAAAATGGCTTTTAAAAATATTCAAAAGTAATCAAGAAAAAACAACAAAAAAATCATATAACAGGAAGAACAAATAGAAAGTACAAAATAAAAATCCACATTTTGAAATATGATATATTAAGAACTATGTAATGTTTTGAACGACCAACAATAAAAAAAAAACAAATCCACATTTTGCTTTTTGCAGGACTGAGAATCAAACCCAGGACCCTGAGGCATGTGTTCTACCACCACACTACATCCCCAGGCCCAGAATTTAAAGAAAATCTGTAGTAACTTTAAATATTTCTAAATGACAAAGACTGTCATACAGGGGGAAAAAATGTAACTGTATGCTACAGTTTATACATAAAGTTACAGAAATATGGAAAATAATAAAAAAAGAAAATGAAAAGTTACATACCATGCAAACTCCAACCAAAAGAAAACCAGTGTACCAGGGTACTTATAATAATAACAGAAAATATAGACTTCAAGACAAAATGTGTTCTTAATAATAGAGTCACTTTGTATGCATCTAATAAAGTCATTTCAAAATACATAAAATGACATTTAAAATGAGTGAAGTTACAGCTCAACTAAGTGAGATTATCCTGCGATTTTCTGTGCCTGTACTGTCTTTGTCAGATATCAGTATCAAATTAATTCTAGTCTCAGGATAATCTCAATCACAACACAGAAGCAAAACCTAAATAATATTGACAATAAAATTTTGGTATATATAAGAAGAGTATACAATATAGGCTGCATAATATCCAAATACAATATATACCAGAAATGCAAGGTTGTTTTGTTTTGTTCCCAATACTGAGGATTGAATCCAGAGGCACTTTACCAGTGAGTTACATTCCTCACCCTTTTAATTTTTTTTTTTTTTTTTTTGGAGAAAGGGTCTTGTTAAGTTGCCTGAGCTGGCCTCAAACTGGTGATCCTCCTGCCTCAGCTTCTGGAGTAGCTGAGATTAGATAATTACGAGAATTTACCACATTAAAATTAAAGGGAAAACTATGACCACTTAACAGAATCAGAAAAGCATTTTTGAAAAATAGTTTAAATTCATTCTTGACAAATTTTGAACAGAAGAAAACTTCCTTTAATGGGCAATATCGTCTGCAAAGCACGTTTAGCAAACAGAGTAAGTAATGGTGAAACACTTGAAAACTTTTCTTTTAAAATAAGGATCAAAATAAAGATCGCGTCTAGAACGACCAGCATCACCACTTCTACACTTCTATTCAACACGGTGCTAGAGGCTTTAGGCATAAAGTACGGTAAGAAAATGAAGTAAAAGAAATAAAATTTGGGAATGAAGTAAATCATTATTTGCAGATAATATGACTATGTCTATAGAGAATCCAAAAAATATACAGGTGATATATTAAAATTATAAGCTAGTGACATACCACTTACATATTTTGTAAGTTTTGAAAGAAATTTTAGTTTTTGCAATAATTATGCATTTAATAGTAAATATTCTAAGAAATTATGCTTATGTGTAAGAACCAGAAAATATAAATCCTGAGGCTGGGGATGTGGCTCAAGTGGTAGCGCGCTTGCTTGGCATGCCTCAGTGAGGCACTGGAACGGTTCGATCCTCAGCACCATATAAAAATAAAATAAAGATATTTAAAAAAAAAAAGAAAAGAAAATACAAATTCTGCCTGGTTAGCCAAACTACTTGTATGGACTGAGGAATATTTTTCATAAAAGTCATGCTCATGCAGAGGATGGATACTGAAGAAAGGACACAAATCCTTTATAAGGAGTGGGTGCATGCAAGCACATCCTCATTCATAGGGCCTGTCACCCTAGGATGGTCACATGCTTACCTTGTAAGCCTCGTCACTGACAGCCTTGATGTTGGCTTCTCTCCATTTTCCTGGTACCCCACCAATTACCTCACGATAGTTCACATAATATCCAGTAATTTCTGCCCCTCCAGTCTTATCTGGTTGCTTCCATCCAAGAACCATTGAGTCACGAAAACTTTCAAGACAGGTGATGTCATAAGGTGGAGATGGTGCCGCTGTTGCAATATGAGTAGCTCGTGAGTAAGAGAAATGCACGCATGACTCTGTACATATGAAACTTGTTTGATTGGTGCCCTGAATGAAGGTCTTGCAGTATAAAATGAAAATGTGAGACTGACTGATCAGTAACTTGGTATTAGCATGAGAAGAAAATGAACACACAGTAATAATCTCATTGCAATTGTTATTTCAAACATTTAAAAATAGTACAATATCCTGAAAAATGATTTTTTTCCCATAAAAAGAAAATTTTCCCAAGGTATACATTGTTGCTTCTTTATATGGTTTGTTTTTATTTGCTCCCTGAGGAAAATGGAATGTGTACACCATTTCCTGTCGCAAATTGTGTATTTAGAATTTCCACATATTTCCAAATGGCTAGCACTTCATCATTCAGGAACACTTACCCTGGTGAGATCTTATAACTATGTAGGTTCTGTCTGCACTCAGGGAAAAAAATCTTATTTTGGAGCTCAGATGGATGCCACCTTTAAAAACTATTTTTTTAAAAGAAGGCACTATTTGCCATGTGACTTTCTCTTAGCAGATAATACTTTTTTGCCACATTATTATTTTTAAATTTTTCTTATGCTGGGGAGGCAATCCAGGGCCACACACATGCTAGGTGAGTGAGTGCTCTGCCACTGAGCTACACCCCTAGCTCTTGTCACATCATCTTAAACTTGATGTTGGAACGTCATTCATGTAGCACAAAATACCGAATGGCTGTCGCTGTGTTTATTAGTGCCTAGCTAGAAAAATATTGGGAGGATATTTCAAAAGTCCTTCTACATTTATCTGGCTATGCTAATCAACTTTTCACTTCACTACTGAGCTTATTAGTTTTCAATGAAGAAAGAGAGGGTAAGGTGATAGAAATCCACCCAGCTATGCAATAGCATCAAAAATAATTCCATGAATATTTATTTGGATTATAGGAGATGAAGAAACAATCTCATTCTTATTCAAAAAGATCCTCAGAAAAGTGAAGATTTTTAAAATAAAATACATTTGTTTCTCCCCCCCTACACTCACCAACTGCCTTCATAAACAGCTTTCTTTCCCTTTCTATTTCAGATCCCTTGTGCATATGGACTCTCAACTGAAAATCCCATTCGTTTTCTTGAGTTAAAAGGACAAATAAATGTTAAAAAATAGAGGAAGTTATATAAGTTTGAATGGGGATAGAGAGAGGAGACAGACAGAGGCATTTAAAAACTTATCAGCAAATGCTCAGCATTTCACTTGGATTAAGAAAAACATGGTCTCTTAGAATATATAAGGCACAGGTATCAGATATCCGAATCAGGTCATTGTCAGCTTACTGACATCTGGGAGTGTGGACTGTGTATCATAGACTATGGCGCTATGTGATTATAATATCCTGTTAAGCTTTTCATGACAACTCAAAGAGATAATGATTTGAATTAAATGTGAATAGTCACTTGTAAACCTAAGAATGAGCAATAGAAGTTAATAACTATGATCCCGGTCACTTCTTGATGAAATAATTTTCCTGTACATGTACTGAACATGCGTACTCCAAAGAATCGCACATGGGCTCTAATATAAGCTCTTCCTGACCTTCTACGTCTCTTAGCAAAATGAGGCCACAGGTATGTCTGCCTGACAAACAAACAAAAATAAATAAATAAAAAATAGGCTCTGGAACCAAATTCCTCTAAACATTTGATCATTGTTCAGCTCAAGGAATAGTGCATAAATGTCCAACCCATCTCTGATTACTTTTATAATTCATTAGTCAACAGTATTTCGAATGGTTAGCTGAAAACATAACACTCAGAATCCACACTGATGGAAGTGAACACGGATGATGAAGAATGTGACCCGGACAATGAGAGGTGAGGACACTGATGGAGACAGATGGAACGGCTTGACTTTTCAATTCTCACCTACGAGGTCCTTCTTCTTTTTCTGGGGGTCAGACTGACTTTGCCCCTGGGGAGCTGCCTTCTGTGGTGGTGGGGACAGCTCTTCCTGAACTGTTTCACTTACTTTACTCACTTCTGTTTGGCCCAGGCTGAGAGGGCTACTGGGTGGTGAAGGTTTGTTAGGTTTGCTACTGGGCAAAGCAGCTTTCTGCAAGGTTGGTGGGGAGGCTCCATGCACGCCCCCCCTGGAGTCTGTTAGTCCATCAGGTGCATCACTCAGTTCAGGCCACACCTCTGGAGACACTCCTCCCCCTACAATCGCCAGATAACAACAGAAACGCTGTGAGCCTGGAGACGCGCTCTTAGGTAACAGAACAAACAGAAATAACATCAGGACTGCAAGCAGAGCAAAACCCATCTTGGTCTGACAGAAATCACTTGGATTTACAAGAAATAGGGAGAACACACATTTCTCATAATGCACACCAGGAAACATTTCAACTTCTCCATATTCTGGAAAAAAGAAGAAATGAGAACAAAAAAACCACAGACATAGAACAGAAACCAGTTCTATTTGCAGAACCCAGTGCAGTTTTTAGTTTATACAGAAAAACAAGTCTTAGACATTTCTTGAGATAGATAAGCTCTCTTATTCAACAGAATAGGGAAAAAGGCAAGAGACATAATATTAAAAAAGTGTACAAGAGACATCATATGAAAGATCCTGATTTCATAACAGAATTCTATCCATTACTACAACAGGAATGACCTGTACCTCCCAACTTCAAGAAACATGTCTATTATTGTCCATATTATTATAAGAAATACTAGAGGAGCTAGGCTTATGGCTCAGTGGTGGAATGCTTGCTTAGCATGTGTGAGGCACTGGGTTTGATCCTCGGAACCACATAAAAATAAAAAAATAAAAAGTATTGTGTCCATTTATAACTAAAAAAATTTAACGAAAAGGAAATACTAGAAAGTAATATTTGATAATAGAAGACAACAGACATTAAATGATCTTTATATATATATATGTGTGTGTGTGTGTGTGTGTGTGTGTGTGTGTGTGTGTGTATAGATATATATATGGTGCTGGGGATTCAATCCAGGGCCTTGAGCATGCTAAGCATGTGCTCTACCACTGAGCTACACCACCAGCTCAATCTCTTTTTAATATGTTAGCATATCACAGATTTTATTTTTGTTGGTTTGGATTACCCAGGTCCCTTCCTACTCAATCCAAAATTGGGAGGTACATCATACACATACATATAATTATTTTATTACTGGTTTTATTCTGTTGGTTATTTTGCAAGCAGAGATGAAGCATATCATTAAGCAACCACCTTACATGAATTCTAGAAGGGTTTGTAAGAAGCATATTAGTGTACTGTTAGTGAAAACAAGCCAAGCTCTGTTGTAGATGAAATAGCTTTTAGGTACAAGATGATCTGGGTTATGGGTGATATACCACTTCATGGAATCAGGATGGCCCTCCACAGTCCCAGGATGAGCATGAAGTTAGAATGGAGTTTCACACAATGGAAACTATCTGAGGAAATGTGGAATTGTGAAGATGAAAAGGTTACAGATGTGCAGAATCTGGATAAGTGATGAAGATCTGTCAATGACAGCTATGGRGGGTTAGATGTCACCTAAAGCCAAAGAAAATGATCATCTAAAGACGGAAGATGGAGCAGTAGGAGAAGCTTTAGACGATTTCTGGAGGCTACGGTATCTTCTTTTATAATTTAGAGAAATTCACTTTTTTTCCCTACCAAGTTATGCATAAGGAACTTACCAATAGCAGCTTTGACTTCAATAGCTTCTGAATCCTGGGAATATTCACTAAGTCCAGCTGCATTAACTGCTCTGACCCGGAAAATATAACTCTGACCAGTCACCAATCCATGACAGGTAAATCTAAAAGGGAAAGAAAGTTTCAAAAAAACTTTCCTCGGAAGAAAATTAGGGAAGATGATTACTAGTTTAGTTGAGTGGTCTGAATTTATGAAAATGATTCATTTTTTTTCAAAAGGAAGAAAAGATCTTTAGAGAGATTCAGGTAACATATGTACTTTAGACAAGAAGGCAATTAAGTCAATTTTTAAAACTGTCAAAAAAATGAGGACTCCTGGTTTTCCCCTTAATATTCATCAGTATAATGGGGATAATAACACCTACATAAAAATTTCATGTAAAGATTAGCCATAAAGTAGAAAAAATATCATTACAGGGTCTAGCACACATGAGGTGTTTAATAAATAATAGGTGGCATTAATGTTATTATTAATGGCTATTTCGGGCATATGCTTATGACTATAAGGTATTGGCTGCTCTTTGTCACAGAGACTGTCTCCTTACATGCCAAAGAAGGTACAATTACTTGAGAATTACCCTGGAATCTGATAATAAGGTGAAAAATGGTTTCCAGAATTACTATTTAGATGTAAGTATTCAATAATGAGATGGGAATCCACAGGCAGTTTCACACATACAACAACCTTACTCTCCAATTGCTCTCATGGCTATAAATAGCTGTTTCATGARTCACTGTAATATTTAAATCCATCTAAGAACTGTAGCTTGAGGAAATAACAGGTCTGCTAATGACTATATTACTTTTAGCTTGTTCAAATATTTATAAAGGCAGCCAGTCTTTCAGTGCTTAGGGTCAGCTTGGTTCTGCCAATATTTATTGAGCCCTCAAGTGTTAGGGGCGCTGAGATATTGTGGATATGACCCTTCAGCAGCTCTGGTCTGATTGTAGAAGGGCAGACTCTGCTACCCTCATGAACGCTCCTGAAAAGCCCCAGGAAAATGCTGGAGAGCATAGACACTGTGTTGTAAGAAATGAATATTTTACAAAATATATTTCCTTCTCCCATTCTCTCATTTTCTACAAAGGAACCAATTCATCCTRTGAGGTGGTTGGCCTTAGAAGAGGTCCACGCCAGAACTTGCCCCACCAGCCCATCTGATCCCCCTCTCAGACTGGTTCTCTAAATCAAAGGAAGCTCAGAGTGTGGGTGCAGAATTCACCACCAGTTTACAAAGCTGGTTGAGAATACAGTTGACAGCAACAATAAAAAATGACCCTCCTCACATTAAAAACAAAGACAACGAGGTGGAAAAGCATCCAGAATGTCCCTGTGTTGCTGTTTCTTATGTCAGCTTAGCATAGGATTTAATCATGGTGATGCTTAGAATTGGTGAAATGGTGATAGCTTTCTGTTCCTGTGTGTTTGGTAGAGCCTATTAGGTCCTGGAATCTGGTATCTCATTCCCTATTAAAGCCCTGAACAGAGGGGGAAGAAAGAAAGAAATAATAAAAAGAAAAAGAATCAGAAAAGAGGTATAAAACGAACTCTCAGAAGAACTGCCATGGTTTCTAAGTAAGTATTCAACATTTCAAGCCAAACTTTTCATCCCAAATGTACTCCAATAGACGTGCTCCGTTTTAAATGGATTTGGATATTTAAGGTAGATGTGTGGTATTTTTCTCTTTCTTAATCTCCCTCCATTAGATGTTTGGGCTGCAGTTTGGGCCCCCAGTGGCTCTAAGACACCCCGTTTAATTACCGTGAGCCCTTTACAGGGTTGTTGTTGCAGGGCTCCCACTTGCCAGAGCCAACGATGCTTGACTCGATGTAGTATCCGACCAGCTCTTGGGCATCTTTGGACTCCTCCCAGGAAACCACCACTGAGGTGTCTGTGTTTCTGCTTGGGATGATTTTGCCAGGGGGCTTGGGAATATCTGAGAAGGAGAAAAATGGTGATAAAACCCAGGATGGTTTGGAAAAATTAACCTCATCACATCTGCATAAACACACACATATGGAAATTGTAAATAAATAATTATATCAATAATTTGCTTTATTTCATAATATATTTGTTAAGGCAGAAAAATTTTAAGTGCTAATTTGGGAACATCAACTAAATTTACATGCACTTTAGAAAAACTGGGGAAGTCTACTTTTTATAAACAAAAATAATGAATTTTTATTCAACAGATAGGCCAAGTACAATCATCAATCAAATATATGATTACTRGGGAAGATGAATGGTCTGAATTTATGAAAATGATTCATTTTTACCTATGTGTGTGTGTGTGTGTTTTATAAGACCCAAACGGAAGGGTTAGAAAGRAAGAAATAACAAAAAAGGAAAAGAATCAGAAAATACCTATAAAATGAACTCTGAATAAATGACATTATGTGTATTTCCAAGTGTTTAACATTGCAAGTAAATCTCTTTCCCCAAATGTATTGCATTAGATGTATTCAGTTTTAAATTCATTTAGATATTTAAAATAAGTGCTCAGTTATGTATATAAATACACACATAGATACTGTGGGTATATGCACGTATGCATACTAACTCCATTCATGCTTGGAATGTTCTCTTGGAGTAAATAAGCTCACAGTTGCTCCATCTGACATTACACTTACCAAGTTTGTCCCCTACCACAGTCACTTCTGTCGCCTCGGAGGGTTCCCCAACTCCTGCAGAGTTGGAGCAGCGCACTCTGAAGCGGTAGGATTTCCCCTCGGCCAAGTCGAAGAGGGCGAAGCGTGGAGACTTCACCGGGAGTTCTGTGTTCACCCGCTGCCAGTTTTCTGTTCCCGCGTCACACTGCAGCAAGAACAGGGACCCCCACTGAAAGCCCACCGAGTACAAAGGGGGCTCCATTGAGGACAGGCATCCCCAAGTTTCATTTACCTGCCAACACACTGCCACCTGCCCCTAAGTTAGACTGGAGAAGAGAAGAACGTGGGGGATGAGGCCCCTGGAATCTTCAGGATTCTCTCTCTATACCAAAGGGGCTTTGACAAACATGGGACTTTAAGACTTCACTTCCTTTATTAAGCAGATCGATCTACTTAAAGAAGTTTTTATTTCAAGGATAGTTTGGAGTCAGGTATTTTTATAATACATAGGGTAGATAATTAAATGTAATATGCTGTATCATATAAATTTTCATGACATTGTTATAAACTGTATTATTTTAGTTGAGCATTATTTAGTGACTCATAACATCATTCAGGTCCTGTGCTCAAATATCCACGTGTCTTCAGAGAGGCTGTTTCAATCACCAGATCCCATCACCAATTTAAAAAGAATTCTTTTTTTTTTTTTTTTTTACATCACTCTATCCCTTGCCCTGCTTTATTTTTCTCGAAAACATGTATCCCTATTTGAAATTAAATAACTTATTTGTTGTGTCCTCCACCGGAAAGTATATGAATTTAGAGAGCTGTTGAATTCACTACTCTAACCCAGAGCCTAGAACTGTATCTAGCACACAGTAATCAACWTTTTTAGTTTGAATGAATGAATGAAATTTGTGAAAGACCAAGAATTTGTGCTTTTTATTCTAGAACAAATTTTAGGGTAAGTCATGGGAAAACTAATTTAAAGAGATTTACTCTTAAAATTAAAATGATGTAGAGTGACATAGAAATCCTTAAATGGAGAATGTGGTGAGATTTGGTAGAGAATATAGTAAAAAAACTGTCAGAATTCTTCAGTGAGCCTTTCTTTCTCCTAGTCTACTTCCAAATGCATCCAAGGTCAGCAGAAGCAGAGATTTTTAAAATCTTGTCTGATTTTGCTACAGATATTTTTAAGGGTTTCAAAAGATTTTTCCAGAAATCCAGTTTTTGTGATAGATTAATCAGCTGTCAAAGGTGACATATTTGGGGCATGTAAGTTTACTAGAACATCATTCAGCATAATCTTCACTGTCTTGACTGGAGGCGTGGAATGATAGAAGGGACCCAAAGACATGGGTCTGATCCTAGTTGTGTTAATAATGAGCTACACGACCTTGGAAAATCACATGAATGCTTTTGGTCTGGGTTTCATCATCTGTAAAATAGGCAGATTTAGTAAGGCAACCTCTAAAGTCCCTTGCAGTGTCTTTTAGGATAATGTGTCATTTGTCTGTGTGATCTACTGCCTACTGAAGGGTAACTTTGTCTCAGACATTTAAKTTTTTAGTTTATAGTTGTGTTTTGACATATCCCCCCCAGGGGGGCATTTCCTTAAACAATTATTGGTCGTTTATACTTTCATAATAAAAAATAATAGCTGTCTTTTGTTAGGTTAAGAACTTTATAGGCTGTTATAACTTTACCCCTCTCAACGATGCTTTTGAAGTTCTCAAGAGATTGAATTTGGGAAGATTGAAAGGCAGCCTTGTAAAATACAGGTTCAGTATTCCTTATTTGAAATGCTTGTAACCAGAAGTGCCTCAGATGTTGGAATTTTTTGGATTTTTGGAAAATTTGCATAGACTTYATTGGTTAAGAATCCTCTATCTGAAAACCTAAAATCCAAAACATTTTGAGCATCATGTTGGCTCATGATTTTGGGTTTTCAGATTATGAATGTTCAACCTGTGGTTGGATTTGTGGATCTGAGCCAGACTGCCCAGGTTCAAATCCTAGCTCAGGCTCATACTTGCTGTGTGACCTTGGACAAATGATATATCCCACCAATAACTCAATTCTCTCATCTACAAAATAACTATAATGAAAATAAAACTATGAACCTCAAAGGGTTACTTTAAGAATTCAGTGGGTTAACATGTAGAAAAGTTCCAGGCCTATGGCAAACACTATTTTCATTCCTGTGGATAGAAACAGAGCCTGGCAAGTGATATAGTCCTTATCTCTGACAGGACTGTATTTTTGACAGGGGAATGAGGGAAAGAGCTAAGATGTAAGATACACAAGGAAAAAATCGGGGGCTGGAAAGAATATAGGATAGGGACGGTTGGAGTGCAGAAATGGATTCATCTGATTCCTGCACTAATAAAACAATCAATTTCAATCATTTTAGGGATCACAGATATGGCATAACTAGTTGGTTGCARACCTGTAGACAGGTTCATGTTCTATGTGCATGCAAATTCCAGGCGAAAAGTTYCAAGAGAAGATGCAAGCACAGGGACTGACCCAAGAGGCAGTGCTGCCAGATGCATGAACATTCTGGAAATGGAAATACACCATGGGACAGAAGTAATTCAGCAAAAATAATTTTAGACTCAGCTCAGAATGGTTTGACATTTAGACAGTTCTGTAAACACCCCCAAGTCTTTGGACATGTTCTATATCCCCAATGTCTCAGCATCCTGGGTGTTCTGTAAGAGTGGATTGCACCCCATGCTGCCTCTCAAATCAACATGGTACCCATGAACGTCCACTTCTATCCAAATGGGTGGGATGGTGGAAGATACTTAACATCTTTAATCACAGATTCATAGATATTTATGTCTAGGGAAGTGACAGACTTTTATGGAGAAATTAGAGTTGGTGTGACCAGAGGAAACATTCAACAGAAGCCAGTGTTGACTCCTCAGAAAATGCCTCAGAATTGGGTTGTTGTGCTTTGTTATTACAGGAAAGATGGTAATTACTGTCACAGAGGTTATTCAGAACTCCCTGTGTATCATTTCAAAGCGATGAAGAGCAGGTGTGTGTTAAACACTCCCAGGAAATGAACATTTATCTACCACTCTATTCTTGCCCTCTATTAAACAAACAAGCAAACAAAAAAAAGCTCAGAATGCTACTTGGGTTTTATTTTATTTGAGGCTAATATCTAGAAAATATAACTATGTACATAAAAATTTTAAATATTACTTTTGTAAAACCAGACTCTTTGTTTAAAAAATATTTTTGTAGTTTTGATAGACCTTTATTTTATTTATTCATACCCAGTGTTGAAAATCGAACCCAGTGCCTCACACATGCCAGGCAAGTGTGCTACCACTGAACCCCAGCGCCAGCTCCAGCCCCCCAAAACCAGACTCTTTTGGGAAATGTCCATGTTCATGTGGAAGAGATGATGTATTTATGGTTATCAGTTTGCTAGGGATAAGAAGGAAGAGAGGAATGCAGCTCAAAGACATGAGCTAAACATGAGGAAAGTAATTAATAAAGGGACATTATGGAGCTGGGCGCTGTGGTGTATACTGTAATCCCAGCAACTCGGGAGGCTGAGGAAGGAGGATTGAGAGTTCAAAGCCAACCTCAGCAACTTAGCAAGACACTTAAAAACTCAGTGAAATCCTGTCTCTAAATAAAATAGTAAAAAAGGGCTGGGGATGTGGCTCAGTAGTTAAGCACCCCTTAATTGAATTGGGTTCAATTCCTGGTACAAAAAAAAAAAAATGGAAATCCTGGACACTCGCATTTTTAGCTCTCCTATAATTTTGTCAAGGGCCATTGATTTGAAATAAATAAAAGACCAAAAGATATCTCTATGTTGTTTTTATGTTGCTGCCTAATTTACAGATGGTTATGAAATTTATTCTCTTGCAATAATTGTCAGGGAAGGTGACCTAATAGATTGATAGAATTGATATTCAATTCTGATGAATAAGCATTCAAGATAAAAGAGGAAAATTATTTGCACTCCGTATTTATGTGAAAAAAAGTCCTTCTATGATTTTGCTATCAAAGTAAAATGTAAATGATAAGTTTTCATGCTAGTATACAATTTTATAAAAATAAAATTTGAAAGTGCAAAGGCTGGTTTCATTTACTGTTAAAAAAAATAGGCCAGGCATGGTGGTGCACACCTGTAATCCCAGCAGTTTGGGAGGCTGAGGCAGAAGGATCACAAATTCAAAACCAGTCTCAGCAATGTAGTGAGGCACTAAGCAACTTAGCGAGAACCTGTCTCAAAATAAAAAACAAAAAAAGGCTGGGGWTGTGGCTCAGTGGGTAAGCACCCCCAGGTTTGTTTAATCCCCGGTACAAAACAAAAACAAAACCMMAAAAAACAAGAACCAACCATCAACCAACCAAAAAAGTGCATCATCACTACCAATAAAAATGTAAATGTTCTAATATATAAGACAAAAAAAAGTATTTTGGTTTATCTTCTCAATTATACCCTAATCATATGTGGGTTTTTTTGTTTGTTTGTTTGAGGTACTAGGGATCGAACACAAGGCCTTATGCATGCTAGGTTAAGTGTTCTACCACTGCAATCTCCCCACACCTCATAAAAACTTTCTTAACAAATGGATTTTGAGCCTCATGTTAAGCAAACTCCTTAAACATCCTTTTCAAGAAGCCATGATCCTGTGAACCAGGGATTTCTTGCATCCCTTTGACCTGGGCCTTACCTGCAGGCTCTCCTGTGTTTCCATACTGGCAACTGGATCCGTTTCCCCAATCCTGTCCTGCAGGTTGACTCTTTTCCATTTGCTGGGCATCAGTGCTTATCAGAACTCCCCTTGAACAGGGGTGTATGATTGATTGACATTTCATCCTCGTCCATTTCACTCACTCTAGGCCTTCATTGTATGTGACCCTCCCCAGTGTTCTGATCCTCAACACAAGTGTGTTTGTGAGAAAGCACTCTCCAGTGTCTTTGGTGGTTTTGTCATCCCTGACCCCACTCTACTCTCTGCACTTCCACGGTGGTGTGTGAGGGTTTGCTATGCTCAACTCTCCCTGTTTTTTGAAAGTAGTGCGACTTTTCTATTCCTCTGACCTATCTACCCCATTGATGTTCATTCCCTACCACACAAGCTCAAGTGGTAGAGGGATGAAGATCCCTTAACACAGAAAGGGAGGCAGAAAATCTCCAGAAAAATGCCATCATAAAGGCAATCTACAATTTCAGGAATATTTCTTTTTCCTATAGGAGACAYGATTTGGGATCTGTAAGTCCTCTTAAGAGTTTATGGGTGAGGCTTAAAGTTCCAAAAGTCCCCTGAGACAAGAAGACTTTCAGGCAAAGTTCCACCAGATATACATTTTTCTATGGAGAGTTCATGGTTGTAAGGATGTAAAGAGTTCAGGACGTCCCCCTTTTCTTCTCCCTCAGTTCATTGTTCCCACAACTTTACTTCTACTTAAAAAAAAAAAAAAGTCTTTGGGAAGTGGCACAAGGTCACCTTGATTCTGGAGTCTTACCTTTTCCACAAAGTACATGATGCCCTCATGGCCACGCTGGCCAGGGGGCTTCCAGCTTAGTACCACGTAGCTCCTGGTGGCCTCAGTGACAGAGAGGTTGGTGGGAGGCCCGGGAATAATACCCTCTGAAAAACAACAAGGACAAGTGAGCRTACCATCTGGGTGGCCTGGGACACTCAGAGAGTTCCAGATGCTTTTGTCCTCTGGGAGGAATCATTAATTATGGCTCCACAGTATAAAGAAGTACCTTGTCTTTAACATCTCCCTGAAACATCATTCATTCAATGGTTAGATGCCATGGAGTATTTAGCACACAGACCTGAGGAGCCTRGGACACGGTTTTTGTCTTTGAGTTGTTTATACTTGACTTGATGAAAACAGAAACTGAACAGCACAGCAAGTGGGAGCTTAGGTGCTGAAGGTCGTGAAGGTCGCGAAGAAGTGCGTGCTGAAGTCTGCCCTGTGTCACGAGGGGGTGGGGTTCGATTTTGTCATCCTTTATTGGTACTGGCACTCCCAGTGTGCTCAGCTGATTCCTTTGGTGCGTCCTTTCAGTTTCAGTGAAGTTCATATCTCTGTCCCACCCACTAGCCTCGAGGCACTTACTTAACGCTGACCTTTGGTATCTCTGTATTTCCAGACCCTCACTCTCTGCTTATAAGAAAGGCCAGTTTTGCCAGCACGATGGCGCATGCCTATAATCCCAGTGGCTCTGGAGGCTGAGACAAGAAGTCTGCAGGTTCAAAGCCAGCCTCAGCAAGGTTGAGGCACTAAGCAACTCAGTGAGACCCTGTCTCTAAATAAAATACAAAAATAGGGCTGGAGATGTGGCTCAGTGGTTGAACGTCCCTGAGTTCAACCCCTGGTACCAAAAAAAAAAAAAAAAAAGAAAAGAAAGAAAGACCAGCTTTACCGTAGCTTCAACTATAATCCCAACTCTGCTGACCTTGGCTTCTGCTTACCTGGTCAAAGGATTTTGTGCTCCACCTTGTTTTAATCTCGGAGCCAGTGGAAACCTGCCTGTGGAGAGTTCATTTGGGTCTAAACTCTAGATACCCTGGGACTGCCAGGATCTGGGTACTCCTGAAATCTGCCCTTTCCTTCTCTGTGACTCTCCCAAYCCCACTCTCATAACTTCTAATTTTCTCCCCAGCTAGGATTTCCAGAAACAATAGAGGGTATCTTGTAATTTTGTTTGCCAAATTGGTACATTTGTTTATTTAATATAGTTGCTGCCTTGGCAGACATTTTTAGGTCTGACATAAGTGGTTCGATACCCGGTTGTACCCAATCCTGTTGGCCTAATTGAAACTTTGCCCTGCTGTGTGGTTGTTTGTGATACAGCCTACTTGTTCCTCATCTCACTGACCCAAACTCAACATACCCTTCAGATGCTAACCACAATAAAATCTGACGATCAACATCAAAGTCATGTAAATAAATTCCCCTTTCTTATGTGTTCTCTTTAAACTCACCAATCTACAACACTTGTGGGAATGCCTATGGACTTTAATAAGGGCATAATCCTACAAGTCTCTTTCTTCTTGCATGATGCTCTTGTTCCTTCTCTTGTTCTGGTTAACCTGATTGAGTTCCCTGCCACCTAACAAAAGCAATTCTTAAAAAGATTAAAATTGTTTTCCCAGATAAAGCTCAAGTGTATTTCKACAAATACAAAAATATCCARCACCCAACAAATGTCTGGCACCTAATAAACAATYACCAACTATGAAAAGAAACATGAAAACATGATCTCTAATGAGGAGAAGAATCAATCAATAGAAACAAAACAAGAAAAGCTGCTGATTATAGAATCAGTATCTGTGAATTGCTGAACAAGATTAAGTAGACAAGGACACGGAAACAGCAATRAAAACACTCCACGGACTCAAGAGAGTAAGGATTGAATGAACACAGCAACAGGGAGCTGTGGGACAATTTCAAGTGGTTTCAAGGGGCATGTAGTCGGAGTTCCTGAAGAAGAAAAGACAGAAGGGGATACAAGAAAGAGCAAGTAAAAATCTTCCAGAGCTAATAACAAGTACAAACTCACAGGTCCTAGAAACTCTTCATATATGAAGAAAACTACACAAATGCAAATCATAATCAAATTTCTAAAACCAGTAATATCTGCTAAAGAGAATCTTGGTAGCAGATAGAGGAAAAAAGACATAACACCTACCCAGAAACAGAAATAATAACAGCAGTCATTCTTATAGAGCAGATCTGYATGACAATGGACCAAGCTCTTAAATACTGAAAGAAAACTGTCAGTCTAAAACTCTATATTCAGTGAAGATGTATTTCAAAAAAGGTAAAACAGAGACTCTAAAAAAATATACAATAGATAAAATAATTTATAACTRTAGACCTGCAATATAAGAAAGTTAMAGGAAGTGGGCTCAGGTAGAAAGAAAGTCTTAATAGCACCTGAAAAGCAAAGMAAACAGCAAAAATGTGAATAAATATTGAGAATTTTTTTCTTCCCTTTTTTTTTTTTTTTGTACTTAAGATTGAATATAGTGGGCATTCCACCACTAAGCTACATAACTGGATCTTTTAAGTTTGTTAAATTTTGAGACAAGGTCTCATTAAATTGCTAAGGCTGACCTCAGATTTGCAATCCCTGTGCCTCAAATTCCCAAGTTGCTGGGAATACAGGTGTGTGCCACGAGGCTGGAGAGAATTTTTTTTTTTTAACTTTTTAATGTCTTTGAAAATAATTGACTGTTTAAAGTCAATATAACAGTATATTGTGTGGTTTATAATATGGAATATAAGCAAATAAAATGTGTAACAATAATAGCACCATGGCTAGGAGGGGAGAGTGAAATAATAATGTTGTGAATTCTTACACTACTAATGAAATTAATATAATGGCAATTAAAGGAAGGCTGAGAAAATATGTATATTATAAATCCAAGTTACTAAAAACCAAAACATAGAATTATAGTCAATGGTATAAAGAGATAAAATTGAATACTAAGAAAATACTTATTACTTATTCYGAGCCAGGAATAGAGGTGCACACCTGTGATCCCAGTGACTTGGGAGGCTGAGGTAGGAGGATTGCAAGTTCAAAGCCAGCCCCAGCAAAACMAAAGTGCTAAGCAACTCAGTGAGTAAGTAAGTAAGTTTGCCTCTAAACAAAAAAGGGCTGGGGATGTAGCTCAGTGGTTGAGTGATCCTAAATTTAATCCCCGGTACTCCACCCAAATAATTATGGAAAAAATTTCCAAGAAACCTAATGTTTGTTTGGCTAAATTAGTTCTTCAAGRGTGGAAGACATAAGATCAATATATAAGAGACAATTRTACTTCAATATATTAACATTAAAAATTAAAAAWTWAAAAGCAATATAATTGAACAATATCATCAGATATATGAAATACTTAAAAATAGTTGACAAAATGTGCAAGACAAACATACCAAAATATGAAGATGAGATAAATGAAAGAAATCTAAATAAATGGTGATATATCTTTGTTCATGAATTGGAGGATTCAATGTTGTTAAAATGTCAACTTAGATTCAGCAGAATCYCAACTGAAATCCAAGTGGCTTTGTTTTTGTTTTGTTTTATTTGTGTGTGTGTGCACAAATTGATGAGATAATTTAATTTTATATAGAAATACAAAGACAGACTAGTCAAACAACTTTGGAGAAAAACAACAACTTAAGATTAGATAATTTATGCTTCCTGATTCAAATATATGAAAAAAATAAAGCTTATAAAAGCTGCATTAGTCAAGACAGTATTATATTGAGATATAGAAAATAAAATTCTAGAGATTCTAGAAATATATTCATAGACATTTAGTCATTTGACTTTGACAATGGTGCCAAGGCAAACTCAATGGGTAAAGGGCAATCTTTCCAATAGATACAGCTGAAATAATTGGAAAGACATACACAAGTAATAATACTAATAATGATAATAACTAAGATCCTTGCTTCACACAATCTAGAAAACATTAATTTGAAATGGGTCACAGATTGAAATATAAAAGCTAGTACCACAACATTTCCAGAAAAAGAAATTTTAAAAATGTTCAGATTTGACAAAGACATCAAATGACACAAAAATATTATGAGGGAAATGCAAACCACAACCACAAAAAAATACCTCTATGAACCCACTGCAAAAGCTAAAATTAAAAAGACTGATCATACAAGTACTAATGATGGCATAGAACAACCGGAAGTCTCATCTAGTGCTGGTGGGAGTGTAAATGGTACAATCATTTTTAAAAAAATATATATTTTAGCTGTAGTTGGAAACAATACCTTTATTTATTTGTTTGTTTGTTTGTTTATATGTGGTCTGARGATCAAACCCAGTGCCCCRCATGTGCTAGGTGAGCGCTCTACTGCTCACAATCCCAGTCCCAGTACAATCGTTTTAGAGATCATTTAGCAATGCCTTTAAAAATTAAACATGCACATATCATATAACCCATCCATTCAACTCCTAGGTATTTATCCTAGAGCACTGATAATGTATATGTCTACACAAATACTTAAGAATGCTTTTAATAGTGACTGGATAATTAATGGGAATGAATYGATACACGCTTCAACATGGACAAATCTCAAAATAATTACACCAAGTGAAGAAAATCAGACAAAAAATGAGTATAATTTTATTTATCTAACATTGTGGAGAATACGAAATATAGTGACAAGAAGCAGATCAGTGATGGCCTGGAGATGGGGCAGGGGTGAAGAAGGAAAATCACATAGGAGCATGAGAAATTTGGGGGATGGGATGGACATGTTTATTATTTTGATCATGGCCATGGCTTCTGGTGGGTACATATGTAAAATGTATCAAATTGTGCATTTATTGTTTAAGAACTGCACCTCAATAAAGTTTAAAAAACAAAATGTAATTCTCTGGGGCTTTGAAAGTATGACTCGGTGGTAGAGTATTTGCTTAGTGTGCAGAAGGCCCCAGATTCAAGCCCCAGTGCTGCCTCCAAAATGTGATTCTCTGATCTGTCACTTCATGGTCTCCAGATGTTTTAGAATGTCCTTTCCAAAACATCTTAAATCATACACACTGTGCCCTCTATAGCAAAAGGCAAATTGCATAGCAAAACATTGGCAACAGTAGCTGGGGAAGCCAGTTTTTACCTGTAGGTTCCTCTTCAGTGACAATGATCTGTCCAGTCCAGGGTGCTGAAGGGCGACCTGAACAGAGACAAAAATAAAAATAACAAACATTCACAAATGCCATTTTAAATGTATTGATAAATTGATAAACTGGCTGGATTAGTCACAAATGGGTTTGCTGTTAGTTTACTTTTGTATTTTCCCAACAAATCTTACCAAGCATGTGTTATGGTATTATGGTAGACATGGCCCCTATCTTCAATAGATTCACCATCCGCTAGAGTCTAGGATCTTTCTGAACAGACTGAGTCCACTTTTCTGGAAATGTACTTATACAAGTTAGGTATATAACATGTACACATGTAACTGTTCAATATGGATCTCCTGAAATATGTAGGCTTTCTCGTCTCTTCTTTTTTTTTTCTTTAATTTTTATTGTTGGTTGTTCAAAACATTACATAGTTCTTGACATATCATATTTCACCCTTTGATTCAAGTGGGTTATGAAATCCCATTTTTACCCCTATACAGCTTGTATTTGGGAAAAACACTTCTAGAACAATTGGAACAAATATAAGCCCCCAGGTTATGAAGATAAAAAAGGAGAGGGAGTGTCCTTCAGCAATAAAACTAGCCAAAAGCAATATTTCCAATTACATTTTGAGGAGTGTTATCCACCAAGGAAATTAGTTTAGATTCAGAGTAAAGAAAATAGAAGAGATAGAAATAAAGTTAGAGAAAAAATTCATTCTGCCATCCTCATAAACATCAGAAAGAGAACTATTCAACTTCTGCTTTAATCAGGGGACTTTTGGCCACAGTTTGTACAAAGACAAAAACTATTAAAGAAGATAACTTATCATCAACTCAACCACATCTTATTTTGGTTGGAATTTTAAAATAGGGATAAATGAAAAGGTGAGATGAATTTTGCAAATTTTGGAAAGAGGGAGAGAATTTGCAAATCCAGGGAAGTCTGAGGGTGGGTGAAAAGTGATTAGAGAATAATCAAGAAGTCTGATAAGACACAGKTACAGGGAAAAGGTGACATAATTTTGCCATGCCATTACATGTAATTAAGGTAAAGAATAACACTGTATATTTGGATAGAACTGTAATCCTCCACTTGGGATTTTGTCCCCCTTTAGATATTTGGCAGTATCTAGAGACAGTTTTGATCATCACAATTGGGGATCTATGTTCCTGACATTGAATGGTAGAGGCAAGGAAAATTGCTAAGCATCCTACAATGAATATATAGGATACCTYCAACACAGAGTTACTGGTCTAAAATGTCATTAGGGCCTGGGGTTAGAAGCATAGTATAGACTGAAATTTTACTACAAAACAATTCTTGTAATGTCATTTTATGGTTCCCTTTATTGGGGATGAACTAATAATACATAAAATGAATAAAAATGCTCTCAGGCTATTTTTGTATTTCATTCCACACGTGATGCTTGGAACTCAGATTAGCAAGGTTCATTTTCTGAATAAGATTAAAAAAAATAAAGCCCATATGAGAACGGGTGAGTCAAAAACCAAATATATCTTATGTTTTCAAGCTTCTCCCTTGTCCCATGATTTTCTGATGAAAATAAGGATTTCTTATTCTCATCTCCCTCTAGTGGAAGGGAAAGGGGTAACCTTGCAATGAAACCTTCTGCAGTTATTTTTTCTTTAAAGTTTAAGGAAGATCCTGAAAAAAGTGAAAAGTGCTTACTTTTAAGTCTAGCTTTTTCAGCAGGATCCAGTGCAGCCACAGGCTCAGAAACTCGAGATGGAAGGCCTATTCCAGTTTTATTCACAGCTCGAACTCGGAATATATAGGAACGACCTTCTATCAATCCAGTGACTGGAAAACGAGCAAACTTCACAGGTGTGTCGTTGCATTGAGACCAGCAATCGGTGCCCACCTCACATCTACGGGAAGGAACATGATTGACAAGAATATTACAAGAAGTATGGCTAAATCAATAGTGCCAAAGCTGCAAACCCACCTAGTTGCTTCAGATCATCTCTGTTAAATATCAGCATGGTTTGCTACTGATTTAAACTGCAGGCACTCAGTTCCATTCAAATGTAATGCGTCTTCTTCAATAAGCAAAAAGGAGCCTCTGACCTTTTCTGAACTCCAAAGTAGGGAGCTAAGAAGTCTCGAATGCTAAGTGGAGGAGTCTGGGGGAACAAGAAATAGGTGGGTTTCTATCATCTTTACTTGGGAGGGTGAGTCTTATGGGGACACATCTCCTGGGCTGATGACTTTAATCTACCCTTTGTGATTTTTTTTCTTTGTCTTCTTTTTAAGTAGGTTTTTTTTTTTTTTTTTGAAAATGAAGCATTATTGGGAAGGTGGCGCCTTTAAAAAAGATAATTATTTGCTCTGTAGTTTGGAAAACAGCTCAACATATTTTCTTGATGGTGACCACATCCTGTGTGGGTGGAATGGTGAAGAGGTTAGTGTCCTATGTTTGTTTGTTTAACAGATGAGATTGATTAGAGAGGCAGGGAGATTTCCAGGGGGAAATTAAGTACTTGGAAACTGATTTCTAATTGAGTGCTTTTACAGCAGCTGGTACCTAGGGATAAAGGGCGGGCAGTGGGGAGAGCTCCTCCAGAGACAAATATGATATTTGCCTCTTAGCCTGATTGACAGAGCTTTAGAGGCTCAAACTGTGATTGAGTTGTGCCCTACTAGGATTAATTCATCGTTGTTTATAAGCAGAAAATGGCACTTTGAGTTTATATCACTTCCCCATATGACTCTATGTCCAAAATCTAGGGTTCCCAAATGAAGCTCATGGGGGTGACAGTGCCAGTGCCCGTGCAGAGGAGGCTGGGGAAGTCTTCCCTTCTTCATCATCACCTTCCATTCTTTGAAGTAGACAGTAGGCACTTTYTTCAGTGTTAATATAAAGGACTATCTCAATGTTTCCTCTGTAGAAATTCTGGAGCTTCTCTGGGTGGGGCAATGGCAGGGAGCTGAGAGGACAGTTCTCCAAACCACTCTGGTCTCCAGAAGTTCTGCTAGGACTCATTCTCCCTCTTCCTTTGCAGACACTGTCATGGTGACACAGTGATACTAGAGGGTGCTTTCTAATCCTCATGTGGGCAGAAAGAAAAGTAGAGGGCCACCGATCTAGAAACTTCTACAGCATGTTGGAGCAGAAAGATCACAAACCTATAGCCAGGCTGATATGCGAATCCCAGTTCTGCTACTCACTACTTATTGTTAGAGATGTGAGGGTTTTGTTGTTGTTGTTGTTGTTGTTTGTTTTTTATTATAAGGGATTAAACCCAGGGGTGCTTAACCATTGAGATACATCTGCAGTCTTTTTTTTTTTTTTTTTGAGACAGGGTCTCACTAAGTTGCTTAGGCCCTTGCTAAATTGCTGAGGCTGGCTTTGAACTGGAAATCCTCCTGCCTCAGCCTACCGAGTTGCTGAGATTATAGTCTGTACCTGACTAATGTAAAGTCTACTATAACTTGGTACAAAGCCCTTATAATATAGTAACAGAGATTAACTGTCCCCTGTGGCTTCCCCAACCAAAAATGAAAAAAGAACTATTTGAATAGAAACTAAGAGAAAAATCTACTTAGGCCAATAATCTAAATTTATTGTCTATATCRTTCAAACTCACTGGATAATTAATGTGTAAAACCTAGTTACCATAAAAACTAGGTAACTAGCTGCAGTTGTAGCTCAGTGGTAGAGCATTTGCCTAGCACAGGTAAGGCACTGGGTTCAATCATCAGCATCACATAAAAACAAATAAATAAAATAAAGGTATTGTGTCCATCTACGACTAATTTTCTTTTTAAATTTTGGAGAATGTAAACAGCAAGAATTTATAGATAAAAGCATCTCTTAATACTGTAGAGTTTTGTTGTTATTTCTTGTATAACTTGAAACTGCACCCTGTAATTTAGATAATAATTTGCATTCCTAAAGTCAATATTCTATATTACTGACATACTAGAAATATAGACATCAAATATATAAAATATCAGATATTTCATTATTAAAGTGGCCTCTCTAAAGTCTTCCAATTTACAGTATTCTTGCCAAGTTGGTGACAAGCGTGGTCAAATTTAAGAATTTCTCTTTTGAATTGAGGTAAATTGGTAGATAAGAATATATAGATATAGATATGTGTGTGTGTTCACACAGGCATGTGTGTGTGTGTGCGTATGTGTGTGCACGTGTACATAGAAACAAAGAGAGAAAGAGAATGAGGATGAAGGATGAAGGATGGAGGAGGGGGATCACAATAAAAAGTCTTTCACCTAGGAATGACGGGAGAAATCAAGTGTGCATCTCTATGTAGTGTCAAAGAACAGTAAGTGAAGTTCAACTAGGCACTAACTTATCAATAAAATATCCCAAGATAGGGCTCCCTCCATCTACAGCTGGCTGCTTCCAAGAGATGATGATRTAGTCTTTGTTGGCATCCAAGCACACCACATCCAAGGGTGAGGCGGGGGCTCCTTCAATCTCTGCATCAGCATCTGTGGAGACAGAGAAGAATACCATCAGACGTCTTTGATGGGCTCTGCCAGCTTGGCAGGCTGAGGTCTTGATGCACACATTTCTTACCAAACCACCACAGTGGCTACCTCTTTGGCTGTAATAGAGCAAGTTTCAAAATTTGCAATTTGTTTACCACCATAGCCATGTGTGCTTTTCACATCAGAGAGAAGAACATTATGTTAGAAAACAGAAAGRGCTCTGAAAAGGACCCACGACCTTTGCCTCATGACTCTTGCTGCCCAAAATGTTCCAAAAGAAAATTAATGGTAGATGTCAGAAATTGCTCTTGGACAAGTCACTTGTGCCAGAATTTCTGTTCGTAAAACATTGATTGTGCAATGTTACTAAGAATCTATGAAAGAGTCCTAAGGGGACAAACAGCTCATTCTGCCACCTTCTGGGTACATTCACAAAGAGAATAATAACCCATGCCCCATTCTTATGCTGGGCATTACCACTCTGACCAGAGAAAAGAAAACATCCTTTTTAACTGAATGATTGCTCCCAAACTGAAGATACTTGGGAAAAGAACTCTGACATACATCCACATCTAAGCCTAGTTTATCTGAGTTTAGTAAAAGTCCAGGATGATACAAGAAATGAAGACCGTGACTGTTTATGAAATGGGATCCTCTGATAATACAGTCCACTCAGATACAGCTAAATTAGTGAATCAGAGCTGCTTTGAGGAGAAGAGGAGTCAAAATATTCAGTAAGCAACCTTTTAAGTGAGAATGATTAAGACAAGAAGAAAAGTCCCTGGAGGAAGGGTCCACATGTGCCAACTCTTCCTGGCATTTGACCAACCCTCTCATAAATGGAGTCAGTAGGAAGAAAGGCTGAGACGTGTGGGAGCCACTCACCCAAGAGAAAACACTCTTGTTGACTGAGCAAACACTGTCTTTCCCTCTGATCTATACTCTGTAGCTCTTAATGAGTTACTGAGACATTTGATAACATGGCAKAAATATTTGCAGACTTCTGAATTTAATAGGTTTGCATTATCTGTGAAGAGCTCACATTGTTTGGATTATGCACATTCTATTTCATGCCCCATAAAGCAGCAGGGAAGTGTCTCTGGGAAAATATCTCCGGCAGATGTGCTATAGGAGAATCTAATTAGAAGTGAGGGCAGAATCCCTTGCATGCCACACGACAGGAAATGAGTGTTTGGGGGCAGAGAAATGTCTTTTCTTCCAGGCTTTGAAGCACTGGATGTGGGGAGCGGGGCTGTTGCTGGTGAAGGTTAGAGCAGAGTTAGAGTGGAGGAGGTGAGGCTGAGGCTGGTGGCCCTAAGTGGCAGAGAGATAATGTTAGAAAGCCACTCAGCCTCCAGGGGGACAGCAGGCAACCTGTAGCCATGTCCTTTTATTAAAGGCTTATAACATAACAACCAGCAACCCCTGCATGGATGGAGCAGAATTCAGTTAGCTGAGTRGACATTACACTGATGTACGACAGCAGGGATGTCTACAGGACAATGGGCACCGGGGAGCCACTTTCCAGCATTTGTATGACATTGTTTGCAATAAGCCATTCATGAGACGGGCTTAATGATCTTCCCAGTTACTCATTCATTTATTTTTTCATTCATTCAGTTCTCTTCTGGGGCTAAATACAAAAGTTCTCAAGAAGCCACAATAGAATGGGATAAACAGAGTCGTCTTAAAATGACCAGACCACAACAGGGGAGCAACATAACAGAGTGTTTGGTTTCCAGTAGCTGCTATGTTGCACCGACCCACAGAACTCATTCAGTGAACATGAACCCTCTCCACCCATCTGCCCTGCTCTCTCCCAGYCCTCCAAACAGCCAAATGTTCTGTAGATTTGATTACCTGGGTCAAAGATTAGCCTGCTTTTCTTTATCTTTTGACCTCTGACACAGACTACTAATAACTTTTTTCAAAATGTATATAATTCCATTGTTGATCTATTATAAAAGTAGTGCATGATTGTAAAATAAATAATAATAAATATTGTTTAGAGCTCCTTTAATTCCATACTTTATAGATAACTACAACTAATATTTTGGCATAAGTCTAGGTTTTTTTCTATATATATATAAGCTCAAAAATGATTATTTTTGAACTAAAATAAGATTGTATTATATTGTTTGATATAAACTCTTTTTCTTGATAAGTCTCTATCAATAAATATAAGTATATATCATTATTTTTTGTATTTCATTGTTTATATAAAGCTTGCATATACTTTATCATAGATATAAATATGTATTTACATATATTTCATATACCACACACACACACATTCATATACCACATATATACATGTATACATATACACATACTTTATAACTCCCRTATTGATAGATATCTAGATTTTTTTCCCCAGTTTTCCCAAACACAAACATTTTTTAACTTTTTTCCATTGGGTTCCTAGAACTAGAATAGTTGGAAACGTGTGCTTTTGATATACAGTGGCAAAATACCTTCAGAAAAGTTGGGCCAATTTATATTTACCAGCCATGTCTGAGAGTGCCTGCCTGTTCCTCCATTCCCTAACCCCAGGATTTTAAAAGCTTTTTGATCTTTCCTATATGGGAGATAAAAATATTCTTATTTCAATTTTCATTTCTTCAATTACTTTTTTCATATACTTATTTTCCATTTGCAATTATTCCTTCATGACATTTCTATTCCATACTTTATGACTATCATTCTACTCGTCTGTTTCTGTGTGTGTGTGTTTGCACCTGTAGCAGTGTGTGTGTGTGTGTGTGTGTGTGTGTGTGAGAGAGAGAGAGAGAGAGAGAGAGAGAGAGAGGTCATTGGCTATCTCTGGATAGTAGACAACATATGGATGGCTTTTCTTTAATATCTTTTTTGCTTATACATATCATCTATATTTTCACAGCGAACACATATCTATGTAATAAAACAACCTTGGCCAAATGTGTGAAGTTTTGCAAAGTGTTTCTGCAGATACCTGGTGCTTTATACACTAATTATGCTGGTGCAGAAACTGTTTTCTAAACAGCAAAAATATCAGAGTTATTAAAAAAAAACTTGAGATGGCTTCATGAAGCTTAGTGGATACAAAGTTTTAAAAACAAAGCCTCRATTAAGACTCTTTTGACAGCTGGCAAAGTGATCTGAGGCTGAGGCTTGAGTTCCAGGTCAGTGAGTTCCAGGTCAGCCTGGACAACTTGATGAGACGCTGTCTTAAAATAAAATTAAAAAGGGCTGGAGGTATAACTCAGTTGTAGACCACCTGCTTAGCATGTGCAAGACCCTGGGTTCAATCAACCAGTAATACTAGAAAAAAAAAGAAGAAGAAAAAGCTACTTTGGAAATTTCTTTAAAAAGTTAAATATAAATTTATTATATGATCTAACAATTCTACTTGTGATTATGTGCCCAAGAGAAATGAAACCATAGGCCCACAAATATGAACACAAATGTTCATAGCAGCATCATTCATAATAACCAAAAAGTGAAAAAAAGTCCAGCTATCAACTGGTGAATGTATAGATAAAACAAGGCACATCTATACATTGGAACAGTGCAAAATTATTACAACAAAAATATTACAAGATGAATGATCCTYACTAYATGTTGAATGAAAGAAGGCAGACAGAGAAGGGCACAAATATCCAAAAATGTCCAGAAAGACAAATCTGAAGAGACAGACAGTAAATTAGTGGTTGCCAGAGGCTAGACTGAGTATGGSAGAGAGAAATAGGCATGAGATTAGGAGTGATAGAAATATTCTTAAAGAGGGGTTGAGGTTGTGGCTTAGCAGTAGAGCGCTCGCCTAGCATGGTTCAATTCTCAGCACCACATAAAAATAAATTAATTAATTAAAGACATTGTGTCCAAAACAACTTTAAAAAAAAAAGAAAAAGAAAAAAGAAATATTCTAAAAGTGAATTGTGGGTGACGGTTGCACAACTTTATAAACACTTTAAAGGTCATCAAAATGTGTATTTACATGAGTGAATCTTATGGTATATAAATTGGACCTCAATAAAAATGTTTAAAAGACCCTAACATACATATCATTTGAAATAAACTTATAAGTTACAACCTTTTCTAAGAGTTGTTAAACTCTCAGTGCAATAACTGAATGGATCTTTCCATTTATCTACTCAATCCTCTCACATCAACATCTGATAAATTTTAGAATTTTTCCATGTCCTTCATTTGTGAATTTAAAAATTGGCTGAAGTATAAATTTCAAATTTTGACACCTCTTTCCTGCTTCCCAGTCTAGTTAGTCATGCAATCTGAGCAAGACACTGTGAAATGCTGAGGAACCCTGGACCATGTCAGGATTCCCAAAAAACGTCCACGCAGGAAGCACAAAGGTATGTGGTTTTTAGAGTAACTGGAGATGTTTGCTAGTTCAGCTGAGACAACTGAGACCAGAAGCAAAGGCTGCTTCTTTAGCCCTTATCTAACCAGATTTATCCAGGTGGGTTGGCYCAACAAACAGACTTGCTGATGAGTTCCAGGGAGTCAATTTCACTGCAATTTTGCAGAAGGCTAGCTCCTCTCTTTCCTTGGCAATACTGGACTTTGCCCATGATGCTTTTGTGGAAGAGAAAGACKGCCACATTTTTCAGATGTTGTAGTTATTTCTATATTTTTTTCAGTGGCTGGTCTGCAGCAGATTTCAATGATTATTTATTACTGTTTAACACGATGGGTAGACTGTTAAGTGTTCCCAGTAATCACTCTTCCTATTTCTCTTGGTATTGRAACCTCTGAGCTGGAAACACTCTGGCCCCCTAGAGGAACTAGACACCCAGGGTKGGGGGCTGCTTGGTACTCAGTGTTCACAAGCAGATGTGATGTGTGCCACTCTGCCTCTCCCCCTCCACTTCCTTTCCCTTCCTCTCTGTAAGCTAGAATGGGAACCTGGACAGCTTTGTGGGACAAAATAGAATGATGGGACCCAAGATACTGAATGACCACAGTGAGCAGAGGCATCTGGACGACCACCTACCTCTAAACAGATAGACATGCGAGAAATAAACTTTTTGTTGTTTCATTTCAGCAACTTAACCTGTACCCTAATTAAAATCCTGGGTAATGTGTTAGAAGACCTGTATCCTAGATCTACTTCTGCTCCTGAGTAAATTTCTGTACTTATTTGAACCTCAGCTTCTGCATCTTAAAATTAGGGGTTGGATAGAATGGGAATCCCAASTATTGTTGTGCCACAAACTGCTTGGATGAGCAGATAAAGCCTAAAAGTTCCTTCAGAGGAGAATACCTTTCAATGCATAGAATGAAATACATGAGATTACAAAAGAAATCAATTATATTTAAATACAGTTCTAATCACAGACCTTATGGTCTCTGTGGGCCCCAATTCAGGGCACCTGAATAGACATTTGATCAAAATGTCTCTGAGTTTATGATTCTATCTAGTGCATACGAGATAAAAATTAGTAAGTCTGTGTTGTTTGTAGTTTAATTTTTCTGTGTATTATGATGCTTTGACATCTTCAAAAACTTCCAATATTTAGAGACAATAGCCAATGTTTAGGGACAGCAAAGAGTGCAGCCTGAAACATGCCTTTGATATGCTAATCAACCAATCCAGAGCCATACATCCATTATCTGGCCCATATATCCAAGGAGGCAATATTTCTCTGCCTTCAGCATCCCTGGTCCAGGTACCAGACAACAAGAGACCATCCTTGGAGCTCAGAGCCTACCAAAATTAACCAAAGTAACCAATTTTCAACTCTTCACCTTGCTCTACCCTTTCCTAAAACGACAATAAAGGCTAGGCTCTCTCCTTGCTACGGCTCCTTGCTACTTCTGCCTCCTGACCAACCAAGATACCTTTCCATGTGGCCCTGCTGTGCCTCCTATTTCTAGAATCTGTGAGTACAATAAGCTCTGTCTTTCTTAGTTTCTCCTGTGTCTCCTCTTGTGACTGCACCTAAATGACCATCACACACAGGAACACAGAACACACCCTGGCAGCCTCAAACTGTTAACTGTCTTCCAAAGTGCTAGGATCCCACATTCCACTTGTATATATCCAATCCATTCAAGACACCACTGAAAAAAAAAGAAAGCTTCACCAAATTGACAGTTATGGAATTAAGGTGGCACCTCATTTCCTAGATCATCAAAACTAAATTCATAAAGAAGGGGCTGCAATATTAAATTTCCTCCTTGACATACATATTAAACAGTAGACTCCAAAATAACATWTCTTCTTTTGTGGAAGCTTCTACAAATTGAGATGGCTTTCTATTTCATGCGAATTTAGCATCTCTACTCAATCATTTATAGAAAACTCACTGAAGGTGTGGAAAATCCATGATCTGGGAACCAATTACCAGTGTATTGGTGCCTTCAGGGATCACTTTTTATACTAGATCTGATTTTACCTAAAATGAATACTCCTATTCCAGATAATCTGGAAGAAATTTCAAATGGCTCTCTCATCATTACAAAAACATGTTTGGATACATTGATTTGGAACTTGGTGTTTTAAATATGGTTGGGTGTACTCCTTTTGCTAGGTCTTACCTCGAACAAAGACATAAGCGCTATATTGTTCATAATATTCTCCCATTCGAACACGGATTGTATAAAGGCCTTCATCTTCTTTATTGAGATGAGAAAATGTCAGCGTTGCCCGATCTCCACTCCAGTGTGTTTGCACCCATTTTGATGGAGAAATAGGTGCTCCTAGAAATTAAAAAAACATAAGCAAATTAATTGATTTTCCCCCTCTATTCCTATGTTTTCTTCGCTCCCTCTTTTTTCTCCTTTCTATATTGAAAGTTATTTAACACTTAGAGGAAGTCTCTAGAGCTTTAAGACCATCTGCCATCTTTACATTAGCAAAAATACCAGACAGAGGTGAGGACCCTGGGTCAGACACATAATTTGCATCACTCAGTAGAAAAATTAAACTGCCAACCCCCATGTTCCAAAGATAGAGGAAAAATTCAGTAAAAGGTATTAAATTATAAGATTTTTGCTTTGGAGTTTTTATTATGTATAAAACATAATAGGGGGTCATACAAACTGCAAAAAATAATATTTTGGTGTCATAATTTTATATACAATAAACAATAGTACTAATGGGTCATCTTGATAAGATATTTATGGCTTTTCTRCAAATTTATTTACAAAATGTATGCTTTGAGCAACTTCATTTTTAATCARCATAATCAAAGCAATGTCAATCACTCTGCAAATGCAAGCTCACTAATGAATTTGATTAAGTTTTTATTTAGAGAAGGATTTTTTTTGCTGATTTAACTGTTACTGGAACAGTTAATGAGTATAATGTAGGCTATGACAACTTTGGGTTAACTTTTGGAAAATCTTTTTTAAAATACAAATCTTAGTACTCTAGAACTGATGATTCTGGAGAAACAATTTTTCTAAAAAGATTTAACTCCACACAAATCAGTTTCACATAATTCTGAATTTAATTTTAAATGTAAATTCACACAATTGCATTTTGATATTTTCTCTGGCATGTCCTCTAACATGAGACAGGCATATAAGTAATCAAAAAATGATCTGTGATCTTTATATAATTTGGAATACTTRTTTATGCTTTCTATTACTGTATCTAATTACAAGGAAAAGTTAACTTTAGAACTGTCCTCCTTGTATAATTGGTTCACCCAAAATTCATATGAAAATCATGTTCTTTCCATCAAATCCTAGAATCTTTAAATTCAATGTGATTTCTTTTCTTGTCTTTTGTGCTGGTGATTGAAAATAGGGGCGCTTTACCACTGACTCAYATTCCTTGTCCTCTTTTTATTTTTTATTTTGAGACAGGGCCTCACTAAGTTGCTGGGGCTGGCCTTGAGCTTGTGATCCTCCTGCCTCAGCCCCCCAAGTTTCTGGGATTATAGTGTGCACTACCCCATTCACCTCAATGTGTATTTCTAAGCCTTAAAACCAGAGACTCTAAAGTCTTTGAAGAAGTCTAACTGCCTTATGCATGTTATTGCAATGTCCATATGTGTGCTTTTATATATAATATTTAACTGACAAGGTTTATTGCTTGCTTGTTCTTGCTGTCCCAGTGCTGGGGAGTTAATCTATGTGCAAATTCCATAGAGATGAGTTGTGGGGGCAGAAAGGGAAGCTGGCCTCCCACTGTGTATGTATGTCCATACTATATCCACATAGAATCCCTCCTTTCCTCTGGGGATGGTGCCACTGCTGTTGCTAATTCCAACCYGAGCCAGGTCCTGGTCCCCAGAAGCATATTAAAACCCTCGATGTCCCAGACCGTCCAGGTGCTCACATACATGCCTGAAAGTCAGGGTCATTCCTTGGTGAGTGTGCTACCCACAGTCCACCACACTGAGGGCCTGAGCCTCTGTGTGGCTGCATTGCCACTTAGTGTATGTCCTTTAATTATGTACATGCTCCATAGACCCATGGGACTTCATGTATAAAACACAAGATCAAAGATAAAATGATTAACAATAGGGCTGGGGTTGTAGAGCGCTTGCCTAGCATGTGCGAGGCCCTGGGTTTGGTCCTCAGCACCACATGAAAATAAATAAGTAAAATTAAAAAGGTATTGTGTCCAACTACAACTAAAAAAAATAATTTAAAAAATGATTAACAATATCAAGATGGTGATAGCAGAGAATTAAACCAAGCTCAAGTCCYCTTCCAGAGTGGTCCGGTGAGATAGCACAGTTTGCATGCCCAAAAAGTCAGCTCTGGAAGGGCCTATTTCAGTCCCATCACTTTCATTAATGAATCACTTAACCTTTCTGGGCCTGAGTTTTTTGTTTTTTCTTTTTTCATAAACAAAATGGAATTTGAGCTATCATCAAATCCCTAATAGGAAATACCACAACGCAGCCTCATTAACTATTTTTTTCTTTTACTTTTCTATGTATTTCTGAAGTTTATTTTATAAAACAGTTAAGCAGAAAAAATTGTCTGATAACCTTACTAATGACACAGAATAGCTAAATGTGTCTTGAATTTTACATTTAAAAAAAATCTTTATTTTCTTTCTTTCTTTCTTTTTTTATGTGGTGCTGAGGATTGRACCCAGTGCCTCACATGTGCAAGGCAAGCGCTCTGCCACTGAGCTACAACCCCAGCTCCGAATTTTACAATTTTTAATAACTTTAAAGTCTAATCTTCTCTAGAAATAAACTTGGTGAAGAATTTTAAGATAAATTAAAAGGGATGCTGAGAGTTTCCAGGTCCATTTGTTATTCTTTCTGGGACATATCCTCTGTCAGTTGAGAGCTAACACAGGACTTGCCTTGTACCTAAGGGGGAGTTGGGTTCTTTAGCAGCCATGCTGTTTTTCAATATCCAGACATAAAGGGACTCAGAAAGGTCAGAGAAAGTACAAACTTTCCTAGGAGTTTTGTTTTTCAGTATTAGAGCTCATGTTTCAGCCATGCAAGAGGAGGCTCGGGATAATGAAAAGAGCTAGGGCCTCAGAATGACCACCACCAGGTCTGGAGATCTCCTGCAGCCAGAATTTGGCTGYGTGATTTACTGCAATGCTTTATTCTCTCCAGACAGTTTCAATGTCATCATCTATTGGGTGAGATAACCTGGTGTAGAAACTCAGTACTTTGGATCTAATATTTAGGATGCTAATTTAGATTGTATTATTATTTTTTTAAAATAGTTTTTTAGTTGTTGTTGGACACATGCCTTTATTTTATTTATTTTTATGTGATGCTGAGGATCGAACCCAATGCCTCACACGTGCTAGGCAAGCGCTGTACTGCTAAGCCACAACCCCAGCCTCAAGATTGTATTATTTAGTAAGTTCAATGCTTCAACTAATCATCGTATTTTGATAATTTTTTTCCCTTCCCTCCCTTCCCCTCCCCTCTCCTTTCCTTTCCWTTATCTAGACTTTAACCAGACAGGATTTAAAAGGGGAAATAAAAACCTTATTTCTTACTCACACTAAAGTATCATGGCTCTAGAACTCTTTAAAATAAAGTAAAACTAAATAAAGTGTCTTAAARCCAGAGTTAGAGGAAAGGACAGTGGAACGGTTTTCTTTCTGTTCTACCAGCATTGGTTTTAATATACCATAAAATGGAAGATCATTTTTATCTACTTTTATGTCCTTAAAGAGATGTCAATGTAGGTTGCATATTTTATATGTAGAATGTACTTATAAAGAACCTTTAATACATTAAAACAGAAGTGCTAAGGTCTGAATTTCCTCTTAATTGACTCTGATGCTTAATAACATCATAAATTTATTGTTTCATAGGATATATATATATATATATATGTACATATATATATTTCCAGAAATTTCTATGTCATAAAATTAATTTTAAATTAAATATGCTTTTTTTAAAAAAAAAAAATTCTTTCATTTGGTAAAATACCCTTCCTCACAAACCTATCACTTATACCATAGAGATTTTTATTTTTTAGTATCAGGGATTGAACTTAAGGTTGCTTAACTACTGAACCATACCCCCAGCCCTTTTTTATTTTTAATTTTTGAGACAGGATCTTGCTAAGTTGTTTAGGGCCTTGCTAAGTTACTGAGGCTGGCTTTGAACTCACAATCCTCCTGCCTTAGCTTCCTGAGTTKCTGGGATGAGAGGCGTGCACCATTGTACCCAGTGAGTTTTTTTTTTTAATCACAAATATATTATAAAAGTGTTGCTGCTTTTATGTCTATGTAAAAACATTTTAAACATACAGCAGGTTGTTCTCTCCCTGATAAGCAGATCTGCAATCTGGTCTGCAACCTCTTGTGGGTAAGAACCTAAGTGAGAATTTGTTATGAAGACTCACCATTTCTGTACCACTGGACCTCTGGCTGGAAATGTTTAATTTCAGGAGTGATGACTACCCGACAGCCCAGACTCATGGTCTCTCCTTCTCTCCCAAAAGACACATCGAATTTGTCATCAAAGTGGATCTCAAACTTGGATGCATAACCATAAGGGGTTACAGCAACTGAACACAAYAAAAACAAATATCAGTAATTTCTTTCTTCTTCTTCTTCTTTTTTTTTTAATCCAAGATACACAAGCATTTGCATAAAAACAGGCAAAAAAAGTTGTAATAAAGACTGGTCAAATGATTTATCTGGGCAAAAATTTAGTTTCATATAAGAAGTAGGTAGAACATACACATACCAAATTGATATGGGAACTCTTGCTTCATTGATCATAGAAACTAAATACTTAGTTTCATTATTGTGATGAACAGAATTTAAAAGGTCAGGTTTAATGTCTTGAATGCAAACTAATATCACATTTAGCCTAGACTTAATACAGTGCAGTCTAGCTGCAACATATGCACTTTTTAATTTTAGATTTTGAGTTATACTATACTGCTGTACTCTTGGGACCAAATAACCACGTCAGTTACTCATAAAAACAGTTTTTCAGTAAATTACTTCCTTTTCTTTTCTTTAGTGACCTGAATTTTTTTTGGTACCAAGGATTGAAATCAGGGGCACTTAACCACTAAGCCACATCCCCAACTCATTTTTATATTTTATTTAGAGACAGGATCTCACTGAGTTGTTTAGTGACTTGCTAATTTGCTGAGGCTGGCTTTGAACTTGTGATTCTCCTGCCTCTGCCTCCCCAGTGGCTGGAATTATAGGCGTGTGCCACTGCAGCTGGTTCTTTAATGACCTAAAATTTTTAAGTATTATAAAAATGTAAATGGAAGAAAACTAAAGTTTAAAATATATAGCTTTAAAAAAGATTATTCTCAATGTATAGATTGGATAAATGCCTGTATCATCAAGTCTCCTCAATTTTAGTTTCTCTTTCCTCAAAGGAAAGGGGGCTGGAAAGAAGTGATGACTTAGTGTTTTCATAGGAAACACGAGTAAAATTAAAATTCAAACTCAACTCTAAAACTTAGTCCCTTTCTCTTCATGTTTCATTTCTTTTCCTAACTTCCCTTTGAAAATGCAACTTAGCATTGGGTTCAATTTTGCCAAGTATTGCTCCAAATATTTAATAGCAATCAACGCAGTTAAGCCCCATAATAATCTTCTCAGGTAAGGACAATTATTATCTCTATTTTATAGTAGAGAAAAGGGAAGCCTAGAAGGATTAAATAACTGCCCACATTTACCCATATAGCCAGATTCACTGTACTGGCAGGATATTTCCAGAAGCTTTGCTCTCTACCAATATAATGCACTGCCTTGAACTGGTGTGTTCCCACAAAACCACTAACCATCGGTGAAATAACTTTTCTCCTAAGCACGTCTCCCATCTGCCTCATTTCTAAGTGATGATGTTCCACTGAGAACCAAGAAGAGAGTAGATTTGACTAACTCTTGCTCAGCATTGGAGGGTTGGCTGGTTCCAGTGCTGCCTGAGGTTTTGAAACCAATAAGGAGGCTCTACAGTGACCTAAAAGTTCCAGCAAGCAGTCTCCAACTTCCAGGTTCTTTCTAGACCTGAGATTAGACTGTCTGGGGTGGCCTTGGGGTTCAGCAGGAAGCCAGCTTTACCAACCAGAAGATAAAATATCTTTCCTTAGTCACTCCCTCAACCCTTTGTCCTGTGTACTTTCCATTATGGCAAAAAACGGTTTAGGGTAGGGTTGGGAAATCTGTGGGCCACATATGGACTTCCTCCTGTTTAGTACCCTTAGGAATTTTTTTWAAAAATTTTTTGATGGTTGAGAAAAATAAAAAGTAAAAGAATATTTTATGACTGAGAAGCTACAGGAAATTGAGAAGCCATAGGAAATTCAAACTCAATGTTCATGGCTAAGTGTTTACTGGAACTCAGCCACACTCCTTCATTTCCCTACTGTTTATGGCTGCTTTCATGTTCAGTGGCAGAGCTGAGTTGTTGCAACAGACACCATATGGCCCAGAAAGCCTAAAATATTTACAATCTAGTCCTTTACAGAAATGTTTGCCAAACCCTGGCTTAAAATACGGTTTAGAATTAAAAAGACAGGCTACAAGTTCTTTTTCTACCACTGTGTGTGGTCTTGTTCCATGATTTAAACTCCAGTCTCCTTCCTCATCTGGGTAGCATAGATAAAAATGCACCTACTTTGTAAGCTTTTGATGAGCTTTAAGTGCATCAGTACATATAAAAATATCTTGGTATAGTGTTTAGAACAACCAATGAATACATGTTAACCATTAGAACAAAACCAAGGGCAGGGAGCTTTGTCTATGCTATTTAGCAGCATATTCCAAGCATTTAAACCAGTATCTAATCACATAGCAGGTACTCAATAAACATCAGTTGAAAGTACGAGCCCTCTATCTTCGATTAGGAACAATGGTTAAGTCAGAGGCCAGTCAGAAGAGGCTCGATAAAGTTGATCAGGAAGAGAAGTAGGGTAAGGTGGGCTTTAAGAACCTGGCTTGACAGGAAAGAAAATGTAGAATCATGAACTATGTATGAGATGGTGATGGAAATGAGCAGGATACATTCAGATGATAGTGGAATGATCAACAGGCCAGTCTTGGGATTGTTGAGAGGTAAGTTGTAGATTCAAGTTTCCAACTATTTTATCCCAATTTAAATCAAGTGATGGAAAAAGGGCATGATTTCAGATGGGCTCCTTCCTCACTTCTACCCATCCTCCACACCCACACATGGAACTGATACTAATGATTATAACTTGGAATATTAAACTAAGGGCCATCCCATGAAGTCAGTGAAGTAGGCGTCTACAGATATATATAACTAACCATTTAGGTGAAAGACTAACCTCTGAGAAAAGACCTTCGTCAACCATTTTCAAAACCACCATGCGTTGTTTAATGTGTGGAAACACGTTCAGGCTTGACTACCTTTTTCAGCCTGAGCATTGTAAGCATATAAGGATTTCAACAACCATAAGGAGTTTAATTTTAAAATATGAATAAGTTCTCATATAGATAAAAATGATTGAAGTTCACAAATTTTCAAATTACCACTGACCAAAAAATGTGGTTAGACCAAAAGTCTAACCACATTTAGACTGGATTTAGAGTTGTACTTTATAAATAGATGTATTTATTGATTCATTCATTATCAAATATCTATGCTGTGCCAGGCAATGGAGTTCAGAAATAAAGGGTTCAGCCTTGCCTTCAAGTGGCTCAAGGACCGGTGGGAGAGATGATAACCTAAGAGTTAACCGTGTCCCATGTCACAGACATCAGAGGAGGAGCCACAGCCTCACTGAGGACACCTACTTCTGACTGGATGGGACAAAGGGATAGAGTGGAGGTCAAACATGGTTCTCAAGGGGGTGATGCTGACCTGAATTTTTAAGGATGAGTGGAATGTTGTGCTATAGAGTAGGGGGCGTGGGGGGGAGTGTGTGTGCACACTTATCGTGTTTCGTTACATCACCCTGCTCAGGTTTGCATAATGATCTTTCTCGGTTTTAACACAAGAAGACTTAAAATCACTTAAGTCTTGCCATTTTTGGCCTGTCATATCTGGATTTCCAAGTAATTTGACCCCCAAAGAAAACAGTAACCAGAGAATCTAAATCAAGCAAAACCAAAATACCCACAAAACTTAATACATCCATCCTCGCATATATTATATTACATATAGTATCACTTAATTCAGCATTATAGAATAGCTTATTATGCTGTATTTTACATAAAGATGACATTTAACAAATATATTATTCGACTTACAGCTGAGGGGCATGGTCGAAGCCCCAGCATGGAAGCGAGTCTCATCAAACTCTCCTTTATATCCTAGAAAAGAGAAATACACGTGAACTGATTCATGATCAACTTACTGATTTTTTTTTAAACAATCGGAAGAAATTTTGTTAAAAGAAAAAAAAAACCACTTTGAATAAAACAAATGCAGCAAACCTACTCTTTACCACAACTGACGCATATGCTGAAAGCTCTCCTTTAACGTTCATTGCTGAGGCCCGGTACTGAGCCGTGTCTTCAAAATCACATCTGAAAGAACACAGAGAAACAAATGGCCGTCACGGTGACAGACCTGGCTAATTACTGGCTCTTCTATTGGGGCACTCTTGGCACACACAGCACACTGCCACTCAGTGGCCAACATGTGGCTTTGGGGGGCTCTCCATGAAGCTACTGTCTCTGGTCTGATTACCTGTGGGATTTCATACAGTGCAGGAGACCTACTGCAGTTCCATGCCAGCAGCTCAGTGGGAACAACACTATGGTAAACTTACCTAAAGCTGTTTTGGGAGGAGAAAATGTCCAGCCACGTGTTTTGTGGCAGGTAACTACCTGGAGACACACCAGGGAGTCTGGCTGCCCTGCTGCCCAGTCTTTTGTGGTGGGTTTCAGTCTGGGGGCCCAGGGAAGAGAAAGAAGCAGCCCCTCAATTCCCACAGTCTCCCTGAGCCATAAACCTGAGCGAGGTTGGTTTCACGTATGGTTCTATGTTTTAGTTTCAAAACACCAGTGAGTGTTTACGCTCCAATTTTACTACCGTTTGGGTGCACTTGGAATTTCAGCCTACAGCCTAACCCAAGAAATGCCCATTGGAATGTTTTATAAAAATGGAATTAGGGAGAAAGGGATCTCACAGAGAGAGAGAGGAACTGGCTAAGATTTCAAAGAAGGCTGTTTTGTATCTCATCCCACCAGTTCCCCATGTTCTCCATTGTTCCTCAAGGTTTGGTTTCATTTGTATAAACTTACTTCTTCTTATAGAAATTTTACAGACAGCAACAGAACCCAGGAAGGCAAATACAGTAGTCTGTCTCATAGTTTTTTTAATTTTGAAAGCAGCCACATTTTTCATGGTTGCATCAGGAGAACCACCCTCTGGCAGAAGTGGTGTGACTTAGATCAGAGTCAGTGCTTGGTGAACAACACAGGCCCCTGGGTTCTGTTTGAAGCCTGGTGTCACTTGGGCCAACACCTCTGATCTGGGGAGAAAAATACAAATCTTTTGAGAATAGAATGATGGAAATTTCACTTGGACATCTCAGCACCCTATGGTTTTATCTAAAGTGAAAAGGATTAGAGCTTGCTTAATTTTTTTTAATCCATAAAATTTGGTGTGGGTTGCAATACCATTAGGGGAGACAATAAACCTTTAAGGACTTGGAAATTTTGGTTTGGGATCCATGCTCAGATTTTGCTTTAGATTTTTGCTTTACCCTCAAACATCCCAATGTCTTATCATCACTTCACATACATAGATTGACAAGGCATATGGTTTTCCACAGCTCCTGGTAAGCTGAAGGAAAGACAGAACCTTATCTCCAAGTCCAACCTTTCAATGCCACCTACCCCAATCTCTATGGCCTTTTATTGATTAAAATCAAGAGTATGACGATGATGTTGATTCAGGACTCTGAAAGGATAACTGGAGAGAAATGATTATTTATACAACATATTTTCTTGCTGATGTCTATGGAAATTTCTCCAGTAATGAAAATATGAATAAAAATATATAAATTAATTTTTCTCCTCATCTTTGACTAAATTCAAATATAAAATCACATTGGGAGGCAGTGTGGGCATGGTAAGGATTAGTCATGAGGATCACTTGTGGGTGTGTAAGAAGCTTCCTATTGTCATCAGGCTGCCCTGGGAGGAGAAGCAGAGAGCGACTGTTAACTGGGGTGATGACAAACTTCCCCGAACGATTGTTGGATGACACACACAAACACTGGTGTTCTCTTACGTGTTGATTTCCAGAGTGTGCATTCCATATCGACTTTCAATAATATACTTTCCAGGGTTTGCATGGACGTTTATTGGCACTTGATTTTTATACCTGTAAGATGATGGAAATGAAATGAATCTACTGAAGTGCAAATAACTACACGATTAAACACACACATCCAATTCTTCTTCTTGTGGGGACAACTTCTATAAACAAGGCCCTGAGGATAGCAGTGGCATCTATTTAATAAATATAAATTATATGAGCTTAAAGAAAATGCACTTGCAATGCAGTGAAATTTCTTGCTGAAGTACTTTCCCTTCTTCCATAAAATTTACTTGAAAAACATGAACTATTCAGAACAATATGGATGAATCTTATGTACCTCTTGTTAATGGAAAAACCCGATTACAAAAGAGCACAGAGTGTAATAAGYGCAAAACCAAAAAGACCAGATAATGTAGCGGAAGGTCAGGATAGTTATTTCCTGGGGTGAAGGGTGGGGTGTAAAGAAGTCATCTTGGATACTGATAAAGTCTGGTTTCTTGATTTGGGTGTTGTTACGCAGGTTTCTTGTTAGAAGTGTACACAGTCTAAAATTCACCAAAACTCTATATTTGTATGTAACATACACTTTGTTGTGTATGTGTCAATAAAAAGAAAGCTAAAAATTGACCATTGTAGACATAACAATGGAGGTTTCATGTTTGGCTCACTGTGTGAGATGAAAGCAAAATGTTCCTCTTGCTAACATTCTTGCATGTCATTATTCAAAACAACGTCATTATACTGAAAGATCATTATATTTAAGTGGTTTATTCTATGTCATAAACAAAGATGATTCTTACTTTGGAAAAACTTATAAAGTAGAAAAGGAAACTCCTCTCAAAAGCTAAAAGCTTCTCTTTTTCTGACTGTTCCATGGGTGGTTAAGCCTCTCAGTCCCCAGAGGGTGGGCCGGGCCACACATCTGTAAGTGGCACCTGGATTCTTTCCATGTCCTCATGTTCTCAGGAGCCAGTGGTTATGGTGTCAGACCACCCTTATCTCCTTAAACCAATTCTACCCAAAAGAGGAGCTGGATTTTCCTTTGAGACACCCCACTTCACATATACAAGTAATACTAACAACCACAAATGATAGAGGATTCACCAAGTGCTCTATGCCTAGGCCGAATCAGTAAGTTCAGTCCTTGCAACTACCACATGAGGTAATGCTTTCTTTGGTTGACAGAAGAAGAAACCAAGGCATCGAGAAATTAAGGAACTTGCCCCACATTGCACAGCTAGGAAGAGCAGAGCTGGGATTTAAACCCAGACAATCTGGCTCCTGACCCATGGCTGTCTGCATTTTCCAATTACTCTCTATGGAAATGCATACTTTTAGAAATGATTATAAGGATATTTAGGATCAGGGAAAATGGTGGAAAGAGACAGAAGGAATATCAGCGTTAGCCAGTTCTTTCCTCTCTCTCTCTCTCTCTCTCTCTCTCTCTCTCTCTCTCTCTCTCCTCTCTCTCTCTCTCTCTCTCTCTCTCTCTCTTTTGTGCGCATGCGCGTGCAAACACACACACACACACACACACACACACCCCACACCTTGTGCCCCCACTGTGGTTTTTGGATGGGTTTGTCCCCCAGGGAATGTGTCAGAAGCTTGGTCCCCAATGTGGTGGTATTATGAGTGGAACCTCTTAAAAGTGATTGGGTGCAAAGTCATTTGGGTCGTTACCCTTAGCACTGTTAAAGTATTTCTGATGACCCTGGTTAGTTCCATGAGAGTGAATTGTTATAAAAGAGCAAGCCTGGTCCCTCCTTAGCCTTTGACACTATGTAATTTTCACTTCTTGCATTAATTCTCACCATGATGCCATTTGTTATGTTATGACAGAGCTAAGGAGGACACTCACCAGAACTGGCAACTTGTTGTTTGGATCCAGCCTCCAAAACTGTGAGCTAAATAAATCTCTTTCTTTTACAAAATAGCCAGTCTTTTGTTATAGCAATGGAAAACTAATAGAGTTTCTAAAGCAAAATCATTCATTTTTGTTGTTGTTGTTATTTTATTTTGAGACTAGGTCTCACTATGTTTTCCAGTCTGGCTTTGAACTTGCCATCTTCCTGCTTTAGGCCCCCAAAGAGCTGCAGTAACAGGTGTGGGGCCCCTTGCCTCAAAACGTTATTCATTTTCTTCACCTTGCTCACTCTCCTTTCCAAGCAAAATTTCAACTCATCCTTCAAGATTCAGATCAAATGCCACTACTTCAATAGACTCCTCTTTAAAAATCCCACACAATATAAATAATCAATCAGGATTACTTGGTTCAAATTGCTAACTATAAGATTTATCAAAATAATGATTGGATCTGTGTTTCCTCTACGAGGTTGCCAGTCCTCTGATGAGGACTGTCTCTGATCCATATTTACTTCTAGTCCCACTCTTGAAGCAGGATGAGTCATGGGGGAAATAGTAGGTACTCAGTGTTGGTTAATTAGATAGAAGACAATTACTGTGTGATGCAATAGATAAATTGTAGCTTCATCATTTTTTTCTGAAAGAATGGAATTCTGACAAGCATATCCTTCATGGTAGGGATAATTTTAAAGAAGTGCATACAAATAGAGAAAGCTGAGGCATTTGCTTCTCTCAGATGTGAGTTGAAGAGGGTTAGTCTAGCTACAGTCGCAGCTGCACAGCAGGTGTAGTTGCATAACCCTCTCCCCCACCCACAGAAGGCATTGCTACTCGACCACAAACTGTTTCCTGCCAGCCCAGAAGCCACCTCGGGCAGCTGTCTCCCCAMAGGGCTCTAACCAAGGAGGACTATTTGATCAGAGATGGACTGTCAAAAGAAATCTTCTGGCCACTCCTAATCTTCAACAGTCCCCATTTTGATAAACGACAGGGTAGAACAGGTTGATTAGCACGTTCTTGGATTGGACTGGTTTAGGTCATTTCATATTCCACCAGGAAGCTCCCTCCTGCTCCATATTTTCATGTCCTGAAGGGTTTTCAGTAGCTCTTCTCAGCACAAGGAGACCAATATGACACTAAATACTGTGGCACGTGCTGCTTGACCAAGGGACAGAGTGACACTCAAGTTGGCTTTGGGTCAACAATGCTGCTTATATCTCTATAAAGTTTGAGTTAAAATGGTATCTTGCAATTCCCAGGGTACTGCCCAACTTAGCACCTTGATGACTTTCCCCCAGCTAAATATTTCCTCCACCTAAACACTCAACGACTCTTCTAATGTGACCACCTGGCAAAGAAAATTGGTTTAATGTATACACACAACGCTCTGACTGGGGAGCTTCCAGTCTTTCCTCTGGAACTCTGGATGTCAAAGGAGGAAACTCTGGGCTAAAGCAATAGAGAGGATGAAGTCAAAAAGCAACTTCATTCTATTCTCCAAGGAGTTTCATTGATGAGACACTCAGGTTTGGGGTCACTTGAGATTGGTCATTTTCAGTCTTCAGTTAGAGAAGAAAGAAGGTCCTGCAGCCTGCTCTGTATACACTTTGCCACTTGTTATTTCTGGAAAATTAAATTCCAAACTGGACAGCCATTGGCTAATTTTAGAGAGTGATCTATACCTTGGGATTATTTGTCAAAGGATTTCTTAAATCCTTGCAAATATGTAGAGGTATGCCATTTCCATTATGATTTTCAAGTGGTTCATTAAACTATCAGTTAATGAGCTTTCAGGATACTGTAAGTATTTCTAGAATAACAAATCTGCCACGAGTGAATTTTGTCACCTTCTGTACAAATGTCAGCTCAGATGTCAGACTGACTTTGATAATGAGAAATTACAGTGAAAGCTCTTCGGCTGAGCAAAACACAATCAAGCCTTCGTAGTAGTTTTTTATTTTTAATCAACAAACATTTCATACCAAAATGATCTTGAACATTTTAAATCTCACCACAAATGGAACTGGTGCTCAAAATCCAACCTTAAATATTGAATAAATAGCTAATACCTACTTTAAAATTATCTGAAAGATCTATCCCATTAGGATAGATTTGGAGTTAAATAAGAAAACCCTAAAATAAACTCCCAAACCCTTAGGTTGGGAACTGATAATAATTTGCAAATAATGTTTATTAACTATTTTAAGTGCAGGCTGTTTTCCTATGATAATATGATAGGAATTGCTACATTTAAATATATATGGTAAATAGCTCTAATCTTGCAAGTAAATTTAATGCATATAATTTCATGAGAGAATATACAAATTATCAAAATTTGCAAATATAGAAGTTTTACAAATCTCTAGAATATTCCTACATTTAAAATATTTTATTCCTAGGTTTTGAATTAAAATGCTTAATGATCATTTTCATCAAGTGTCTATTTGACAGTGACTTTTGGACTAAGGAGTTACAAACAAATATCTTGTTTAAGGGTCTAGTCCAGGACCCAACACAGATTTGAAAACACAGGTGTGGAGTGAATAAATGAATATTACTCACTAATACCAATATATTGCTCCAATGAGTTGCTCTATATCCCTGCAGGCTACAATCAAAATCTCCATTGATGCCAAGAGCAATGGTGCACACCTGTAAACCCAGCAGCTTGTGAGGCTGAGGCAGGAGGATCTCAAGTTCAAAGCCAGCCTCAGCAACTTAGCAAGGCCCTAAGCAACTTAGTGAAAAGCTTTTTTAAAATGAAAAATAAAAAAGGCTGGGGATGTGGCTCAGTGATTAAGCACCCCTAGGTTCAATCAATCCCTGGTACCAAAAACAAACAACAACAACAACAACAAMAAAAAAAAACTCCATTGACAAATTTGTTTTAGTCCTCAAATCAGAAATCCAATTAAATCTGGCCCTTTAAAAAAGGGCCAAACTGCCAGGCATGGTGACGCACACCTGTAATCCCTGCAACTCAGGAGGCTGAGGCAGGAGGATCAAAAATTTGAGAATAGGCTCGGCAATTTAATGAGGACCTAAGCAACTTAGAAAGACCCTGTCTCAAAACATAAAATAAAAGGGCTGAGGTTGTTGTTCAGTGGCTAAGCACCTGGGGCTTCAATCCCTGATACAAAAAAAAGGTAAAATTAAGACAATTTTTTCCTTTTATTTTTTTTTTTGGGGGGGGGTGCCAGGGATTGAATTCAGGGGCATTCGACCACTGAGCCACATCCCCCTATTTTGTATTTTATTTAGAGACAGGGTCTCACTGAGTTGCTTAGCACCACACTTTTGTTGAGGCTGGCTTTGAACTCGTGATCCTCCTACCTCAGCCTCCTGAGCTACTGGGATTACAGGTGTGTGTCTGTAATTTTCTCTTTTTAAAAAGACCTTCTTTCTTCTCTCCTATCTAATGTAATTTAAAAAATCTGACTAGGTAATATACTGATCTGCTCCAAGATCCAGAAGATATAAAAGATACAGAGCAAACAGCCTGTTTCCTGATACCATCCCTTTTGTCCCCTTCTACTTGACTCCTCCCTGAGAGTCCATTGCTCCGCTCAGGTTCTTACATATTTCATTATGCAAATTTCATTATGCAAATAAAACAAATACAAACAAATTCTTTTTTTCTCTCCTAACAGATGATAATGCAAGTTATTTCCTAAAAATGGCCTATCAGGTGTTAAAACTTTGGTTTTACCACTACATAAATAATTTCCTTCTATGTTGACACAGCTCCCCTCTAGGTGGCTGGTTTCACCATGGTGTGGCTCAGCATCCTCTGCCACCAACTTTCCTACCGAATCCAGCTCTTAAACAGGCTGTCCTCTGCTCTGAGTTGGGAAGAGAACGGTGCTGGCGTCCTCCCTGTACCTGGCCTTAATGAGTGACATGTGCTCCTGCCATTTAGTGCCCTCTGGGTAACCTCTGGTTCCACTTAAATAGAAGTTGTAATCTGGGATTGGCTGAAGAGTAGCTGCTACATGGTCATGGTAGTTGTTAGACCTCAGGGATTCCCATGACCTAACTGTGCCCAGTGGAAACTTGGAGTCAAACCCTCTTTGGAAAGGGTTCTGAGAGAATCAGGCCCCTGCACAAGAGCCTTTGAAAGACATGACTCAGGATTTAACTGTTAGGACTGGGTGTACCTTAAAGCATCATCCCAAACATATTCTTTTCATTTACCTCCTGCTATTCAGAAAGGGCACCCCCAGTATTTCCTGCATACTATACTCAAGGTTTGGCCCAAGAAGCTGCAATTAGGTATTAAAAAGGCATAAATGGCAGCAAAGTAATCACCAGCAACCTTGTTTCTTGTTTGGATTGTGGCTTCCCTGCTCTTTGAGGAGAATCTTGCTGAAGAGGGCATACTCTGCCAGCATTACAAAACAACTTATAGCTCCAGATAGGCTTTTGAAAAAGGCAACACATCCCACAAAGAATCTACTCCCACAGGTAGATTGACCTGGAAATGAATGAGGCTTAAATTTAAGGGTATCTCCCTAAGATGGGGCCCTGCAAGGCCTTAGGCCTAATTTATACTACCAACCTTATAGTCTTTTTTGTAAAGAACATCTCCCAAATTGTGTAAGTTTTTTGTCCCACAAACCTGGATCTGACCCTGTTCATTGCCATAGCCTACTGTCGATTATCTGTGAGTTCATTATCCAAATTTCGTTCACCCAGGGACAAATCTTGTTTTCGAAGTAGTTAAGCTATTTTCTTAGTTGTCTTCTGTGGGTTTTTTTTTGTTTGTTTGTTTTGTTTTAATATTTATTTTTTTCATTCAGTTTCATGCAAGATGAGACTTTCTGTGAAATATTCTGTCCCTCTTGGGAGAACTTACAATAAGAAACTGAGTCCCAGTGACGGCTGCTTTGCTTCAAGCTAAAAGGAGTTGCTACTCTGAAATCTGAAATTCCATGAAATTAAAACTAAAGCATCTGGGGCTGGGATTGTGGCTCAGTGGTAGAGTGCTCGCCTAGCATGCGTGAGGCACTGGGTTCAATCCTCAGCACCACATAAACAAACTAAATAAACAAAATAAAGTTATTGTGTCCATCTACATTATACATATGTGACTAAAGCATCAAGGGGGGTTTTGAGTCTAGAGGAAGCTCTTCCAGCTTTCCAATCCTCTGAGACAAAGCAAAATCAATAAAGACACATGTGAAGGATTTGGGGGACAATTTGTACTACTTCTTAGCTCTTAGTATAACTGAAAATGGGCAGTGCTATTTTTAACTTTAACTAGGATCCTAAGGGTCATCAGTGTGGTCATCTCATATTTTTTTTCTGGGGAGTTTGTTTTGTTTGTTTTTCAGTTATTTTGTTGCCAGGCCACCAAAGCACAGTGGAGGGAGTTTAATCTCTAAAACTGAGTTCTGCCTCTGAAATCACATCCTTCTAGCTTAATAAGACCATCAGTGATGGGAGGTTGGGTTTCTTGTTCCATATGCATTGTACAGGATAAATGACTGCTTAAGAAATTAATATTTATTTCCCGGAGATGACTTTGCACCCTTTTGAAAAATATCTTTTAATTCTTAAAAGGCAAGAAAAGAAAGACTGGAAAAGATGTAATGTCTATATCTACTGAATTAAGGATGCTGTTTATTCATTTATTATTAATATATTTTAATTTACAAAATAAGAGGAAGTTTTATTGACCGAATAATATTTCTGGGAGTTGAAAACTTATCAGTCATGGATTTCTTCATTTTTATTTTTTGCATTTTTAAAAATTTGTTCTAATTAGTTATACATGACAGTAGAATGCACTATATTACATTACATATAAATACAGTATAATTTACTCATTCTTCTGGTTGTACATGATGTAGATACTCATGGATTTCTATAATAAAGCTTGGATTTTCTTTTTTTGATGGGAAATAATCAAGTTTTGTTTGTTTGTTGTGGTGCCAGGGACTAGGGGACTAGACAAGTCTCACACAAGCCAGTGCTCCATCACCGAGCCACACCCCCMGCCCAGTGAGCTGTGTTTTAGGAGGACATGTTCCTTTAAAGAGCCAAATGAAGCAATTCCACTGTCACAAMGAGGGGTGGGGCAAAGGCAGTCTTATTTCTAACTTACTTTTATATTCTAAAACACGTAAATTAAAAAAAAAAAAACATAAATTGAAAAATTACATTGTTTGCCTTAATAATTCAGAGCCAGTATTGGTTTTTAATTTTTTGGCTTTCAAAGTCAAAAATCCCTTGAAAGAGTTTGCATATACAGAAAAATTGTAAGTAAATCCAAAACTTTCAAAGGCAAATTGATATTGCAGGTGAATCTTTTTTAAAAAAAAATATTTATTTTTTAGTTTTAGGTGGACACATATCTTTATTTTGTTTTTATGTGGTGTTGAGAATTGAACCCAGTACCCCACGTGTGCTAGGTGAGTATGCTACCACTTGAGCCACATCCCCAGCCCYTTTTTTTTTTTTTCTCAATGACTCTCACATTTCTGCTCTTTGTGGCAGATATTTTTCCTTTTCTATACTCAAGACATAGGACAGGAAAAGGATAAGCTGAAGGATCACAAAGGCATTGACAATTGCATTAGAATGTATAATGGAAGGAGAAAAGGTGGGCCTATTCTTTACGGAAAAATAATGTCTGAGGGCCCCATATGGGACACTATCTCCCATTCAATTCCTTCCTTTGTTTGATGTCAGAAAGCACTSTGAGGCCTCAGCCCACATAAGAGGGAGTGATAGGAGCTTTCTGGATTTTAGGTTGTTTTTTGAAGGTAACATTGCTTCTGATCACAAAATCATACTATATTGTAAAGTGCGCCAAGGGAAGCAGATGTTTTTATGGTCCATAGAGGTTATAGACATATTTGGTATGCAAATATGTATAAAATAAAGACCCATATTACAATAGAATTGTAAAGTATTATAATCTATTGTATGTATACAAGATTGTTTTCTTATTTCCATACATGATAATTCATCTCAATATCCTCTTTTCATTTTTTTGAAAACTTTTGCAAACTTATAGATGCTCCCATTGACCCTTATATATTGATAGTGCAGTAGGCTTTCACTAGAGGTAAACTTAACTTTGTGTAATTGATTCTACTAGTTTGCATAAAGATGACATACCACGTGACACGAGGTTCTGGCCAGCCGGCTACAGAGCAGTGTAATTTTACATTCTCTTTCTCCCAAACCGTGTGGGAACGAGGCTTAATAATAAACTCAGGAGCGTGGAGAAGATGGTCTTCATTCAACTTATCATGATATGCCTGGGTTTCTTCTAACTGAAAACAAACAAACAAGCAAAATTATCAAAATACTACAAAAAACACAGTRACTTCTGTTACTAAAATAGCAGTAAAAGCCAGTATTTTTATTTTTCCAGTTGGAACCTTATTTTTCCATTCCCTCTCCCCCTTAAAAAAAAAATGCAGTTACTTAACATTTTAAACTTGAGCAATGTATTTTACTTCCAGAAGATGGATTTCTTAAGTCTTTAAAACCTTAATTTTTTAAAAAATCTGAAATTCTGTGAAATGTTAAACTATTTAGTTTGCCTTTCTGTGGCCTACACATGTTAATGTCTTTTTTCTTGTTTTCTTACTTTTTTTCGATAAGATCACATATTTCTTCATTGAAAACAGGTCAGTCTTTATCTACACACAAACACAACTTCTTACATTGTAATCAGCATCAAACTGTGTTTTCTTACTGTTTTTCTCAGTGAGAGGCGCTCTGCCTTTTCTCGAATTGCAACTTTCCTTGACTTCTTTTCAAAAGTTTCTTCTTGTTGAAGGGTGGACGTGGCCTGTTTGGACACTGTGGACTGTTTAGACACTGTGGACTGTTTAGACGCCGTGGACTGTTTGGATGCTGTGATTCCTTCCTCACTAGTGAGAAGATTTCTCTGGGCTATATAAGCAGCAGCTTCTTTAATTCTTTCTTCTTCCGTATCTGTAATTCCACTGACATGTACTTGGCTAGAACACAATAATAGTAAAATGTGGATATTGGGATGGCAGTAATAAGATTGCTTCCTTTTACTAAGTTCAAGGAACCAGAACTCAGAATGGTGACCAAGAAAAACCTGACACAGAACAACCTGGTAAACCAGGAGCTGACTCTTCATGTATAGTAGTGGTCTTCCCCTTAACAAATGATCACAATAACAACAGCAATAATACGTATTAAAGTTCTGGTGCTCTTCACATAGATTATCTCATTTCATTTTATTCACATGAAAATCCATGAGGTATATAATAGCACTTCTACTTTAGATATATGGTAACTGGGTTCTGAGAAGTTAGATAACTTGCCCAAGCCTGTTTTACTAGTTAGTGTATCCAAATACAATAATACAGGAAGTTATGATTTCATTTCCAGAAGACTTTATTCCAGTTTATGCCCATGCTCCTGGTATATGACTACTTGATTTGGATTCCATAACTCAGCTGAGGCAATGTCCTGCTCAGACATGTTCAATGTTTAAATATGTTCTAGATTACATGAGAGCCAATGCCTGCTAAATTTCTTTCTCAGATAGTAAATGTCATGTAGTGTGTGTTTAATTCGACAATCATTTGTGCTTGTACATAGCCCTGATGAGAAGAAATGATCAAATTTGCAATGAAAGTTGTAGTATTTATAAAAAGGACTTGTTGGTGATGACAGATKAGTGGTAACATCCAAAAGTACTATGCTTAGTGTCCTTGTTTATGAGAGAATCGTGTGGTGATTTATTAATGTTGCCAAAACTATTCTGGTTATTTTTAGTCTCCTCCAATGCCTTTGTTGAAAACACCATTAGATATTTCAGTGAGAAAGTGTATTAATTATACTGAAGATTCCCTTGAAATTAAATCTACTTTGGTCTCTTAAGTCAGAATTGCACATTTGATTTTTCTTATAAGAATTACTTCAGAATTTAAGCTAATACTGCCACAGTGTTTACGGGTTCCTAGCGCCTGACTCTGTGCAGTTTACTGAGAAGTAGAACTCAGTATTTGCCCAAGTTTTAAATTTCCCAAGTAGGGAAAAAGGAATATTAGTAAAACATCTGGAAGACAACATTAGTCCTTTTGGTTTCTCACTAAACTTAGTGATTAAATTTTAATTTTTTCTCTGTCTTTCCAAATATCAACAAGACAGTCTACACTATGGAATTTAGTAATATATACACTATAATTTAGTAGAAAAGTAAAAATTTTTAGCTTAGTGTCCTGACATTATTACCTCTAATATTTTCTTTTGAATGAGAYAGGAAATAAAGAATTAATAAGTGAATGCAAAACAAAGCATCAAGGAAATTTGTTTGGAATTCTCTATGGAAGTTGACATACAACAGAGAGATTTGAAATGGGCTCTATAATATGATTCGATACATATCATGATGGACCATATGCAATGCTAGTCTTGCCCCAAGTTGAGACAACTCTAACTGAAAGAACTTCAAGTATAAGATCTCATTACYTTGAACTGTGGAAATATTGAGCGCTCAGAGGGCAGAAGAAAGTCAYGTCACGGCCTCTGTGTACCAATAAACTAAATCTCAAAAACCAACCAAACAAAAAACCCCAAACATGTAATTATTTAATATGAGAATTCAAATGTATTTAAAAAAAAATATGTTGGGCCCTGGTCAATAGGGATATTCTACTATAAGTAAATACATGGGATATTGATGATATCCTTCTGTAATCTGGACACAAGAGCAAGAAATGTGGTATTAATATGTTAACAAAACACACTGCTATAAAGCAAAAATAAATTAAAAACTTCCTAATACTCTGCATATCTCTAATGGCCTAAATTCAAAACCTATTGCTGAACTAAGCAATCAGCCTACGTACTCAGTAGAGGAAAGAGACCACGGGGTGGGAGTGGAGGGAGGGGAAAGTGCTGGGAGATAATATTGRCCAAATTATATTGTTATATTGTGTGCATGTATGAATATGTAATAATAAATCCCACCATTATGTACAACTATAATGCATCAATAAAACAATGTATGTGTGTSWGGGGGGGAAACCTTATTGCTAACACAAAGCCAAATCAACTTACCAGAGTACAAGAAGGGGAATTCATGCAGAAGAAATGATGTTTTCCAGAAACATTCTATAACTACAGAAAACATGGACAGTGCATTGGCCAGTCTTGGGAGGACTTCAGTTCTTTCATTACCAACCATGTGACTTCCAGCAAGTCACTAACCATTGACTCTCTTTTCCAAAAAAATGATATGCTAATACATTCTAGGGTTGTATGGAGGATTTAGCAAGATAAAATAGATATTCAACAAATATTAATTGCTTTCCTATTTTCTTCTCAGATTGTGAATATCATTAACACAATTTTGWCACAACATAGTAACAAAAGACAGGAGATCGATCCATGTAAAAAAATAAGAACTGGAGATAAACCCTGGAAGATTAATTTTTTCACATTTTCTTTTATCACACTGTATTATGAAATATCATTTCTTGAGATTGGCCTAGAAGATGCAAATCCATTTAGTGGGGAAAGCACAGGGAGAAGACATTAGGAGCAAGAAACTTCATTCTGTGCCCTCTCAGGTAATCAGATATATCTTGTAGGCTAAGTTGATGTGGTTTTTAAATGATTTTTTTTTTTTTTTTAGTGCAGGGCATTAAACCCAGGGCTTTGAGCTTGTTAAGCACATGCTCTAYCACTAAGTGCTACACTCCCAGCCCCATTAAATTTTTTTCCAAACAGAGTGGGGGGAAAAAAGCAAAAACAAAACAAACAAAAAAAACCCAAAACATTCTACTTCTAGGCTAGCCAATTCCTATAATGAATACAAGTGTACATTAAAATACTGTGCATGTGACGAGGATGTAGGGAAAAAGGTACACTTATACATTGCTCGTGGGACTGCAAATTGGTGCAACCACTCTGGAAAGCAGAATGGAGAGTCCTCAGAAAACTTGAAATGGAACCACCATTGACAGTTATCCACTGCTCAGCATGTACCCAAAGGACTTAAAATCAGTATATTACAGCGATGCAGCTACATCAATGATTATAGCATCTCAATTCCCAATAGCTAAGCTATGGATCCAACCTAGGTGCCCTTCAACAGATGAATGGATGAAGAAATTGTGATACACACACACACACACACACACACACACACACACACGAATATTGCTCAGCTTAAAACAGAATAAAATGATGGCATTTGTTGGTAAATGGATGGAACTGAAGAATATCATGCTAAGCCAATCCCAAAGAACCAAAGRCAGATTGTTTTMTCTGATATGCGSATGTTAATTCACAATAGCAGGGAGCAGTGACTATGGGGATTAGAAATAATAGTAGAATGAATCAGACATTATTACTCTATGTGCATATATGATTTCATGACCTGTGTGATTCTACATCATATACAACCAGAAGAATGAGAAGTTACAGTCCATTTAGATATGATGTATCAAAATGCATTCTACTGTCATGTATAAATAATTAGAACAAATAATAAATAAATAAATAAATAAATAAAATTACTGTGAATGGGCTTAGTCTGGGCAAGCATATTTAGCACTATAAAAATGTTTCTCTGAAAAGTTCAGTTCAAAAAAAAATCAAGGATKTCAGATAAAAAAAACTAAAACTTGAATGCTAGTAAGTCCCTTTACCTTCCTAATTGAGTTCAGAGTGATTATAACATGAACCTTTGAAACAAGTCAGAAAAGAACTATCAGGCAGGGATGGAAAGAAAACCCCAAGGTAACAGAGAGAGTCAGCAAAAACCACAACCRAAAGATTTCCTGACTTTAATGAGGATCTACTTTTCCCTGACGTTAGCTGTGAGAGGATTTTGACTTCAAGTGTCACCTTCACTAGGAGGATAGTTCTACATTCAGAGAAAATAAACAGGGCAAGGTCCAGCAAGTTCCTGTTAAGCTTTCATGTTGATGTCTCAGACAAGTTTTCTTTGAATATTATTAGCAGTAAAAAAAATAAGTTTTTATAACAAAGTCAGAAAATTGGCATTACATAGACRTGTGATTTAGTGATTATTCTGTTTGAAATTTACCTGGAAATAGATAACAATCTGTTTTCCATTCAAATTATGTTTCAGTTTTTCCCCTAATGAATAATAATTAAAACCACATGAACAGCCAAGACATTTTTCATTTACCTAAACATTAACTCTTTTTTTTTCCAGTTGACCCAACATTTTATAGTTTTAACACTTTATAGTTAAAATAGGATGTGAACATGTGCCTAGGAAAATCTTTTTACACTAGCTGTAGTGATTATATTTAGTGTTCAATCATTAGCATCCAAGGCTCTACATCCCATTAGTCACATAAGTAGCATCAAGTTCTAATGGTTTTCTTTCTTTCTTTCTTTCTTTTTTTTTTTTTTTTGGTCACATAGGCAACCTCTGTGWTGGCAAAACTTTCTGAAAAGAAAATCCATTTTTTACAACTAATGAATTTCCCTTGGTTCACAGTTCYGAAATTCCTAAGACCTTTCTCAACTGTTATATAGCGAGTGCTCAATAAATGTTAGTTGCTACTATTATTATCTGACACAGTTTACTCTTCAATTTTAATAATCAAAGCCAGGCAGAGAAAGCACACKCACCGTCCAGAGAATATAGGCACCATGTAGTCACTTGGCAGATTTTCCTTCTCCTCCCCAGACAGAAGGCTCTGCTTGGCTCTCTTGGTTTTGGGGCTCAACTTGGATGAATAATCTTCTAACAGCAGACTGGAATCTGTAAGCCTGAAATAAAAACCCTTAAAGTTAAACAATAACAAAAGTGCATTGAATATTTAGATAATAATAATTTTAAAAWGTGCATTGAAGACATTCAAACTACTGATGAAAGGAAGTTTTAACCTAGGAAGAGTTTTTCAGAATCTTAGATCTCTCATGTTATTATTATCTTTTATCTTTATAACTTAAGTGAAATTAAAGATTACCTCTAGATAGAGAATAGGAGTGGGAGGGAAAGGGAGGGAGAAGGGGAATAGCATGGATGGTGGAAGGAGACGGTCATCATTATACAAAATACATGTATGAAGATGTGAATCAGGTGTCAACATACCTTATATACAAACAGAGATATGATAAATTGTGCTATAAAGGTGTATTAAGAATTGTAATGCAAAAAAAAGAGATAGCTCATGTATAATGGCAAAAAAAAGAACTTAAGTGGAATTAGATAGATCTCAGATACACAAACATATTCTATATAGACACTAAAAGAAAATGATATTTTCAAGGCTTCTCCGCCTTAAGGTTTCAAGGGAAAAGACCAAAGATTTTATATTTCCAAACATCTTTTAATGTTAAGATAGTGTTTAAAATTTATGCAATCTATATAAATGAGATTTTTTTTGGGGGGGGTGTTTTTTATTTTATTTTTGGTACCAGGGATTTAACCCAGGTGCACTTAAATACCGAGCCACATCCCCAGCCCTTTTTTACATTTTCTTTAGAGACAGGGTCTCCCTAAGTTGCTTAGGACCTCCCTAAATTGCTGAGCTGGCTTTTTGAACTCATGATCCTCCTGACTCAGCCTTCTGAACAGCTGGGATTACAGGTGTGCACCACCATGTTGGGCTTATATAACCAGTTTTGATGCAATTTTGCATTCAAATCCTTTGAGAGGACTGTTAAAAATGCACGCTTTTCGGAATGGGGATCCTAGGCGATTCTGATACAGGACTCTGAGTTCGCACTTTGAAGCCTTCATGTTACTCCTACAGGCTGAAGGAACTCCTATTGTTGAAGGAACTCTGGGTTCTTCAAATGATGGAGTTAAAATAGGATGTGAAYATGAAAACGTGACATCAAATAACTCGGAGAATTAAAGGGTTTGATAAAGACCCCTTTCGTCATTTCTGTGTGTCCATGCACCAGGGTACACACGTGCACTGGGAGGCAGTCAGTGTTTTAACGAACCAAAACCTTTCCTAGGGAGGTGACATGAGAGCAGAGGTARAGGAAAAGGATTGACAAGACAAAAAGTATTATCATAATCTTGTGCAGTTCCTGGATGAAATKAAATGCATTTACATACAACCATAAGATTGGGCATAAATTTAAGGAGTTCATGGACACCCTAGAGTTAATCTCTGGACTGGGTTAAAAGTCCCAGGGCACACGGTAAGGAAGGATGTTAACAAGGGGAGATTGTGCAGGAACTCTGTTCTGTGCTTGTAATTTTTCTGTCAAGACGAAACTATTCTAAAACATTGGTAATAATAATAATAATAATAATAATAATAATAATAATAAAATAATAGCCCGGGTCTGGAGAATACTTGAAAAGAAGAAGAAGCATGTGAACAGTACTACATGGGAAAACCCAAGCTGCTTGGTTGAAACAAACCATTCAAATCTTGACCATTTCCTGATCTTTGAAAATCATTTGGAAAAAGCAAAGGGGGAGGACCTAAATCAAARGCAGAAGAGAGTCCCAACAGACGCGTAGTACAAAATGGATGAATAACAATGTGAGAAAACAAGTAGGGCTACACAGAGCTCTATGGCCAGCAAAGAACTGCAGAGGGCACGGGGGCTCCAGGCCTGGGGGGACAGGGTGGGCTATTGTCTTTGAACCTCCGGAATGGTCCCATGGAAATGGCAAGATTCTTTTCCCCATTATCTGCCCCCTACCCCCAGAGAAGAATATCTAGCTCTCTTTCCATGATCAGCATTAAAACTAAAGGTTAGAACCTTGAAGTTAAGCTTGTGGATTGGTTACCAATTGGAAGCCAGAGTGAAATTTGTTCCTGGCTGGTTGTTCCAGGCAGCACCAGAACGACTGCATCCTACACCCCAGCAGGTCACAGAGAACAGGCTGTGCTTCTACAGATCCAAGTTCAAAGTGTAATTTGCTTTGCTCATTTATTCTATTACTATACAAAATAAAATTAATTATGAGCTGAAGTGTCTTGGTGCTTTTCCTATTTGGATTTTCTAACTTCTATTTTGCTAGTTTTTGCTCTATTCTCTGTATTTCGATTCTAGTGTCTACAGTCTTATTCTATAACCTTATTTTTCAGTGTTGGTTTGCATCAAAATAGCTATTTTTGGTCTTCTTCTTGGTATATTGTTTCTTCTTATGTTATTTTTTCCTTTAAGACAGATCTTTAAAATGATGAATTTACTACAAAGAACACATCCAGAATGTGATTCCATCTCATAGGTAAATGATTTTAAAAATCATCTTAGCAAATGATTTTTATTGGTGCACTATAATTAAACATAATAGTGGAATTCATTATGTTATATTCATACATACACATGTATAATTTGATCAATCACAACTGATTTTTTAATAGTTGAATTTGATGCTGARGATTCGTCACACTATCATTAGTTTCCATTTCATAATGTATCTGGATGAAAGAGTTCATAAAAAGTATTATGATGTTATGTATTAAACAGTATTATTTAGAAAACACAAAGATCTCCACCTTTGTTTTACTCTCTAAAGTTTCTTCATCTTTTGATTCCTAATAAAAAAGGTGAGTGAAGAATTAGATGTTAAAATGTCACACGAATAGATAATTTAGTAATGCCAAGTTATTTATTAAAGCTAGCAAGCAAAATGAATTAGAGAAACACAAAGTTTTAAAACTAACTGTGTAATCATCTGAGTAAAGACTGTTGATAGTCTTTTATGTCATGATCCATGAACGCCCAAATCCTACATTTTACACTACTAAATTTTAAAGTTGAAAAATGTTTTCARGGGAGTTAAATAAAACATGTATATTTTGAGTTTCTTTGAACCTAAGTGAGGTTTTGTTAACCCCCTAGGCTTTTAGTTGTATGTAAATTTTGAAAGTAATCCTCTAATAACTCAGTTTTGGAGTAGATACTAAACGAAATGTTTCAATTTATGTAGATCTTATTCCTATTAAAACTACACTTGATATTCTTTATGTTACTCAGCTTAAATCTTGAAACTTTCTAATTTCCATCAAAGCAGGCAATGAAATTAAGCAATAGGTAAGGACAGACTTGTGTACATCCCTAGATGTCTCTCCATAACTGTGTCTAGGTGCATCTTTTTGTACTCTGCCACTAATTGCACTATATCCTTTGTTAATATGTCTACAGTTAACAGATTTTAAATAAGTGTCTTGGTATGTATGACATTATCACAACTATGACCAGAAGCACCACAGAGATGGGATGCAGCCAAGGTCCAGAGGCACTCTCTGGAAATATTCCAGGAACTCAGAAATAGGCTAAAACTGCATCTAATCCAAATACTGAAAGGAAAAAATTATAACTTTCTCCTTGTACAACTTCACAATAATGTTTGACAGGAAAAGCAAGAACAAAGCCTTTCTAGAATCCCAGAGCTAGAAACGATCTCTAAGTTATTTATTACACCAAGTCCCTCATTGTACAGATGTAGAAACAAAAGCTTACAAAAGTCTCTAAAYCTTGCTCATGTTCACACAGCAAGCTGGTAGCTGGTGAATTAGCACCCMTCTCTTATTTTCAGGTTCATGTTCTTTCCACTGTATCGGTGGTCTCCAAAGGTTATGACTGAACACTCTTAATCAAAAAACATTGAGGGCATGYCACCTATATATATTTGTTTGTTTATTTCTAAGTTCAATGAATATGCATCGTATAAATTCACTTGATTCAATTGTTAGGAGATTTTAAAGATAGAATTCAGTTAAAAAGRAAAAAAAAGTGCTAGTATTTCTTTCTACATGTCCACAGCTTGCCTTTGTGGACTCCATTCTTAGGAGATCATATCACCACATCACACTGCCCATGATGACTCTGATGTTGATTTGCTTTTCCTGAATCATAAGCTGAGCTTCTGAGATCACCGCAGCCCAGACAAAATAAAACAACCAAAAATAAATAAATAAATAAATAAATAAATAAATAAACCCTCATTTGGGCTGGGGCTGGGGCTCAGTGGTAGCATGTGTAAGGCACTGGGTTCAATCCTCAGCACCACATAAAAATAAATCAAGTAATTAAAAAAGAAAGAAACAACACACTCATTAAATGTAGCATAAATTAAAAATCTGGTCTTTTACARTTATGTTTATAATCACAACATAATTTGGGGAAATTATCCCTGATCCCCCGTTGAAAAATAAATTTATTCATGCTTCGACCTGTTTAAGGACTGTGTTACATTCTGAAAATATTCAACCTATCAGCACATTTCAGAAAAATGGTGTCCTGTGAGTAGCTTTGCTCTCAAACCCACCATCACCCATCCCTACATGGTCATGGTTATACTGATTAATTGGTTATTCTATTTGTCTTTTCCAATGACTGGACTGTGTAAGGAGAAGGATGGTCCCAGTTATCTTTGGGTCCTCAGTACTATGTCCAGTGATTGGCATTGTTCAATGAATGCTTATTGAATGCAACAGAATCAGATTCATCTTCCTTGGAATTACACCCTTGCCTGGGGATTCTCAATTCTGGTTTCACATCAGAATCAGCTGATGAATTATTAAAAATTACCAATGCAGAGGCAGGGTTCCCAGTATGATGGAATGAGTAGTTCAATAATTCCTTTTCTCAAAAAGCAATGACAAATCAGGGCACATTTGTCAAAAACTCAATCAGGGCTCTGAAAAATCAATCAAAAGCATAAACTACACTGAGAATTGGTTATTCTTTAAAAAAATGACTGAACTTCACATATGAGCAGTGGGAGTCTGTGCCATTCATGCCTAGGCTGCTCCCATCCCCCACCCCCAGCTCAGTACATAAGATAG